GAAAAGGTGTTTCTTCCATATTCCAAGCAGATTTATATCCTAGACAAAGTTGAGCACTAAAGCATTTAACTAGATGATTTAACAGCAATATTTTAATTAAGTATACTTTAACCAGTAAATGTCCATTATATCCATCAGAGAAACTCCACAAAAAGATTTTTGACGGATTTCTAGATCTCTAGGATGTTCTGTATTTACTGTGAAGTAAAACCTCACCAGAAAGGTTGAAAGAATAATTTAATAATGCACAAATATGGGATGTCAAAAGAGCAATTGAGAAGCTCCCGCTGTTTAGCTGTCCATTTGATATGTCTGAATTAGCTGGCAATATGTTTTTTTTTTAAGTGATTTAATTTTTTATTATTTAAAACAGTCCTACTTTAGTTTAGTTGTCAATAAGGCCTTCTTAAGGCAAGAGGAGTAAAAACGTTTTGAGTTTTTTATCCGTACCTTGTTGGCAAATTTACTCAGGGATTTAAGATGTTTTAAGAGGATAATATTTATTTTCTTTGCACTTAAACTGAGGGAGGATCTATTGTTACCACATACTCATTCAAGCAGAAATAATTACCTTTTCTAGCATGGAGACTTGTTTCTTCAATATGTTCTGTTAAATGTAGTGTAATACAAAGATAAATTAGATCAGATTCCTAATTCAGGGTCAGTTCAACACCTCCGTGAGGCTCGCTGTATTCAACAATAGGTTTGTTTTCTTCACAGGATGACATTTTTCATATGTGCCACCTTCATTAGCACCTGATGTGTTTCATTATCTCCATTCCAGACCATTTAAAGTGTCATTAACAGGAGGCTGGTGTGGCAGAGGGCCTGCTAAATTTAACAGCTTTTTATTTATTTTGAATGGCCACGTGTTGAATTATATGCCCAGTTGCCATGCACTCTCATCAAAGCTTTCAGCTATGTGGAGAACAGAGGCGTGGGCTGGTTTGAAGAGAATGGGTCCTAATTCACCAGTACCACCCCTATTAGGCAGCAGTTTGTCCTCAGCTCTTTAAACCCTTTATGAATCTCATGTTCAGGATTATGAAAATAAAAGTGGATTTATGGAAATGTGTCCTTTTCTGTGTGCCTAGATGAAATGGTGACAATGGTTTAAGCAACAGGGAGGCTGGGTGGTTGGAACATGTTCAAAAATACTATTTGTGGCTTTGCACAACCTCATTTTCTGCTTGTTGAGGTCAATTTGGTCATTATCCAAAGTCTTCAGTCTTATTGTAATTTAAATTTTGTTACCTTTCATTCGACAAAAATTATGGACCTTATAGGAAATCCTGTTATTTTGTAAATCTTCTGTCTATATCACTCCCACTGTAACTGGAGCGTGTAACAAAAGTAATTTCCCTCTGGGATTATTAAAGTATTTCTGATTCTTATCCATTTTCCTCGTTTTTTTTGTTTTTTTTTTTTTTTCTCTTGGCTCTCTGGTGTGTATTATGTTGATCTCTTTTCCTATAGATTTTCACAATTGAGGTGGTGTGTCTGCCTAAAATTATTTCGTTCTTATTTAATTCTATTGTAAAAATAATTAAATCCTAATGTACTAGCATATAATATCTAGCATTTAAATACTTGGTAGATGACCTTCAATTATGTATTTTCTACATTCTAAATGTACTTTTTTGATGTGGCATAAACTGTACTTTTTTAGATTGCTCTTCATATTGTGTCAGATTTTAATATCTTTACTTTTTACTGTATATTCTAGTTTAAAACAAAAGGTAGATTGTTTTTAGTTTAGATGAGAGCAGATTGAATCACAATTTGACATCTTTGACATGACTATACCAAATTAGGGTTGAATTAGATTTTTCTGGAACTGTTAAACAAGACAATAAAACTTTTAACAGGTTTTAAAATTTTTACTTGCTGTCAGCATTTATCTGTATGTCAGAGGTGTTGTAACACTGTTTGTGTTGGATAAACGGTCTTACCATGTAAACAGACCAAGCAATGAGCTCAGATTTTTAAATTGGGTGGTTTGGTCTAGTGGTTAGGGCATGTTGCTTCCCTCATGCCTGGAATCTGGAGGTTCTGAGTTAAAGTCCCACATACTCTCACAGATTGCCACTCTGGGTCCCTGAGCAAGACCCTTAACCCCACACTGCTCCCCAGGCACTGCACAATGGCAGCCCACTGCTCCCCAAGGGGATGGGTTAAAATGCAGAGAAGGAATTTCGTTGCTTTGTACTTAAAAATAAAGTTGAATTCTATTCTAAGTCAAACTTTCTTCCAAATATATCTAAAAATTAACTTAAGACATTTCGTAAAATGTATCAAATAAAACAGTTTTCTTACATCCCTGACTTTACTTTCAATACCTCACTGCTTCTGAAAATGGTTAACTATAAGTTGGTTGTTCCCATGAGGAAACGTCTCATTGTCAAGTGATCATAGCAGTTCTATGTTGCCCTGAATTATGGCATATTCACAAATGGATGAGAACAAAATTATTTTTATTATTATATTTTTTTCAATCACCTGTAATATTCAAAATTGAAATCTGAAGGGCTGCATGACAGATTCAGCAAGAATTTGATCAACAGCAAATTTGTCTGAACTCGACCCTTTTTTTATTTTTTTGGAAGTTTAAGTCTGCCTTTGCTTTCCAATTTGAATACTGTATATTCAAGACTCCTTAAACATTGCACTTTGTGAAATTACAAATTTGTTCCCAGGAAAGGTGTTGCCCAAGGTGTTTTAAATCTGTCCTCACTATGCCGTGCTTCTAAGAGCAGAATTTATTTCACTAAGAGCAGCTCACCGATGTTTTTATTTTATTCTGATATGTTAAGGTTATTTTATTTGGATAGCTGTATTAAATCATCTTTCTAAATAATATGTGCATTTATTAATACCAGGTAGTTATGTTTTGCTTATTTTCCCAAGAATTTGAGGCAGCACCAACGTTTTACAGCCTTTGCAGTTTTTGTGCTGTTTCCTTGAAAGCCTGAACGTTAACGTTTTTGTGCCGCTTCTTCAAGCTGAGACAGGCTCATTATTGCAACTAAAAAGTTATTTAAAATGTATTTTTGGTCACTTTGAAAATTTAATGTTTATGCTTCTCTCTCTTTTATTTTTTTGCCCACACTGCAGAATAAGTGTAACGTGTAACCCCAAGAAAACTGACAAAACACTGACTTCCACTTTAATTAAAGCTGTAAAAAACAACCACACATATTTATATCCTGAATAAACGGATTATATTGCACTACTTCAAGTTTAATGGAAATATTTTAAGCAGTGAAATAAAGGGCATGATGTTTTTATGCAGCGAGATTGGCTAAGGTGGGAAGAAATATTGTAGCTGTTACTTGAAAGAAAAATAAAATGAAATCGATTTGTGGGCACTTAAATGCAAATGAGTGTTTCTGGTGAAATTAACGTGCTCCCCCCCTTGAGGCAAGTTTCTAATCAGTGGTCTCCCTACTTAGCGGAGTAAACAACGACAGGTTAAGGCAATAAAACACAACTTTCGTTAGGGGGCTTTCATTTGCCAGAGTCTGCCTGTGGATTTGACTTGCAAGCTGAAATGAAAAAGGAGACTACTACCGAGTGAGGAAGCTCAAAGCTGCATTCAAACATAGACGCACATTTGTTGTGTGGGCAATAGCTGCTGCAAAACCACCTGCAGTTCCATATTTACCACAGCTTGGGCAAACAGCAGTGTGCGAGGGCTCCGCAGGCACCTGCTGTGTCCCGGTACATGATGCTATCTGTACGCCACAAGGATATTGTCTGATCATGTTTTCCTGAGACAAAACTGTGTTCTTCCTCAGCACCTTGTTTTTGGAGGTGTTTGTGTGCTGAGAGGACAAAGTGCAAATGAAACTGGCTGAAAGCCAAGGACTTTAGGCAGGTCTTTCACTGTTACAGTTTTAGATCTCATCCTTGGCCCTTGGCTCTTTCTTTACCTCCCTAAACAGAAAAAGCGATAGTTTTTGATATTAAGTCAATTAAATCCAAAATGGCATGGCCTTTTTATAACTGCAGCTCGTATTTGAGTCACACACAAACACCTACACTACATGCTGTTAGCTGGAGGCAGTTTTTAAAAAGGTTTTACCCTGATAACTTAACTCTAAAAATACCTTTATGTTTGAAAATGTGAATCACAGTTCACTATATTAGTGTTGCTGAAGCAGTAACCACTTTGTTTTGTGACCTCAGGGTGTAATGATACATCCTGCTCGTGGGGAAAAGGATGAACTAGATTTGGTTTGCAAGATTTTGGAAAAAATAGAATCTCCATGTTTGTTTTTATAGGTAGAAATTTCACAAATTAAAGGGGGGGGGAAAGTGTGTTCTAGCCAAAAATAATGGCCATTTTGACTACACTATACACAGATGTTTTATTTTTTTCTCCATTCATTTGGTCTTAATGTAAAAAGGTCACACAAATACCAGTACTTTTGCTTTTAGAGTCCTTGATGATTTCATGAATTACTAACTATATCTTTAAGGAGTCACTTCAGTATTGTCCAGTTTCGGTTCGATCAGTGAAGTAGCAGAAGTACAGTAGAACTAGGTCTGCTGTGAGTTCCAAATTCCACCACAATCTAAACATTGCTGAAGTTAGGAATTTCCCAGCCTGAATGAGTATTGAAAAGATGACTCATTCCTTCCCTCCTACCTTCCTTCTTTCTTTCCTGAAATATGTACTTTAGCCCAGTTTATAAGGTACTAATCTCTTTGAGTGACAAAACAATTTTTTTCTAAGTCTTAGGAATCCAAAATTATTACCTTACCACAACCTTAAAGACACTTTTAGTATATGCACTGATGTGTTGGGATAGGCACCAGCACCCCTCGTGACCCCACTCGGGACAAGCGTGTAAGAAAATGGATGGATGGATGGACTGATGTGTTGGGGTTATGTTAACCACCTGATTACTGTAGTAATGTTTTTAGCGTTAGTGTGTTGATATGTGCATTTAACTTCATAAATAATAAAGTACTTCCTTCTCTCCTGTTCCCAACAGAGATGGCAAGCTGGGTCTCTCTTCTTCTCATCCTCTTATGCCAATCAATATCACAAGCCCAGGAGGAGAGCAGCAACGCCCCCATCCTGGAGTTCATCTCTGAGACCTCCATTAATAATGTGGTTCAGGACCCCCAGACGGGCCGCATTTACCTGGGAGCAAACAACTCCATCTACCAGCTCGGGCCTTCCCTCAAGCCTCAGGCCCGTGCCACGACGGGGCCTAAAAAAGACGCACGCAGCTGTACTCCTCCACATACATCCTGCCAGGACACCAAGCTAATGCCCAACCTCAACAAGCTTCTGCTGATCCATCCATCTAATGGTTCTCTTATAGTCTGTGGGAGTCGGTACAGAGGCATCTGCTCCCTCCTCAACCTGTCCAACGTGGAACAGGAGATTCATTACAGTGACAATAGAGGAGAGAGGACTTATGTAGCTAGCATAGAGGATAATGTGAATGTGGTTGGAGTCATGTCCTACTACACAAAGGATGGACAAAATTTCAGCGTGTTTGTTGTGGGGAAGGGCTACGGAAGCTTGGACAGTACAAAACTCATTAGCACAAGAATCCTTGAGAACTACAACGACTGGGTCGTGTTTGAGAACATCATTGAGGCTTCAACAGTACAGACAACGGCTTTTGTTCCAAAATACTTACATGATTTCAGGCATGCCTTCAAAGAGGATGGTTTTGTGTATTTTATCTTTTCTCGGACCCTTGACGGTACGGATAACAAAAACCTGACTTTTGTCTCCCGTCTCTGTGAAGACGACCATCATTACTACTCCCACACAGAGCTGCAGTTAAACTGTGGTCCAGAAAACCAATACAACAAAGTTCAAGCAGCTTTTGTGGCCTCTCCAGGAAAAGAGCTGGCAAAGGCCATGACTGAGTCAATTGATTACGGGAAGGTAAATTCATGGAGCAAGGTCCTTTTTATGGTGGCAAGTGCGGATGAAGATGAAAGTAAGTCAGCTCTATGCATGTATCCCATGAACTCAATCAACGAACGGCTGGTGGACATCATCAGCGCGTGTTACAGTGACAGTGGGAAGATTTCTGGGTCTCCAGCTGTGGATATCCCCTACTCTTCCAAAACAGAAGAATTCTGCACTGCAAACATTGGGGTAAGTGCTCTATAAAAATAATATTCATACACCTTCAGATTTATTATATGTTAATATTAATCTGTTAATATGATAATTAGCACTTCATTCCTTGACATAATTGCTTTCTAAAATTAATATGACTTTTTATGCTTAGAATATGCACTATAAATGGCCACCCAGGAATCTGTAAAGAGTAGGCACTTGCAAAAACACTCCTTGTCAGATGATGTATTAACATTTATAAAATCTCCAACCAGAGTACTGGTCTGGCCCAAATTATTCTTACATACCATGACAGATTTAGATTAGTCAACCAAGGCGTTTTAAAGTTTTAGATGATGACAATTTCAAAATGTTAAAACATTTTAAACAGGAAAATGTCATGTTCAAAATTATGGTAACCCATTTACAATACATTGGGGAAGAGGTTTTAGTTGGATCAGAGCAAGTTATTTGGTTCTTATAATTTCTGAATTTTTTTTAGCATTCCTCCACCGGTATTGTTGTTGATCATGCAAGTCTTTCATGCTGAAGGGCCTCTATGCCATAATTTGCCCTATCTTGGTTCTACCCAATTTAGGCCTCCGGCTGGGCCAGTACAATAAGATGCTTTAAATGTAATCAGTCAAACCTCTTCCAGTAAACTGTAAAATGTTTTAAATCATTCTTAAAGTTACTTGTATATTTTTTTTCTTTCCCCACACTGAGCTATATCTTTTTCACATAGGCTGTCCAATCAGGCTCAATAGGGCTTTTTGGAGGGGGGGGGGGGGTGTGATGTGACATTATATCTTTGCTTTTTCAATGGAGAAAAATAATGTATGTTAAGTTCTGTAAAACCAAAAAGTATACCACTATACAGATGGGGTCAATATAATTTATCCACAAAAAAGTGCAGATTAATTTGTATTCAAGGAGTATTGCATTCCATTATGTTCACAAAAAAGGAAGGATAATATAATCTAACATGTCTCTGCATTATTGTTTACTTTCTAGAAAGACATGTTGAAAAGCTTCAAGTGTGGTGCAGATTTTTTGCCATCCCCTTTGGCAAGCAAGCCAAAATTTGCCTTAAATGCCAAGGCAGTGTGGACCACTTCAAGCCTACTGACCGCTGTGGCTGTTGCTGTGGAGAACGATCACACCATTGCTTTCTTGGGCAACAACAAGGGGGAGGTCTTCAAGGTGGTGTTATTTCCTCAATTTTTTTCCCTCACCTTTTTTGTTTCTGGTCTTTTCTCTAACCCTCCATCAGAGGCAGCTGGTGTGAGGTTAAAAACGAGGTTCATGTCTGACAGTGTTGGCCTTTCATTCTTCTTTTCCCAGGTACATCTCACGGCAGTTGCAGAGGAATATGGCAAGGCTCCTGGCGACACTATTGGGGAGAAGGTTAACAAGAACCTGTTCTTTGACCTCAGTCACAGCCACCTCTACATCACCACAGAGAGAAGGGTATGTTGTGGCATGCTTCTATCAAAAACATAATATTTAAACAGGTTAAAAACATCAGAGGTGGTGGTCCTCTTAGACAGCAGCTGCTTTGAGCTGGAGCTCACAGCCAATTGCAGTTTCATCTCAAATATCACTGTGATAAAAAGATGTGGAGTCCTTCAGGTTACATCCATGGAGGCAGTAAGGGTCCTTTTTAGATGTTCATTTTTATTAAAATGACTAACCTGGTACCTAAGATGTTTTTCTTTTATTTTTAAAGAAAATATCATCCAAACATTGCATTCTTTCTTCTTATGCCTGTGTCCTGACATTTATTTCTTTAGTTGAGGTGAGGCTTGGACTCTTCACCTTTCCAATCAAACCATATTAGGAATTCTGCTCCTGAAACAGTCTAGGAAATTAAAGTGAAATTATATTAACTAGTGTTATAAGCTATATTCAGTCAAATTTCTTGGTCCCTTATATCAATTAGTCATTTAAAGAAAAAAGAGTCAGAACACAGTTCTTACAATAAATCTAATCCATCCCGCTCACATGCTTAAAAAACATAACTATAGTTTATAGCTTGGCTGCAAAATATTCCTCCTGATATTAAAAATTGTATTTTGTTTATTTTGTCCAAACTGGATCTGACCCAATGCATAATATCTTATTTTTTTGCTGTGTTTTTTTGTGCTTTATACATCCTTGGTAAAAGCTAATAAAATAAAATCAACAGAGGCATTCTTAGTCAACATACAGCAGAATTGCGATATCCAACACCATATTTTGACAAAATGACTGCACCGTGTGTAGACAGCCAAACTGATTTTAACTTTGATTTCCTTCATTCAGTCGTTTTCAGCCAGTCTAACAGCAGAGAGATGCAAGGTTAAAGGGTGACTTGTACTATATCAAAACAGGTTTGAATGACATGATGTTCAGCTGCGTTGAAAGCAACAAGCGTTCTTAGCTCTGCCAAGCTCAGTCGAAAGCGGCGCTGAATGCCAACTTTTTTACAGAAAGGCAAGATGTGAATCCTTTTAAAATATGGTGAATATTTTTAGACTGCTTCTCCTGGAACACATTCATGGTGGTAAATAGTTGTATCAGAGCTGGATAGAAAAAAATAAAATATGCAACTTTCTCTGAGAAATACAAGAGCTATTTCATATAAATTTTGATGATGGTACAAGCACTTAGTCTGAAAAATACTGACAGCATAGAGTAGCATCTAATGGAAGTGCATGGGGTAATTACATAGGTAGTTCCTTTCTATCAGCCAATACAGTAAACATTTACTGAATGCTCCGAGTAAATTGTTTCAGTAATTGAACATGACCTTGTGCTTTGACAGGAACACTCCTCTAGCAAATCAGAAGGAATTTCTAGTTGAACACCTCCTGTTTTGTGCAATGGCTCCCGCGAGGTGCACTGTTTGATCCTGTTTTATTCTATTTTGTGATCCTGAAGATCACCAAGGTGCCGGTGCAGACATGCCTCCAAAAGACGGACTGCCAATCTTGCATGGCACTGAGGGATCCTTACTGCGGCTGGTGTGTCCTGGAGGGCCGGTGAGAAGCTTGCATTTGCAAAAACACGTCTGCATGAACCTACAGACATATATGCACTAAAAACACCTACTATACCATCTATAATATACACAGTGGGATATTTGTTCGGTGTGTTTTGTTGCAGACACTTTTAGTATCCCGTGGTGTTTATATTCCATCTTCTGTTGTCCACACAGGCGTAAGGAATTAAAGCTGTTTGTCAGCATCATGCAGTGTAGCCAGACTGCAATTTACTCTCATCAGCCTATATTTATCAGGGTCTGCAGAGTAGAAAGGTGTGATTGTATCATATGTAACACAGGGATATTAAAGTTTTTTGCTAGTCTTGATATAAAATGTATGATTTAGGCAGTGTTTCACAGGATAACCAATTGTTGATCTGTAAGTCTGTCTACTTTAACAGAAAATAAAGAATACCAGTAATGTATAGCATTAATGTAAGTTTGGGAAAAAAAGTGTAACTTCACTTAAAGTCATCTTTCCTCTCAAAAAGTACAAAATAATTGATTCAAACTATTTAGATGTTTTGCTTTATCATGATTTCAATATATCCTGAAATGCTGTTCTAACTTGTAAGACAGAGTTACCTCAACAGCAGTGATGGGTGGTGTTCCTTCAGTTTCCATAGATGCTTTTTATTCCTGACTTAAACATTTTTAAACAACATATATGTTTTTGTAAGTAAGTGCAGTAGCCTTATTTCAGCCAGCATGGCTGGGCGGCCCTAACCTGTGGTCCTTCTGACCCGGGAAAACCCAGTCAGATCATTTCTCCTTATTCTCATTCAAAAGTCTTTGTACTGCAGGAACATATGACTGAAAACTTTGCTTGTATCAAACAAACTAGTAATACCGGTTAGTAAATGGGGATATTAATTTCAGAGTTTTAAGAAAATAGTGGGAAAAGGTCATTGTATTTCCAGTTTCTTCCAAGAGAGAGTCAATAGTCTTCCTTATATGGTAATTTTATACACCCTAAAGCTTAAATTAAATAAAACTATTAATGAGTCTAGAAGCATTTTAATGGCTTTATGCTTTTGAAAGTTTTTTTTTTTTTAAATATACATATTTTTTCTTAAGGTCAGTTTGTTGTCAATCCATTATTCACAAAGAAAATGTAAATTCTGCCACATTCTGTGGCGTTGGGGAGGAAATTGTTGAGGGGATGTGGAGCAGATTCTGAAGGAGGTTGTTCATCCTTCATTTGCAGGTGTACCAGAAGGTCTGAGTGCCGCCGGGCAGAGGAGAAGAACGGCTGGCTTTGGAGCCCCGGGCAGCAGTGTCTCAAAATTGTATCCTTCCATCCACAAAACCTTTCCTGCAGAAAAACTGGCAAGGTAAATGACTCCTCATTTACTCAGTTCTTTTATTCCTCTCTCTGGTTTAAATACTTTTTAAACTAACTTCTGTTATTTGAGTTATCTGGCCAACTGTTTACACTGTAAGTCAGAGATCCTAGTCTCTGGGTCTTCCTCTGTATTGATCCATCCAACTTTCCTATTATAACCACAATGGTTTATTGGGACGTTCACTCTAAAGATGGAGAGACTCTCTTATGTGCTTTGCTTCTAAAATGGTTTTCCCCATTCCACTGCTTTCATTTTTTTCTGTCCCTCTACTTCTGACTCACTTGGATTTCCATCAAAAGCATGTCTCCTCCTTTCTTACTCTCAATCAATCTCCCGTCTTTCAGAAGGAAATTGTTTCTTGTTTAGTGACTGCTGTTTGAGAGGTGTTAGAATCATTAACAGAGCAGAGAAATTAACTCTGGTCTTTTTTTAATCAAAGTGTGTGTGAGGAGCATCATTGATTTTAGCCACAATCAATTGATTGTAAGCACTCTGTGTTTTTTTTTTTTTTTTTAAGCAGATCCAGATCAACATCCCGTCTCTTCCTGCTATCGGACCCTCTGACCGTCTTCAGTGCCACATCGGATCATTTAAAAGTGAAGGCTCCATGTTTGACTCCAGTCAAGTCTCCTGCGATCTGCCACAGCCTTCACTTATCCCGAAAACACCTAAGGACAAAGGTCTGGCCTGTCTGAACAGCCTACTTTTTAGTGAAAAATTCAGTTTATTTGAGGTGCCTTGCTAAAGTATCGAAACCCTTTTTAGCTGCTCCACATTATGTTACATTACTGCTTTATTCTTCAGTGTCTTTTATTTGTATTTCTTATGTAAACGAACACAAAGCAACACATTAAATATAAATGAAATTAACAAATAACTGTTTAGTTGCAGTAGAATTATACATGGTGTTCAAATTAGCTTTGCCTTAGTCCTCGACACGGCCGACCCGGGTTTGAATCCGACCTGTGATCCTTTGCCGCATGTCTCTCCCCCTCGCTCATACCCCCTTTCCTGTCAGGTTAATGTCAAAAAAATACAAGCCACTAGTGCCGTAAAAACTAAAAAAAAAACTAAAAAAGATTAGCTTTCCTAACATAAATTCAAGCATCTTTGTTTTATATGAAGCCTCATAAACCATGATACTCCCAAGAAAAAAAAAACAGAATCAGTGCTTTGTAAACCTACTGTTTGCTGCAATTAAAGCTGCGAGTATTAAGGGTTGGGTTCAATCTGCAAAGCAGAGAATAACGACAATGTATATACTCATTCTTCTTTTTAAGAACATATATGGAAAATGAATCCAATCTAAACAAAGCTGCTGTAGCAAATGCAAAATAGTTTTAACGGCAACATGGTGAAGTATGTTACTTGAGGTAATTAATGAGGCTCTTTCCCTCATCAGCAGACCTTAGGTAAAAGAGAACCGGCAGATTTTTTCTCTACATCAATTCAGTAAAGTTTTTTCCAGGCAGGAATGGAAGAAACAGGCACTAAAGCCTTTTTCCCTCAGCCAGAGGAGGAATAATTAGAGACAAATATATGCTGCTTGTGAGTAAAGTTGTTTCTGTCATCTTCTGCTGTTACAGAAGCAGGTGAGTGAACACGGTACATAGAGGAGAGGGTTGAAATCTGAAGCATGTTTTTGTCACTGATATAATCAGTTTGTCTGAATTTTAAAGTCCATTCCAGCACATTAACTCAGGTACAGTTTACTGCCACATGGGTCTGTAATCAGTTAAGTGACACAAACTTATTCCTAGCTAAACATAAGCAAACAATTTTATTATACCAACAAAAAAAAAACAACTAAGATTTGTTTGTTACCTCTTCCAGAAAAATAACTACTATTCCCAATTAATAACCATCTGGTTCTGCTGCTTACAGCAAGTCTGTCCACCTTTTACATTTGTCATTTTTATTTTTATTTTTGGGAATATAATTGTCTTCCACTCTCTATATACTTTGGAGTAACCATTTTGCAGGGAATAATTCACAACAGGACAAATCACGAAATCTGATTGGTTTGTTGCTGAGAAGCCAACTGCATGGGTTGACAAGTGGTCTTGTCAATATTGTTTTTTAATGTTTTGTTTTTTTGACTTGGTGATTCAAAGTCAGGAGGCTCCAGTTGCTAGTTTAGGGGTTTGTCATCATGCTGTAAAGTGAACCTCAGTTTAAAGTCTTTTTCAGTGGCATCATACTTCCCACAGTATAACACTGCCACCGCTATGTTTTAAAGTGGAAACACTGGTCACCAATATAGAGTTTGAAAGTTCCATGTTGTCTCATTTTAGAGCTTCATTAATATTTTCTGTTCTTTAGTTAGCTCATTGCAAAATGCATATGGGACTGCTGGTTTTGCTCCCCTGTTACTCTTCTTACTAATATTATAGAAGGGTATTTTTTATGTTTTTTATAATTATTTCCAGCTTTGTGTCGGTCTATCAAGAATTATAAATTATTTGGTTAGACATTTATAATCTCTGTTGAAGCCATTTCTATAGTCCTAGTTTTAATTCTGTCATATGAATTTTAAGATAAAAACAACATATTTCAAAATGTTTAGATTATCTTTCTATATCATGACAGAATCTATAACTCCATGTTGTTTGTTTCTTGTGGTGTTTGCATATTTTTCTGGCTGGTAGACACTCCTGAGTCAAAAAAACAGAAGATTTGCTTCAGTGATTTACAATTTCTGTTAAAGACTGTTTTTACTGGACCACTAGTTTCTCTAGACTTGATGAGTACATGTTAAATTTGTGCTTTTTGTGCCATGTTATTATCTTCAAAGAGCTTAATCATAATACTCTCTCCTTAGATTTTGTGGCTGTTTCAGTTATGGTTTCCGTCAACGAGACAGTGGAGCTGGCAATGAGGGAATTCAAGTTCTACAACTGTGCTGCCACTGTGAGGAAATCAGAAAACACACCGTGAGTAAGATTGTTACCTATCAGTTCTGCTCCGTCACTCAACAAAATGCACAGTGACACTGAACATGGCATCGGCTTGACAAGTCTGATGTAAATTTATCACCACGCATGAACAGATGAGAGATCAAGGTTCTGTTTGTAAATTGTGATGCATGGTGGTTTTGAATGCACCTCTCGCATTTTTTGTGCCTTTATTACCAAACTGAGGAAATTGCCTGTGTTCCTTTTTCATTAATCAAAAAATTAAAGTCGATCACACCCGTCCCCCCACCCCCCATCCTCCATACTTTTTCTTCATTTCTTTCGAACTGAGGCATTTGTGATGAACGAGCTTTGCTTATGTGAAGTTGCAGAAATCCATTTCAATGTTAGCTGCATAGATTTTTGCGCCGGACGCTCTCTGATGAGTTTGCATGTTTTCAAATTTTGTTGGCATGTGCTTTTACTTGTGTGCAATAATCTAAAGATGTATATAAAATGCTTTGATATTATTGTGTCTTCTAGGTGCACAGCATGTGTAACTAGTCCATGGGGCTGCCAGTGGAACACGTATGATCACATGTGCAGCGACCAAGACGACAACAGCGGGGGTCCTATCATTAAACACCGTAAGGTCAGTCCCAGCAGAACGTTCATGTGTTCAACCACTTGGACTTTGTGCATGTGAAATTACCCCAGACTAGGTCATTTTTTTAATACTTTGTTCTGATTCTTGTTTTGTAATTTTTAAACTATAAAAAGACGTAAATACATTTAATTAAGATATTATGTAAACCGACAAAGACTAGTGGAATTGGAAAGTTGAAAAAAAGACATTTCTATTTACGATTAGATCTGAAAAGTGTGATGTACATTTGTATTCAGCCTGTTTATTCTGCTAATAAAATCCCCTGTAACAACCTGCTTTCTGATGTCACCTAACCATCAAACAAGGTCCACCTTTGTGTCTTTAAATTATGCTGAGATGTCGATATCCACACCTGCTGACAGAACATGAAAGGAAAGCCTTAATTAGAAATTGCCATGATGTCCAAAGTTGCTCTGGAGGACTAACGGAGAAAAACAGCTCAGACAGCCACATGCTGTACAAAGTTTAGATTGTGAGGGGAACATTTAAATACATGCCACACTTTTCTGTTTTTTTTATTAAAACAAACTGAAAAATAAATCCTCACTCGTTCTCTTTGTGTTTTATATAGGTATGCCCTGTGTGGTGTCAGTTTGTGACATGTAATACTAATAGATTTGGTTTATGAGGTGAATTTTAAAAAAATAAATAAAGTTAAGGTGCACAGGGTATGCATACCTTTGTATAACACTATATCTGATTATCACACATGATGCAGCAGCAGAGTAATGCACAGTCTTCCTGAAAATTTATAAAAACGCAAATCCCTCAATCAGCTGCCAACATCCTCTATAACAAATGCTAAGGGCAGAAGATATCAATTTACAAGTCAGCAGATGTTCCAGCGATACACTTATCTGTTGCCACAGATGAGGGCTTCTGTTAAGTGGCTTGCATGTTTGAAATGCAGATCATTTAAAGCGGGCATGTCTGACTTGCTGTCATGTGTTTTCAGGGATTAGAGTGTCCTCTGTTTGAGAATCCAGATCCAAGTCTGATCCCAGTGGGCATCAAGACTAAGATCAGTTTTGAAGGGATCAATTTAAGCAACTACAAGGTAATGTATATTCTTGGATTAAAACAGCGCTTTCTGCTTCATTAAAAAACAAAAGCTACTCTTGAGCAAAAAGCTAAAAGACGAAGCAGAGGCTGGATGTGTTAAATTCCATTAATCAGCTAAATCACAACAGGAAGCCATTATAGGAAAGTGAAATGGTAGATGCACTGTATTTATCTGGCTCTCTGATAGTTTTATTGACCGCTCAAAGTGCTTAGAACACAAGCCACATTCATACGCATTTATGCCACATTTTTATGTCTTACATAAGGCACTTCTTCCATAACAGACAAGCTGATACATCAACTGAGAGATTTACCAGTGTTACTAAGAAAAAAAGTCGACATGTGGGCTAGACTAGCCGATGTTTAAGGACCTACCTTCTGATTAATGGTGCACTCCCCGTGCCCTCTTTAGTCGTCACTTCTGATTAAGACTTTATGATTGCCAGGACTTTATCCAACTTTGTGACCAAACTTGGCAATTCTGTGTGCTTTTATCAGAAGCTGTCTGATCCTGAAGAATGTATAATGTCACCTATAATTTGCTAACAGTATAATCATCTCAGTGTAAAGGATCACTCTGCATGTATATTTTTTCTATGCTAAAGGAAAAGGTCAGTTATATAGCACATAGCAATACGGCTTTTATAAGGATCAGTAGATGCACCTGTAGCTGAGTCTGATTTTGACCAATGCAGATGTTTTTGTGTGTATGTGCAAAAATACTCTCAGGTGTCATACAGTTCTACCCCTACAATGCTCCAGTCTTATTTTATAGAAAAAGACTAAGAGATATGCACAAAAAAATAAAATGTTTTAACTAAATATGTGCTCCCAAAAGCAAACAAAAAGGTTTATGCATTGGCTGATTTTTAGACCTTAAGATCGGCATAAGATCGGTGCAATTTATTTTCATAATTTACTCTGAAAATAGTATTGTAGAAAAGAGTCTATAAGGAGATATTAAAATTATATTTTTGAATATTTGATTAGTTTTACTACAGTAGTTTTACTACAGAATTATGCTACTGCTAATTATGCTATTTTATTTGTCTATTGTATTTTTAGCTTTAAAGGCATCTTGCTTTTTCTCTTTGTACTCTATATAAGCTACTGGAACCAGAATTTCCCTGAAGGAGTAATCCCAAGGGATACATAAAGTTGAGTCTAAGTCTATGAGAAACAGTACTGGCTTCTTAGTGTGCTATTCAAGCATAGTGGTATAAATATTTTCAAGTAGAAAATGTGGTTAAAAAAAGTACACAAGCATTAGGGATCATAGCAGCCTTAAGAGGACGGAAAATAAAAGGCCAATCAAAAGTTTGCGCTGGATTCAGAGCTTTTAAAGGCACACAAACGTGTGGTGACTTTAAACTCAGATTACTTTTAAGTAGAGTTGGATTAATACTCCGGCCAGTCAATATTTTTGGCATATGTTGGTGTTTTTTTTCTTGTATGGTATTGGCCGATATATGCATATGTTCACGACTGGTTATTGTTATTAGCAGCCTAATTATACTTATTAGCAGCCGTGCCTTAAGATCACTTGAAGCGCATGCATTTCCATTTCATCCACTATCTATTGATTATGTTTGTTTTAAATTGTTAATGTTTCTTTTTATTAAGTTTAAGACTTTTGTAACCTTTATCATTATCATTGTTGTCATGTAAATAGAGGAAGAGAAAGTGATATCGGTCTGAAGAATAAGCCTAAAATAAACAGCAGTACGTATATAGGGTTGTTAGTATGATGTCAAAATAATTGTTACCAGCATCAGCATTAAAAAAAACTGTACCGGCCGATCTCATTCCTGAACCTGAGACTTCTTAAGAAGGGCTAAATTAAGGGGGAATTACTGGGCTGTTTCCAATCGCTCCAAAGTCCACTTTTCAGACGAGAGAAATTTTTTTATTTTATTCATCAATCATGGTACCACAGTATGGAGCAACAGTGGAAAGGCACATAACGCAAACGCTTAAGGTTTATTGTAAGGTTTCCACTGTTGTTGACCTTCATTAGTATTTCTGAGTATTCAGGCCAAAAGTAGAATCTAATACATACTTTTCAGAATGTCCTCTTTTTTTTTTTTTTTTTTACTGAAATCACAGTACTGTCTCAGATAATATTGAGATTTTCTGAGAAACTGCATTTTGGATTTTTAATTTGGTATAAGTAACTATCAATATTAACTTAAATAAACACTTCAATGCATCTCTTTGTGTGTGGATAATTCACACATTTTCATCAAGATGCTCTTTCTATGTGAATGCATCAAAGTTACGGTTTCCTCTCTGTGGTCACACAGGGTCGAGTTTTCACCATCGGCACGGAGCTGATGAAAAATGTAGAGGAAGAAGTTATCAGTGAAAGCGAGTCGTTCTACAATTTTAGCGGCTTCAATGTAAGTATATCACAGCAATATATTTCAGCACAGCACTTTGGTGTTTTCCTCAGTTTTGGCAGCGATCCTTCTCTACTTAACACACTCCTAAACTACAGCTGGGTTGTGGAGCTTCTGCTTAGTGCACTTTATGGTGTTACATAATGAGTTGCATATAGTGTTGCAAAGGCATCATTTTTTGCAGCGGATCAGCTTGCATCCGTACTTTGTTTTCATGCCAAAAATTCTATGTGTTGCATAATTATAAATAAAATCCCCCTTTAGCAGCTACTCACAGTCCTTAATATTCTTTAGCTCCCTCTAATGGACAGGCTCTACCCGTTTGAGACATTTTAGCTGCTTCTCTCTACATTGGAAATTCTGTGATTGGGAAACTCAAACCGTACCTTGCCCCCAGCTATGTTCTTTTTCCTACATTGATTTCCTCAGCTGAAAATCTGCCAGACTGGGTATGATTTTTCATTGCTTCTATGTTTTTATTTTTTTCCCTTGGCACCGGGCGGCAGCAGCAGCCCACACTGTTTGAAGAGAACTGTTTAGATGTTATAAATCGATGGATCATATAGTATTTATTCATTCTGTTTTCTATTTTTTAGTTTTCCTACGATAAGTCACCAGAGACCAACATCCTTTTCTATGTGAAGGACAAGGACACCGGAAAGAAGATAGACAGCACTCTAAATGGTTCATTTTGGCCTTTGTTCTATAGTTTGATACATCATTCACAGATAAATGCACTTAAATTTGAAAAGTAAATGTTAATTTGGCAAGCCTTATAATTTGACTCTTACTTTTCATTCAGTCACCCTCTACAACTGCTCCATGGGAAGAGAGGACTGTAGCCTCTGCAAGCATGCTGACCAAAAGTATAGTTGTGTATGGTGCAAGAAGCAGAAAGCATGTGTGTATAAAAAGCTCTGCAGTTCCCAGGAGGAGGAATCCCACAGTGGCGGGTGCCCCGACCCCGAGATCACTAACGTAAGAACATCTGGACCTCACATTTACGTTTAGCAAAGTAACACTGTGTATTCCTCTGGAGCCTGTCAAAACCTGAGAGCATACAGATCTTTGTGATTGGGTTATTGATTGGAGCATTTTATTGGCTGAGCATTGTCTGTCTCAGCTATGTGTTGACAGGAGGTTTGGAAGTCTCCTTGCAAGCATGCTGCAATGTTCCCCTATTATGTCTAGATTGGATCAATATTTTGTTTGTTTACTTGCTCATTGGTGCCTTTTTGTCATTGACACACAAGAAGATCAGTAATTGTGTTGATATAATTCAAACAGAGGTCATCACCAGACATAAAACAGACAAACAAAAACATTGGTTGATGAAAATACTGATGATTAATGGCATTTGTTGGATTGTTTACAGTGTCAGCAAGCTGACAACACCCAATGTTGTTAAAGAATCCCACAGGGTGAATCCTGTTTGTCTGCTTATCCTGGCTTTACCTGCTCATATAAACAGCACCCTGCAAGTATCCAAACAATTCAAACTGCTCCATATTTTGTCACGCTATAGCCAAAACATTATTTTGAATGGCTTTTATTTGATGGATCAACCATTGTGTGAAGATTTTATATTAAGCTCACTTTAAATTAGTACCCCTAAATGAGCATTGCAGCAACTGTATGGAAGAAAAACAGTCTCATTGGAATCTGCCTTTTTTTAACACTGGATTTTTTTACAGCTGCAAAAAAAATCAGCTGCCAAAAACTCAGCTGCATAAATTTGTTTGTCACGTGACCAAATAAGCTAATGTCATTGGCTAGAAGCTGCTCGACTCTATAGAGTGTAGTTTGCTTTGCTTGAGTTTACCAAAAGGTCAACACTTTTGCGGCTGATTTTTTTTTTCTGGTGCATTTTTAACAGATAAAAATTGAGTGTAAGGAATTCAATGTCTAAAAGAATTCAGTGTTTAAAATTCAATGTTAAAAAAGGCAGATTCCAATGAGACTGTTTTTCTTCCATACAACTGCCTTTAGAAATCCTCTAATAGGGGTTTCCAGTCCACCTGCTTATAAGTTAATCTCAGTCCAAACCTAAATAATACAATAGAAAATATTAGTTCTTATGTTAAAGATAAAGGAACACAGCAGACACATCGGGTTTAAAGCTGTTCGGATATTCAGAGCAGCAGCAATGGTGCCTCTGGAGGAGCAGCAGAGATGCATGGCTCAGCAAAAAATATATGTTTTCAAGAAAGCTAATAACTGCATTCAAGTATTAGACATTTTATGTTTTAATGGTAAATTCAAAACAGTTGTTGAAAGCCAAAAAGTCTTTTTTCTTCCAAGCAAACAAGAGGAATGTGAATAATGCTTTCTGGTCAGATGAGACCACATAGTTTCGACAAATCTGCAAAACGTTTTGTCATACTGTGGGTATGCTCTTTTTGAGCAAGGCAAGTCTGGAGACCGAGGTGGATTAGAACCTTCCAGTAGAACTGTGATCACATATCTACAGTAATGGAATATTTTAGTTCATGGCAAGAGTGGCCTAGTCATAGTTCAGACCTAAATTGAATCCAGAATCTGTGACTAGTCTTGGAAGAAAAAAATAATTTTAAATGATCTCGATCTAGTCTACATAAACTTAATCTTTTTTTCCATATAATGGAACAATGCAGAGCAATGTTTAAAGCTGAGATTTGCTGCTTTATTTAGACAGCAAGGTGTTTTTATTCAATCATAGGGATGCAATTCAGACTCACACCACACTTTTAGAAATTGTATGGATTTAAGAAAAAAATAATAATTTTCTTTCAACCTGTAGTCTCAATAAAATGTACTGAGGTGTGATGAGTTCAAGGTAATCAATTGGACGAATAGAAAAGGGCTGCATAAATACTATAGATTTATTACGTCGAACCTTTACTTTAGACTTCTTATCAGTTAATCGCTTATTCTATACGTGTGCATGTATACAGGACTCATACAATGGTCATATGACCTTGACCATATAGCCTGATGAAACAGAGAATCTTTTGGAATATTCTTTTTGTGGAAGTAATTGGTTCTTTTAAAATGATTTTTCCCTATAAATGTCCACATCTCCCCTCCAGATCATCCCTCTTTATGGGCCCTTGAAAGGAGGCATTTCTATTACCATCCAGGGCACAAACCTTGGTATTAATAAGGAGGACATCAAAAGCATCACAGTTGTTGGGAAACCCTGTATCCACCAGGAGGAAAAATATTCAGTCTCCAGAAGGTAATGTGTATAATGTATGAACTGGATCATAAATGCTGTGTAATGTAAATATCTGGTAAAATATTTCAATGAGATTTTTCCAAAATCTTATTTTGAACAGTCTTTGTGTTTGGGGTATTTCTCCCACTCCTCACTGTAGCCTGTCTGCATGTTTTATAGCTCATTATTCAACTGTATTGATCTGCGGTTCTGCAGACAGAGGCTGATTTAGTTAAGACTTCTAAAAAGGGACAGATACTGCATATTGTTTTTGAGTAAATGTAAGACAGCAGGTCACGCTTAGATTTTCTTTCACTGAATTTCATCTGAGGTGAACTTTTTAAGCTGAAAAATATCATATAGCTCTAGTTCAACTCCATATGTAGTCAGGATTGCTTATGAACACATTTAAACATGACACTATTATAAGGTTATATTTTTTGACTCATTCTTATTTTGCTAAAAATAAATGGTATTATTAGATTAGAGCATCTATGTAAGAAGAAATTATGACTAAGATTCTTAATTGGCTTTTTGTTGAGAAATTTTGTTGAGAAAAAAAAAAGAGAGTTTACTGCCAACTTCATAAAATGCGAAGTGTAAGGTTGCTTTAATTAAACTAATGAAAAGTGTCACCAGTAAAATAAACGACGAGGTGTTTCCTGTCATGTGCATTTCCATTTTCACTTAAGTTGGCCCATGCACTGAGGGTGGCTTTGGTCAAATCTTAAGAGCTTGAAACACATTTGATTTAACAGCATTTATATGGCTGAACAAAACCACAGAAGGAATATTTGTTACTTTATTTATGTGGTATAAACTTAAAAAAAACTATAGAAATTCAAGTAGTATGATGTACTCCCTCTAGACTGGTTGCACTGCTGCCATTTTTAAAACTGGCAGATATTTTCCACGGTTGCAACATCTACAGTTTATGAGAAAAACTAGGGAGAACTCTTCTTTAATAAAATTGAGCCACATATCTAGACTAGGACTCTGTGACTAATTGACATAATTAGTGATGTCAACTATAAAATCCAGGTTGCCGTTTTCCTTAAAATATTATGTTTAATTAATTAATCTTTGTTAATTGTTAAAATACTTGGTTATGGGGAAGGGCTTGGATGCTCTCTAGGGGTTGAAAATAAACATTCATTCAGTGGAAATAAACTAATCCATGTTTCTATGTTTGTTTTTAAGCTGCATTCCCCTTGAGGCATTGATGACAAAAAACCTGATTTGGAATTTCCAGCATTTTTTTCTTAAGAGTCCTGTGTCTTTTTAAAAAATAGTTTCAACAAAAATATCCCTAAAATATTGTTTCCCTATACTTTCTGAAAACATCGATGCCAAAATTACATCGATGCACCTTATTATGCCAGAGTTATAAGCGTTTTTCACACAACTCCTTGAAAACCAAGGGAGCCAGACTTCAAAATTAAGCCTAAACAACACGTGATTTTGAATCGCCACCTCTCCGAAAACATTTGATGTACAAACAGGAGACTTTACACAGACCATTTACACCATCGCCACAGCCTCATCAATATTTGTAGAAACATGAATGTGGTCATACTTGTTTACCTATGCCTGCTGAATGATATGTTAAAACAGCCATTTCTGCATCTTTAATACTTTTTGATTTGTTTAGTTCAAAATTGTATTTTTTCCCCCTACTTCAAAGTATTTTCAACAAAAACAGCCTCATAATATTGTTCTCTTGTCCATTCTGAATGAAACGGTTCAGGATTGATGTCAATACTCCCTACTACGATTCCTGAATGACAGACTTTTGTTTGAAGCAAGTCTCTCAATTAATTTACATGCAAAAAAGTGAGCCGCTGCATTTAGGGCAGAACTGAGTGGAAATAAGTTTCCATAGCAATGCAGAACCTGTCAAATTTGATTTAGACTTGTTTGTATGGATGGAGGGAAGGATGAATATGTGTTTAACCAAGTACACATGTAGTACACATGTGCAGCCCTCCAACTCACACACACACACTCCCTCCATGTTTTCTTTATAAGAACTTTTTGTCATGCATAATTTGTCAAAATTTGCTACTACATAAAGTAAGTCTACAGAAATTGGACAGAAAAGTATCTTTAGCTGGACAAAGGAATCCATCCATCCATCCATCCATCCATCCATCCATCCATCCATCCATCCATCCATCCATCCATCCATCCATCCATCATTTCTGTCTGTCTCTGTCGTCTTTTCCCCTTAGAGCTTGCAGTTTAGCGGGCAGCATTCACACTGCATTTTCAAAATAAATGCAACTCTTTCTAGTAGTGATTGAATTTGGTTACATTAACATTAGTTGAAAATATAAATAACCCTAACCTAAATCTCAAGTTCACTGTCTTACTCATACTCGGTAGTAAGACTTTTCTGTAGCAAAATACTGGATATAAATTTGCCAAATAATAATGAATTGGCAATATTTATAGAGGGTTTTTAATACTGCACTTTGCATTTGATAACCTCCTCATTCAGGCCAAGTGTTTTCAGACCAGTCTTAATTATGGTATAATTTCAGTAATGATAAGATCTTACATGCTCTGGACAGATTTTTAATGGTTTATTCCCTTCATCCTGCAGGCACTTTATTTGGCAGGGCACTGTTAAAAAGATAATTGCATTAACCAAGTCTACCAAATTCACTTCAGTCCCAGCTGGGTTTAAAAGTGCTCACTTCATACAAATGGACTATAAAACTGAAAACAGCCACTTGCCAGAGCAGTTGACACCTGGCAGGATGGAGCTACATTTACAACAAATCCTCGCCCCACCATCTGCATGATGAGGCATAAACCGAGATTGATGTGACCAGATGGAGGTCTTCCAGTCTTAAATCACTCACGTTTGTTGTTCAAACGACTGCACTCTTCTTCTTGTTAGCTGCCCCACATCTAGGTTTTTCAGGTGGAAGTGGGCTTGGTTTCAGCTTCTCATTCGATGGTGTGCTCTTGTGTTTGCCTGAATGAGACTTGCTGGAGTAACTTGACTAATCTACACAACACTTACCCGTAGGTGTGCTGAAGACATGGTTTCCACTAAACACCAAGCGCTGAAATATGAAAATGAATCCCGCTGCATAAGAGGCAGCCAGAGGAACAAAAGAAACTGAACTACTTTTAATAATGACTAAATCACTGTTATTGAATAAACTCATTGTGTTCAAATGGCCACTTAGAATTAGCCTTTTTTTCCTTTTATGTATGCAGTTCTCATTTAAATTTTAATGATCTAGATATTTAAAATTACACTAAGAACAGTTCAATTTCAGTTCAGCTCAATTTTAAATATCAATTTCATAGATTTTTTTTTAAAGTCGTATTAATTTTTAGGAAAGTAGGCTTGTGACACACATGGTTGACATTCAGGCATCCTTAAAAATGTAAAAAATCTGTAAATGTCTACATATATCTCTATCTGTGCTCAACCCTTTCTTTAAATCTTTTTGGGGGTTTTTCAGTGTGGTGTGTGAGATTGGACCTGTAGACAAAAGTATTTCGGGTCCAGTGGAAGTGGAGGTGGTGGGGAGAAAGAGAGGAATGTCCGTCATGTCCTTCACCTACAGGGTAAGTCCACAGCGTCACTCTGCTAATCAGCTAGAGCTGCCTTAAATATTGGCTTAAATTTGCCTGAAAGTTATCGTGATATTATTTTTGGATACCATGGTTGAATTTATGACCACTTAAAGAGAACATCAGAATGTAATATACTGTGGAAAAGTATTCATACCCATATTTTAAATTATTCACAAACCTCAATATTATAGTGGGTTATCTTTTGTTGTTTTTTAAGATGAACTAAAATCAGTGGTTATATATAAAATGATACATAAATTTTAAATGTCGTAAGAAAATAAAATTGGAGGGTGTGGTTGTGATGCAGGGGAATATACAACCCATATACAGAGCAGCAGCAATGGTATATTTGTTTTTCTTTTTTTTTTTTTTTTTTTTTTTTTTTTTACAGTGTCCTGTCTGGCAAGGTGGCAATAAGAATAATTGTCTTGATGCCAAAAGGAGCCCAACAGATTTTACTTTCACAAGTGTAGCGGTATCGCAATTGCCATACCGCTCCACTTGTTTCATGTATATAAATTGCTTTATTATAATTATGCAGGGAGTTTTACAGTTCATATGGACACTGCAATGTAAGTAGAGCAGAAAAACAGAAGAAGAAGAAGGAAAAAGAAAAAGAAAAAAACAGGACAAAAGATGAAAGAAAGAGGAGATAGGAAGGAGACAATGACAAAACATTTTCAGTCTGCTTCAACACCTGTAATGAGATGGAGAAAAAAAAAAAAAAAAGAAAAAAGAACAGCACAACCAAAAAACATGGTACGAGATATACAATAAAGCAAACACCTTGAAACTATCACTAAAGTAATATTATTAAGTCTGACATGTACTCTGTGTTACCTGAAGATATGAATGTGGGGTTTCTGTTTGGAAGTGAATCTCTAAGTACCTGAAGCCTAGCACCTGTAGTTGTTTGTGAGGGTGAACTTGTGCATGTAAAGTTTTAACCATAGAAAAAAATGCTCAATAGTGGTTGTGGAGAGCCGGAGAGGCACACCCCCCAGAGCACTGAGTCCAGCGCCGGGAGACCCAAAGCCCCAGGCGCCCAAGGGGACCCCAGAAGCGAAGGCACCAAGGCGGGGCCAGCCCCGGAAATCAGACCCCACCAAGGCAGGAGGAGAGACAGCCACGAGGAAGCCCCCCAGCCACCGCCATGCCGGCGCCCCGGGGAGCCGCGGGGACGAGTCCGCGGGCCCCGCCGGCAGCCGGCCACCCCGAAGTAGGGCCGGGCGCCGAACACCAGCCCCCCCACGGCGCCGACCGAAACGCCCCAGCCCCACAGAGCACCGAAACACGCCCCGCCCCCCAGCACCAAGCCCCGGCGACCGGCCGCAACACCCACCGCGACCGCACCACCCAGGAAAACACTAAGACGGCCCCGCCCCCGGCCGGGGCCCATGCGCATCCGCCGCGAACCGGCCACGAGCGCCGCGGGACCCCCCCCCAAAACGCCCCCCCGGCCAAAAGCGCAGCCCCACCCCACCAAGACCGATGCCAACAGCGCGCAACGAAACACACCGCGCACAGAATCAGCCCGAGAGCAGAAAAGCCGCCCGGCGCAAAACCGCAAGAGGAGCAGACCGCAGCCGGCGCAACCACCCCCCCCAGCAGCCCGAGGGGCAGCACAAAGCCAGAGCGGAGCGAACCGCGCCGCCCCCCCACCGGACGATGCCAAAGCAGCCCAGCCACGTCCGCCACCCCCCCCGCAGCCCGCACCAGGCCCCGACACGCGGCCAGAGCAGCTCCGCCGCCCCGGCCCCCCACCACGCGCCGGTCATAGCCACCCCAGGCCCACACCCGCCCCGCAGCCCCACCCGCCGCGATCAGTGGGAACAGAGCAGCCCCGCCATGCCTCCAGGAGGGAAAACCCACCCGAATACCCAGCCAGCGCAGCCAGCCCGCCCAGACCGGCCCCCCAACACTACCCCCGCCGGAGCCGCCCGGACCCCCACACACCAGCGGCGCGCCGCCAGCAGGACCCCCACCCAGCAGGCCCGCCTGCCCCCCGAGAAAACAGACATGCCAAACCCCCCAAAGAAAAAAAGAGAAAAAAAAAAAAGAAAAAAAAGGGGCCCCCACAATGCGACAGCGGACACCAGACACCGACCCGCCCGCAACCGCTCCCCCCCACCGAGGAAGAGAAAAAAAAAAATAAATAAAAAATAACAAATAAATAGGTAAATAAATAAATTAATTAATAATTACAATTAAAATAAATAGGCAAGAGGAGAAGTGCGAGCGGAAAAACCGGAGCCCAAAACAGGACCCAAGACCCGCACCCCACCATGCCGCGCAGCTCCCCCCCTCCCCGAACCGATACCACAGAACCGGCATAGGAAAGAAACACCGCCCAGGAACCGGCATCGTAGCGAAGGCACCGGCACCGACCCCGAAAATCCCCGAACAACACCCAGCCCCACCCCGAAGCGGATCCAGTCCCAGGCCCCAGGGATCCGAGGCCCCAAGGGCACCCCACCCCCAGACAGGAGCCCCAGCAAAGCCCCGGCCGGCCGGGGCCAGTGGAGAGGCCGCCAGGAATGAGCCAGCAGTCCCCCGGGCATCCACCCCCAGCTCCACCAGTGCACCGGTGAGCCCCGACGCCAGCCAGCGGAGGGAGAGCAGGACGGGGGGAATGGGCTCCGCACTTAGCGGAGACTTGAGATGTATTTGGGAGAGGGTGCGGTTGAGACCCCAACCTGGGAAAGAAAAAAAAAAAAAAAAAAAAAAAAAAAAAAAACACACCATCTCAATCATGCCTTCCCTCCCTAGTGCCCCCACTCGTACCACAGGAAAAAAAAAAAAAAAAAAAAAAAAAAAAAAAATTGAATAAAATAATAATAATAATAAATAAAGAAAATAACAACGCAGACACACATTCACACATAACACTCACATCCAATAATACCAGGACAAAAAACCCGGTGACACCGGTGGTCGGTCCCGGGACTATCGGATGACCCCATAAGTGAACCTAAAATCCGGATGTGAGGGGAGGGGAGCGGCGACACCGCCACACCAACCCATCTCTTTCCTGCTTCAAGCCCGGCCCCCCACCCCGCACACGGACCGGACCACCCCCCGCAACAGCCCCCCCCCCGGGCCCGGGGCCCACCCATCCCGCGCCGGCCACCCAACCAGAACCGCCCCCCCCCCCCCCGAAAAAAAAAAAAAAAAAAAAAAAAAAAAAAAAAAACCTTCAACCAGGCACTTCATGCCCCTCCATCCAACCTTCTTTGGGGAGAGCAGAGGTGACAGCCCCGCCACCAGCAGGCCACCTAGGCCCCGCAGCCAGCCCCAGCCAAAACCACGGACCAGGTGGCCCGCTCTTCCTCCAGGCCCCAGACTCCAGGCGGCAGCCGGAGAACAGGGGTGTGAGAAGACCCCGATCCTCACTGCGCCCGCTCGAATGTGGTGTTGTTGCGTGTTGCTCTCAGATGCAATTAAAACTGGGAGTACCAAGAGGGGGTGTCCGGCACACTCCACCCCCCCTCCAGGAGATAGACGGTGCCAGCACACCCTCCCCCTTCGACAACCCTCAACCCTCAATGTCTAGATGCGAGAGGGGATGGAGGAGGCCGACCGTGGTGAGGCCCATAAAATAAGCCCCCCCCCGGTGGCCCTGACCCCCACCCCCCGAAAATGCCCTACATAGATGTGTGTTGTGAAAATGATGTAGATGGAAGTGTCTAAAATGCAAAATAAAATTGGGGTGGGGGACGTCATCAGAAGGTGTGGCCCTCCAGTAACGACCCCCTCCCCAAAAACCTACATGTGTGGCCGAGTGATGGAGCAGGCAGAGGGAGGATTTCGGGGATGGGGAGCAAAGGACTGGGGTGCCTGCTGCACTCCCAGGGAGCCAGCTCCCCCGCTGACTCCAATAGGCACCCCCGTTCCCCGAGAGCCCCCCCAGAGAAGGGGGCCCCACCAGTTTCACCACCATAGCCCGGGGGCACGGGACCAGCAGCAGGACCCACCAGCCAGCCGGGCACGGAGCCGACTCCACCCCCCCCCCCCCCGTCCTGTCCATCCAAAAAAATAATAATAATAAAAAAAATAAATAAATAAATAAGTAGATAAATAAATAAAATTAAAAAAAATAAATAAATTAAATAAAAAAAAAAATAATAAAAAAAAAATAAATAAATAAATAAATAAATAAAAAAATATAAAAGGAAGATAAGAAAAAAAATAATAATAATAAATAAATAAATGAATAAGGGAAGGGACAATCCCAGCCGGCCAGCCAACGCGCAACACGCAGAGCCCCCACCCCGGACGAAGCCCCACCAGGGGGCAGCACGGACCAGGACCAAGACAGGGAGCCAGACCCAAAGCCCTTCAAAGATCTTCTTCCCTCTATCACCACCCCCCACCCCCCCTCCGGAGATGTAATCCCTCCCCTACAATAACAATCAAGCTACTCACCACACAAGCGACAGAAGACATCCAGGCCGAGATCATACCTACTCCCCCTCCCTCCCCTTCCCCCACTTACAGAGTGCAAACCCGTGAGGGGGTAAGCACTTGCCATAGGTGTTAATGTCCATGCCCCCCCCCAGCCCAGCAGGCCCCGAGGCACCCCGGCACACCAGAGGCCGTGGCAGCAGGGACAGACAGCCAGGCGTACACCGGCCCAGAACCCAAGCAGCACTCCCCACAGAACCCGAACCCCCGAACCCCCACCGGGGACCCCGCCCAAGGGCAATGCGCCCCAGGGATCCCAGGCCCAAGGAGCCACCCCAGACCCACCCCGCAGTAGGGCCGGGCAATGCCCAAAAACCCCCGGCACCGGCGCCAGCACCCCCACCCCGACCCCGGCCCCCGAACGACTCCCCCCAACACCGGTCCCACAGCACCAATCCGAAGAAGAAGAAAGCCACACAACACAGCTAAGCGCGAATCCCGAGCCCCACTCCAAGCCCTGATCCCCCCGCCCACACACCCCCTCCCACACAAAAAACAAACAAAAACAAAAACAAAAAAATTATAATATTCTCCCCCTCACCGGAGAAGAACGGCCGCAAACAAGCCAGTGCCCAACACCCACCGCCACACCACGAGGACCCCTCCACCCAGATGCTCCTCCCCAGAAAAGTCAACATGCCTGCCCTCCCAGGAGACAGGCAAGCCCGCCGAACAGGAATCCCCCCGGCAGCGCACCGCCGGCATGCGGGGGCCCGAGCAGCCCCAACAGAAACAACACCGGAAGGCCGACAAGGACGAACCGACGGCACCAACCAAGCCCCCAGGCGGACTCCCCCACCCAAAAACACAACGAAACCACCCCGCCCCCACCGACCACAGCAAACACAGCCGCAAGGCAAAGCAAAGGACAGAGCAGCCCCACCCGGCGCACGCCAGAGAGCCAGAGCAGCAAGGCCGCCCCAGCCGCCAGAAGCCGGCACAAGCAGCAAAAAGAAAGCAGCAGACGCGACCCCACCACCCCCGCCGCGCCCGGCGCGAAAGCAGCACGACCCACCCCGCTCCGGCCCCGCACCGCCCACAGGCCGCCGAGAGGAGGACGGCCACGCCGGCCACGGCCCGTCCCCCCCCCGCCGCCCAACACCGAGCAACCCGCCCCTCCCAAGCCGCGCACGATGCACCGCACCACGTGTCACCGGCACCCGCCCCAACAGAGCGAAGCCACACCCCGACCCGGGGGCACTCCAAAGGGACCCCCGACGCCCGCAACCCGCCCACAACAGACACACACGAACCCCGGCCACAGGCGCGACCACCCACGCCCCCCCCGGACGACGCAACCACGGCAAGCACCACGGCCAACCACCGAAACCCGGCACCGGAAGACGAGGCACGCCCCGACGCCCCGCAGAGCAGAAGCACCCCGGCCAGCACCACAAAAGAACCGATGCCCGGCGCCCAGCCCCACCCAGCAGCAGCACAGCCACCAGGCCAGTAGCCCACGTCCGCCACCACGGAACCCCCCAAGAGCACCGCACGCGGCCGCCGCAGGACCCCCCCGCGGCGCCCCAGACCCCGCCCCGACGGGGGCAACAGTCCCCCGGGCCAGACCCGCCAGGCACCCCGCTCCGAGCACCCCCCCGAGCCCCCAGGACCCAAGGACCCCCGAACTAGCCCCCGCGCCCCACAAGACGCACCCCATAGCCCCCCACTACACTAAGTGATGGAGCCGATCAAGGGAGCCCAGAGAGATCGGTCTGATGGGGATGCAGATGCTGTCTCAAGATTAATATGATCCAACAACAGATCTCTGTACTGATTGATGTTGAGTTTATCCTTACTCTTCCAATTCATGAGGATAGTTTTCTTTGCGATACATAATGCAGTGAATGCCAAGCAAACCGATTTTTTTCCCATAGAGCTTCCCTCAAAGTCACCCAGCAAGCAAACTGAAGGGGAAATTAGGATTTTACAACCCAGGCACAGTGATAGATCCTTACATACCTGTACCCAGAATCTCTGAACCGGCGTGCATAACCATAGCGCGTGAAAATAATTATCAAGTCGATTGCCTGTGCACTGTGGACAGATGTTAGATTGCGCAAAACCCATCTTGAATAATCTTTGACCTGTATAGTGCACTCTGTGGAGGATTTTGTATTGTATTAATTGTAAATTGGGGTTTCTGGTCATGTTAAAAGTTCTTAGACATATCTGAGCCCAGATGTTTTGTTCAAAGCTGACTGATAAATCCTCCTCCCATTTAGTAATAGGAAGAGATATTGTATCATCCAGTTTAGTCAGTGTCCTGTATAACTTAGACAGTAGTTTGGGGGGGGTTAACTCTAGAAACTCTGATATTTTAGTTGGAATTATTAAACCTCCATCAATATGCTTAAATTTATTTCTAATTATAGCTTTGATTTGCTCATATTCTAAGAATTTATTTTTGTTAATGCCATATTGCAAATTTAATCTAGCGAATGTGATAAACTCTGTACCTTCAAACAAATGATCCAGATATGTAATACCTTTATTCTTCCAGTACGGAAAGTTTATCACATTATTGTTTTGTAGAATGTCAGGGTTATTCCAGATGGGTGTACGACTGCACGGGATAAGTGATGAGTTCGTTATTTTTAGAAATTCCCACCATGCTGTCAGGGAAGAGCTGATGTTAATATTTTTGAAACATGGGTGCCGTTTGATCTTAGAGCTAATAAACGGCAAATCTGAGATTATTATATTACTGCATATATCCTGTTCTGTGTCTATCCAGGGCTCATCTAAGGGATTATGTTTTATCCAATGTAGAGATGTATTGTAATCTATTTGCTAAATAGTAGTATTGGAAGTTAGGTAAATCTAGTCCCCCTCTGTCTTTAGTTTTCTGTAGTGTTTTTAAGCTGATACGAGGGGGTTTGTCCTTCCAAAGAAATTTAGAGATGGAAGAATCTAGAGATTTAAACCATTCGGTTGATGGTTTATTTGGGATCATTGAAAATAGGTAGTTAATTCTGGGTAAGACCATCATTTTAATTGAGGCTACCCGACCCAAAAGGGAGATCGGAAGCGATTTCCATCTTTCTAGGTCCTCTTCTATTTTCATTAAAAGAGGGGTGTGGTTGAGTTTTGGTAACTCAGCTAGTTTAGATGACACAGTAATTCCCAAATATTTGATATTTCCTGATTGCAATTGTAGACCTGAGGGATTCTGTAGAGAGCAATTAATTGGTAGTATTACAGATTTAGACCAATTTATAGAGTATTCTGAGACTTTTGAGAAAGATTCTAGTAAACTAATCACTTGAGAGAGGCAAGTGTTTGAGTGCTGGAGATAAAGTAATACATCATCTGCGTAAAGACTAATTTTATGCTCCATTTTCATGCCTTTTATACCTTTAATCATATATTTGGTATATTTGTTTTTCAATTAAAATGTGATTAATTGAGAATAATTAATTTACAGACCCTGTAATTTAATCGATTACAGATTTTAATCGCATCCCACCACTAGTATAAATGCTTTGAGTTTAAAGATGATCATTTTAAGTGGCCATTCATATCACAGCCTTTAACCCAAAACGGAACTGCTAAATGTTTACATGGCGTATTGAAACAGATGTGTAGCCTGTATGATTTTGTGACAGAATGCCTCTGACAGACTGGGTAGGGGGATTTGAGGAGCCTAAAAAAAAGCATGCCTGTTTATAGTGCAACACTGTTATCCGAGAGTGTGACGGTTGAGGTTGGATGAGCTTGTCATGTGGTTTTATTCTTGCCTGTGTTTGTCCTTCCAAGATAGATATGTGCATTAATTCAAGTGTTATTTTGTGACCAATAACCCTAATGTGTTTGGTTTGTTTTTTTGTTTTGCTTTTAACCAGAATCCGATTCCAGAAAGTGTGCAACCTTCTAAAGGGCCTAAAGCGGGGGGCACACTCATTACAATAAATGGGATGTATCTGGACATTGGCAGTAAGGAAGATGTCCAAGTTAAAATTGGAGGCGTGGACTGTGCTGTGTAAGAATTATATTTGAATTATTGTGCATACGAATACCTTTTTAGATGGAATAGCTAAGTACTACCAGTATCCAAATGCAAAATCCATGCATGCTTTTCTATACTTGATGTAATAAAAATTGTTTAGCCGTTTAGCCCTTTACGGTTTACCTCTCTTGGCTACTAATGTTCCTTTAAATAGAGCTATTAGAAAAACAACGAGCTAGAGAAATACTAGAGCCAAGATTTACCAGTGTCAGGGAGCTGCCATGTTTGCTTGCACTAAAGTGACCTTTTCCAGTCCCAACCCTTCACACTGCATGTACTGAGCCTTGTCCTTGTCTTGGCAGGGAGCAATTTGGAAAAAACATCACCTGCAGGACAGGTGAATATCGACTGGACAAGCTGCCTTCTGACCATCTCACTGTCACTATTCAGTATGGAAAGAGCACCTTTATAGACGTCCCAAGTACCTTCCAGTACTTTGAAAACCCAATTGTTCTGGACCATCACCCTAAAGCAAGCTTTGTCTGGTCAGTTCAACATAAACATGCACTTTTGGTTACAGGGCAATATTTCCAGGTCCTTTTTTTTTTTTTTTTTTACCAAGGATAATTTCATGCAATATTCATAAAGTTTTTAGTCATATTTAGACATTCTGAGTACTGATCATTAGAGCAGTTCACACATCTCTTCTAAGGAACTCATAAGGACTTGGGGACAAGTTGTGTTGTTTCTAGGGGTGTAAATAATAATTGTTTTGTATCGATGCATCGATCCAACAGCCAACGATCCGATGCATTGACACGTCCACAAGAGTATCGATTCATGTATTTTTTAACCTCCAGACTATTTTTATCCATTCTCCCTCCCGTGCTGCAGTGGCGCTAAACCTATTTTTCCCTCCTACCTCGCTTCCTGGTTATACACGAAAATAATCGAATCGTTGGGTCAGAAAATCAATACTGAATCAAAGCGCCATGATGGGTGTGATTTACACCCCTAGTTGTTTCTATAAACATTTTTAGAATGAAGTCATATAAACCTGGAGCATCCATGGTGTAAACCAAACATAGCAAATGGATGTCAGATTTTCACTGTTTTCAGTCAAACTCATTGTAAATTAAAAACATGTTTATGTTCTTTATGTTCATCTTTCTTTTTATTTATCTTTTGTATTTTCTGTAAAGTGACCTTGAGTGTCAAGAAAGGCGCTTTTAAATAAAATGTATTATTATTATTATTATTATTATTATTATATGTATACACTGTGTTACAGTGTTTTCACCTTCTTTCACATTAAAGCCACTATTTCCTTCTTGAAATAGTGGCTTTAGTGGCTTCTGGAGATTTTATGTGATAGACCTACGCAGTTTAGTGAAAACATCAAATAAAAATATATAACGTTTTCAATTTTTGTATGCATGTAAAAAAAAAAAAAAAAAACAGAACAAAAAAAAAACCAACTCTATTTACCAAAAAACAGCAAGCTTTGATTTATCTGAGGGGCTGGAAAAATATTTAAAAAAAGAAATGTAGGCAGTTGAAATGGATGTTAAATTTTCTGAAAATTTGCTTTCATACTTGATTAGATGTTCAACTGCTTGGATCATTATTGTAAAATTATATGTTTGTCTATCACTTAAAGGGGCCGATAAAGGGCTCTGAAGTTGCTGGCTGTGATGTGATAAAACATGAAAAATATTTAAGGCCATCATGTTTATCATTGCCCAAAGATTTTTCTTGACAAAAACAGAGTAAAAATATGTTTGCAGATAATTCCACAGTTTGCAGAAACGGTAAAGCAGATTCAGATTCAGATATCAAACATTTAAAGGGAGCACAACCCTCAAAAACATCAAGCTGGAAAGAAAATCAGCAGTCTGACTCTTGTTTCCTTTGACACATACATGTCATCAGCTATAAAACAGAGCTATGTTTTCAGCCTGAGGGCTTGTCTTTTAGCTCTTTTATTGGGAAAGAAAGAAATACTCTAAGCAGCATGAACATTTCAGGTAATTAAAGGACACACCTTCAGGTTGACCAAATGCACATAAGATGCATTCAGCATTATGTTCCTGTTGAAGACTGCCTCAAGCAGCCTGTAACTATAAACAGAATATGACGGACACCTCAGGCTGTGAATCGCTTTCTTCAGGATAGAAATTGTTCTGGAAGGTGTTTTAAGTGCATTTTTTTTTTATCTTTTTTTGACTCTCTTTTTAAAACAACAGTGAAACAGTTTTCAGCAGTTATACGATTACCCACTAATTTTTTTTCCGAAAGATAACAAGAAAAATGTACAATATTTGTTTCCACTTTAAGTATTGCTTTACCTGTGCTTAACCATACACATTCAGTGAGTTCTTTATCAAACTACTTTTTCCAAGGTGGAGAATGTAATCTACATTATCCTCTGACCAACATTAATGTACACATTCTGCTCCAAAACCTTTTCTGTGGCTGACAGCATGTTTGTAAAGGAAAGTATGGCAGCCAATCAGAGCCTTTTTCACTTAAAATGGATTACAGAGATAAGTAATATTAACAACAGTAGAAATAAGGAATGCTCTCAAGTGGTTTATAGGTGGCTTTAAAACAAAGCTGTTTTCATTTATTCCTAGAAGGACACTTCATTGTCCTCACTTACCTCCAGCGCAGACAGTTTGTCACTGCTCACTGCCCAGCATCTGTGCTTTCTACAGGGGTAGATTTACAAGATGGTTCCGCAGAATCCGACCGAATCAGAGCTGCATCTGGATGAAACGAAGTGGACTCTTTTCTTTTAGAGCTTTTGAGGCTTTTCAAAGAGATTATGGTCTCCCCAAGCAGCAGTCTTTGATGTTAAGTTTCACCTTTGCTTTTATTGTGAAATGCTGACAGCGAGACCTTGAGAGGAAATGCTATGTCAGGGGCAACGGCAGGTCCAAAGCAAATGGTCTTGGGGCTCGGGATTTACTAAATATTAAACAATCATTCCAGCCACTAACTAAGGTAAACATTCCCACTGTTATATTCAATACCAGCACAGGAATGACATGTGAAGTTATGCAATAAATTTATATCAGGAACGGGCTCCCAGCAATAATGTCTGCTGGAATGGCAATGTCACCGGCACTAATAAAAAAAAGTAGGCAAGATCATTTTAATTCAATTCAGCACTTGATGGGTAGGGATAGTTGACCTCTGGGTGACCTAAAAAAAAATCCTCTTTAAATCCCTGAAACAGCATTAGCACACATTATCTTTTTTTAATTAATTTATTGATTTTTTTTTTTGTTTTGTTTTGTTTTGTTTTTTTCATTTTTACAAATGACCATTTTGGCTGCACACACCTGCACTAATGAAGCACTAACCGTTCAGTCAGTTTGCTGAGTTTTTTTAAGTCAGTGGGGTGTCAGCTTTACACAGCTAAGGCTCCTCTAATTTGTTGACAAGGTCCAGGGTGTAAACACTGCATCTGAAATGCAGTGTGGTGAAATGCAGAGTGGTGAATTCCCCACGGGGTGTACGGAAATTACAGCGGCCACCTCGTTCTGTATGAACACACTACAGTATAACAGTGATGTCTTATCCTCTGCAAGGGAAGTTAGCAGAAAACATAATTAAGACCTTTAGGGTTAAGGACAAGAGAACAAGACTCTGTCTGGCAGCACATTTTGAAGTCTGGGAAGTAAAACTAAGAATAAAAACATAACGTTTTCTGTAATAAACGGGTTGATATTTGCTGAAGCAATTGCTGTATTTTTTTCCTATCAGATGGCAACATGAAACTGGTTGTATATTGAGACAATGAACTGCAAAATTACTAAAACAAGTTGTCTTTCTATTTGATTTGTGTTTCAGTGGTGGGAGGAACATCACGGTCACTGGCTCCGGTTTTGACCTAATCCAGAGTGCTGTGATGGAGGTCCAAGGAGGCAACTTATCAGCTGTTGAGGTCTCTATTACATTTCTTCACTTTGATCTGATCTATGACCCTTTTACCTTTTTATAGTAATTTGTCTTCAGCAAGTTCACTTTTTATTTACATTCTTTCTTCCATCCGTTAGACGCACTACAAACTGAAAGCTCTTAAACCCAATATAAAAGTCATGTTGTTTTACACGCACTGAAAAGTACCTATGCTCCTTGTCCAGTTTATTAAGTTGATCTGATTCGGCCAGAAAACTTAAACCACCAAGATTTTACACAGCTTGCTGCAATTTACAGTTGTGCTTGAGTTTACATTCCCTTCCATTAGAAAAATAACTAAATAAATAAATTCACACTAGTAATTCACAACACTGAAAAAATGAATAAATAAAAATGTATTAAATGATTTCCATTTTTTTTTGAATATTTTTTAGTTATTATTAATTTTGTCACTTTCAACTTATTTCACTGGCAGCTGATTTTTTTCTGTCTTTTTTGGCAGGTTATGTAAACTTTCTAGTTTAATTGTTCCCATCTGGGTCCTGGGCACCATTACTCTGTCGTAATGCAGTTAATGCTATTTAAAGACATAAATATGTTACTTGATTAAAATTTTCACAAGCTTATACAGCTGTGCTGAACTTTACCTCTTTGTTTCTGGGCCAAATTCCTCTATAGAGATTGGGAGGTACTTCAGGCCAGCACTGAATGAGAGTCTTATCTCAAAGGCTTTGACTGCTCTGTTTAATAAGCTCCTCTTGGTTTAAGTCCATCCAGCTAAGCTCAAATATGCACACTGATTATGGCTGCTGGCATGTGGTAAACCATGTTTGTTTGTAGGTTAGTCAAGTGTTTTCTTGATGCAAAAGAGCTGTAGTACTTTTCGTTATAAAATGTAGACCTTTGAAGTTCTGAAATCAGTTTTTTTTTAAGTTTTTATGGTTGTCAATTTGATTGAGGATAAGAAATATCATCCCAATCAGCCACTTTAAGAACCAAATCCATTAATGTCACAGAGAGGTCGTCATATTAGAATGGTTTTCATGGCTGGATAGGCAAATTCTTGGGTAAAATCATGCTTAAAGGTATTGTGGAGGATTTTCGTGAATTTTTTAAAACACCAGTTCTTAACAAAAAAAGATTCACACAACCTTGTATTCGTTCCTGAAAGGGAACGCCTGTTAAACGCGTGCAAGAGCATTTACGAGCCCATTTCATGCACGCTCTGTTTAAAAGTTGCTCTCCTCATAGCTCGTACAATCTACTGTGTCCAAACATCGACCCTAACCCCTAAATCCCTCAATCACTATATAGAGCAGGGACTACATGGTGGACTTAATAGTAAATTCAGTTAAATTGCACAGATGATCACTACTTTTTTCTCCCCATTGGTCACGTAACTCCTCCACCGCATGGGTCCTGTGCCATCTTTATTAGTCACAGCGGGTCGCTGTGACAGCAAATCCAATAATGCTTTGCAAGGAGAGCTCTCCGTGCAAAGCATTATGGGATATATCTGCCTCTTCTGAGGCCTTTCTTTTCTTCTCATACACTTCGTAGACACTTTCTCTTATGACCCTCGGCCATTTTCAAAGAACTGCAGTGAGAAAGGTGAGCTTCAATGACTGTCTGAAACCGTAGCTCACCACAGATATATGCCTGAAAGTGCGCATGCACAGAAAAGGTAGCTAATAGGACGAGCACGTAGGACGGCCTTAAGTAAACATATCACCAGAATGTTTGACAATTAGGAGGTTTTGGTTTCAGGTCAATTTATTTTAAACAATTTGTTTCATCCTTTCTAATCAAAGTTTCAATCTAAACACACTGCTATTCTCAACATCTAGAACAACACATTTCAATTACTATAACCATCATTTCTGTGGAGTCTGTGGGTTTTTTTGCTTTAATTACACAGCTAGAATAACTATTAAACTGTTTGTCTTGTAAAACCATCATTTCTGCAGAAAAATAGATTTATCTGGTAAGAAATACTGTAGCAGCTGTTATTTTAAACTGAACTGTGCTAAAGTGATGGACAGAGTCAGCATTGTTAAAATGGCCCTGTTCTGTAAACATATTTTGGTTTATATTAAACCAGTCTTGATTATAGAGTACACAAGCTGTGTATATGTAATGTAACAAGGAATCATGAATAGAGAACTGTACATCTGAAAGCTTTTTAGAGGAAAAAAATCAGTTGGCCTTGATAAGCAATATTGTGAATGAGGTTTGATTAAATGACAATTGGCTATTTACCATAAAGAGTATAGTGCAAAGAAAAGCTGTTATATTCACTTTTTTTTCATGAAACTAATTAGAGAAAATTATTTTAAGGTAAACAAGTCATAAAAAGGAGCCCAAAGAAGAATTAGTTTCACAGCTGTTTTGAATTTACCTGAATTAAGGCACGCCTGCCTTCTACAAATGTAAACTGAGTTTATAGTCTGCCATCAGTACAGTCAGTGAGTGATGGAAAATCAAGAAAATGAAGTGACAAAAGTTTGATAAAGCAATAAACTGCCGGTGGAGGAGGGACTCTGAGATCTCTGACTCATCGGAGGCAGCTGTTGTTCTCTGAGGCAGATTGAGGTCTAAATAGAATTATTTAAAAGACATGCATAGTTTGATCCTCTTTATTTTACAAAAACTGGTTTTTCTTACAGCAAACAACAAAAAAGGCCCTTCAACACCCACTATTTTCTTTTGAGTCCCTAATCCCGGTCAATAGTTTTTCACGCTGAATAGTGTTATGTTTTCATTTGTGTCCCGTCTTTCTCATTTATTATCTTCATGTCTTTTTCAAAAACTGTCACACCACGAAAACCCAGGTCGCCCACGAGAAGAACGACACAGTCATCCAGTTTCGGTCTCCAGAAATAAACGGCTCCCTGAACCAACCCTTTAAAACCTACATCAAGCTGGACAATTGGATAAAGGAGCTGAAGCCCTTCGACTACCATCCCAACCCCACCTTCAACAAACTGCCGAAGAACATCATTAATGAAGCCAGCATCATAATCGTCACTGTGAGTATACACAGCGCACACCGCCTTCATTTGTTTAAAGAAATGAAGATAAACTGCTTCATTATCTGACATGAGAATTAAAGTGGTAAAAAAAAAGTGCTGAATTGCAGTTCTGACACATTTATATTACTTAGCAGCTTGTGTTCTGTTCTGTTGGTTATTATAATTATGCAAATAACAGTGCACTTGTTATATTGAAAGTGTTGATTTGAAATGATAAATGCTAATTATTGGTCCATTTAGCAAACATACATTTAAATGTATGAAAGCTGTTTAGAAAAAAAACTAAGCCCAGGATAATGCAAAGCTAAATACAAATGATTGGACATGACCAAACATGGTTTCAGATTTCATGCATCTTAAACAAAATAAAAAAATCCCCTATTGCTTTGTATTTGCACAAATGTACATATTAGGTATGAGTAATTCATAAACTCATTTGACGTTTACCTCCTCATAGGAATTACATTATTTTCATGTGCTTCCTCTTATTTTGTTCTGTTATAATATTGTGTTATAAACTCCTACCTTGTTAGTTTTTCTAAAACGGCAGAAAAAAAAATATTTTGAATTCAATATTAGTCAGCATAGTTTTTGTACTGTAATCTCCTCCTAAACTATCTTAAACTATCTTAAAAATTCTCAGGATCAAGTGAAAATCTGTGACAATTTTTTAAAAACATTTTCCTCTAACCTTTCCTTTTGTCAAAATTACAAAAAGTTAGACTTGTTGACTTTCCTGAAAATTCCAATTGTCGTGTTGGTTTGCATTTTTTTTTTTACCCAATTGCAGAATCACATGGAGAACCACATGAATATCATTGTTTTATTTAAAAAAGCAACAAGAATCTGGAAGCAGAGAACTGAAGGAAGTCAGTTGAACTTTTTGCTTGGCTGAGGGGAGAAAGCAGACCCATTAGGAAGGAGTTGGTAGATGACAACTGCATTTAAAGAGATTCACAAGAAGATAAATTTCAGCAAGAAAGATATTCCTGGTTTAGGTTTTAGCCTGGATTACCATCAGGTTAATCATCCAGCGAAGAGAGATGATCCTCCGCCTCCTTATAAGCACGCTAGTCATCTTGATTGAGAAATGTTCTCAAGTGTGCAGCATCACAGGTCAGCCTAGCCTCAAGCAAAAATCCTCTCTGTGACAGGAAGCTCACTAACACCAGAAAAAACAGTAAAACCCCACAGACCCCAACAGTGACTGGATTTGGGAAAAAATGTAAGGTTGATTATCTTTAGTTAGCAACAGCTTGTAATTATGCTTCCAGCAAACACAATCTTAATAATTTAAATGACATCTAATTACTTTTGAGCCCTTAAATGGCAAGAACTGTTAAGGGTTTGCACCCTTCACCCGATTCTAATTAAAAAGCCTCAAATAATGCTCACGGTGCTCATTAAGTGATGCATTTAATATTGGTAATTATGAAGGTTTTTTTTTTTTTTTCCCTCTCGCATGTTGTTCAGTAACGACACTTTGAGCATTTCTGTTGCCTCTTCTCCTGCAGGGTCGAGGATTTTCCCGAGCTATGACCGCCAGAGAAGCCCAAGCATTTGTGGGTGATGTCCAGTGTCAAGTCAACACCCTTCAAGACGACAAGCTTTTTCCTGGACCCACCCTCCACCACGCCACGCGCCCGTTCCAGACGGCAGCGCCGGGACACCAGCCCTGAGATGCTGGACTTGCTGGTAAGATCAGATAAAGATACATTTTTTGAAACTTGGAAAAATAGTTCAATATAAATTAAAACTACCTTTGTTAAATATTTGACTCAGTTTAACTCTTAGATTAATGTTTTTTATGCTGTTATATCAATCATTTCAGTGGCTGTGTAAAGCCCCAAAGAGTATGAAAGATTCCCATCTAAGACAAAATAATTAGCAATGAAAAATAATCACAATTTTTGAAACTCATATCATAAAAATGGCCTTAAATTGCTAAAATATATATTTTAGTAATGAATGAATTAAGAGAATGAATGAACAGATTATTTAATAAATAGGTGAAAATATTTTTTTTGGGGGGGGGGGGTCAATTAAGCAATTATGCTTTTAAACTGGCTTCATTAAACCTTTGATAAAGTAACTGCAAAATTGAATGTATCTATTGAAAAAAACTTGACACAGGTTTTCAAGAAAATAATCTCATACAAAATAACAGCTTATCAGTTACCGTACTCGGCGGATATTTGAACCAGAAAATTTTTTGAAAACCATCTTAAAACAAAATAGCATCAAATAGATGGAGTTTTATTATTCTTATCCTCCCTGTGTAAATATATTTACTCTGTGAACTTCAGACAGAGGCTCTCAGTGCAAACTTTATGTGAAATCTTTGTAAGAACAACTATGGAATAAAAACACAAGAATTTAAGGGATTTCAATGGTAGCTGGGTGGGAGTATAACTGGAACAAATGAAGAAAATCCAAAGTAGAGGTTCCTCAAATCGCTAAGGAACATTACTTAAGTAAATGTTCTCTGCTACATTCCAGACCCATGTGCAGACTTGTAGACGCAAGAAGCTATTCATCAGAAATATTGCCTGTAGTTCTCCAGGCATGTCCTCTATACTTCTTGAGACATTTTTTTCCCTTTTCTCCAGCTGAGGAATTTCTCTGTAGCTACAGGCCCCTATAATTACATTTAATTATATCCAACCCACAATTGTGATGAATAGAGTAATCTCTCCCATGGGTAGTACCTAAAAGTGAGCTATTGTTTCACTTCTGCGGCTGTTCAGTGCTGCATAATTAAGTAACATGACTGAACTATCAATTGTACAAGATACGTGCAGTGAAAACAAGAGAGCATGTATGGCTTAACATTATGACCACTAACAGGACAAGATGCGCTGGTAGCCATTTCATATTGCCAGCTCTCACTGAGTGGGACATGTTAAGCAGAAAGTGACCATTTTATTTTCACAAATATAGTTATAAATGGGGAAAATTTGATAAGGCTAATGATTAGAACGGCTTTAAGTCTCTTTTAGATGAAGCCTGGCCTGTGTGGTCTGATGCAACAGTCTAGATCAGGGGTCTTCGTTTTCCAGGCGAAGGACCCCCAAACTGATGGAGCAGGGACCCCCTAATTATATATATTGTATGAAATTGTGTTGTATCAAACTGGTCCTATAGTCACACTATTACATATGGAGTCCTGTAATGAAAGTAATTTCGCCATGGGATTTTAAAGTATTTCTGATTCCTCGTTGATGGGACAGGTGTTGTGAATTAAATAGTGCCCAGTTTGAAATAGCTCCTGTTTGTTGAAAGACATCTTCTGCCTCCATTTATCTGTTTACTACAATGTGTTTAATTCATGTTAATGTCAATTCAAAGACATTTCAATTAGTGGAATAAATTGCAGGAGAAATATATTTAAAAAAAACGTCTAATCAACCAAAACTTCCGTCCCCCATGCAGCACCTCTGTGGACCCACTAGGGGTCACGGACCCCTGTTGAAGATCTCCAATCTAGATAGAATGGCTTAAAAAGAAGACGGGCACAAACCAGTCAGATTGCCTTACCAATCTTTGTTAAATTCTAAAATGGTAAACAGTTGGAAAGTTTTTTTATTGCCTCAAAGTCAAGACTTGACTTTGAGGCAATAAAAAAAAAAGATGGACTATTCTGCAAAGGCTTATAGTTCTAATAACACATGGACTAAAGGGGAAGGCCTTGTGGCAGAATGGCTGATGGAACATGGTAAAAAACCAGTAAAGGCAGTATGACACTTTGGACAGTCTTCTGCTGGGAACCACTGGGTCCTATAATCCACATGGAGGTTACTTTGACCAGCTACACCTTTTCATGGAAACTGTTCACTAATAGCAGTGGGCTCTTTCAGCAGTATAACGTAACCTGTCAGAAAGTAAAAAAGGGTCAGGAGTGATTTTAGGAGCACAAAGTTTTATTTGCCTCTAAACTCCTAAACTGTCTATCTTAGTCCTTGTTGGTATTTGTAAATTATTTGACAAGGAAACAAGTTCAGTTTTTGAGATAGAATCCCAATATAATCACTGAAGAGAATTTATTTTAAATTCATGTGATTCCTTTTTGTAACTCACACTTTATTAAAGGTCAAAAAAGTCTTCTGTAAAAAGTCTGCCATTTTGCTGATGTTAAGCTGACAGCGGTCCTTGCTCATCAGTACACTACAAAGGTTTTCAGTGGAAATAAATGCAGATTTCCATTTATATAGTTGGATGTTGCTTTACACATTCTATGCCACTGTCTGCGTGGGTAAAATGTGCTTCTCTTCTGTAGGATATAAAAGTTTCCCCCTGTGTTTATCCACAGATCAAGTTTGGAAAAGGAGAGTGGGTGATCGGCTTGGTGGAGTTTGAAAAGAAGAACGATTTGTCGCTCTACATAATCATCCCTGCGGTTATTGTGCCCATGCTGCTCATCATCATCATTTCTGTCTACTGCTACAGGTGAAATAGGCTCACTGTCCTACACTATAACACATTAGCTGTTATTCAAATTATTCTGATTTAAAAAGGAATTTGAATTCTTATTTAAAATAACAGCAGTTGAAATATTTTCCCTGATTTTCAAGCAGATACACCCTGCCTTTTCTTTTGGTTTCTGTTTAGGAGAAAGAGTCAACAGGCAGAGAGAGAGTATGAGAAAGTTAAGCACCAGCTGGAGAACCTGGAGGAGAGCGTGAGAGACCGCTGCAAGAAGGAATTCACAGGTAACAGGAAAACAGCTGCTAATGCTCAGCAATGTTATTAATGCCTGATTGAGAGTAATGTGCTTCATAGCTGTGATAGCATTTATTTTTTCCACTGTAATTAATTCAGTTCACCCACTTAGTGTTCTTCTGTCATCAATATGTGAAGTGGTTTGCCAAAAAGGGTTATAAAAGCAATCTTTTAATGTGGAATCGATGTTTCCTGGAAGGGTTTTATGTTTTGTGTATTTAATAACATAATTTAAATTGATTAACAAGGGGGAAAAAAAATCTTATTTTGGAAAAATAAGGTCTTTTTACTTTCTGCTGTTTTGCAGACCTGATGATTGAAATGGAAGACCACACGAACGATGTGAGCGAGGCACGAATCCCCTTCCTGGACTACAAGACTTACACAGACAGAGTCTTCTTCCTGCCTTCCAAAGACGGAGCCAATGATGTCATGATCACAGGGAAGCTGGATATTCCAGAGGCTCGGAGAGCGACGAGGACACAGGCACTCAACCAGTTCTCAAACCTGTTGAACTCCAAGACGTTTCTGATTAATGTAATTATAATACAACACATTAACTCTCAAATAGCCTACCCAGACACTTGAAGCTACATCTGGGAAGAGTTAGCCCCTGTTGCTCCCCTATGTGTCTGTTTCAATCAGTCCATGTTCATGCTATCCCATAACGGCAAACTCAGACTGTTTATCCTAGGAAAAAGACTATTGGCTAAATATGACGACTTTACATCTTTGTGATCAACAAGTATTACACTATAGTCAGTCGATTTATGACGCTGTCAGGTTATGAACACATACAATGTACACCATGCACTTTAAATTTTTACTGCAACATTGACTCTTGTATGCATTTGTTTATTTTATATATTTCGTGTGCTAAAGGGGCACAGATTAACTGTCCACATTTAAAGCTGACACATTTACATGAATCTGCTTGTCAGTTTCAAAGGACAGACAGTGATAACACCACCTCTGTGGCAGCACAAATGTGCAGTTAGCATAACTAAACACACACTTTTATGATACAGTTGTTTGTCCAGAAACAATCTCTATTTGTTCCTGTGACAGCATTATCTCTGTCCAGCATTACGTTATTGTACTATTTAAAGGGTATATGCTATAGTTATAGTATTTACAACATTATCTTCTCCGTTATATTGTGGCTTGATGGTCCTGATCATCATTTTTATTTGCCTTTTTGTAGACACCTAGCAAAGAGTTTAAAACTGAACACAAGGCAATGAAGAAAAGCTCAAAGTTAGAAATCAGGACAAAAATCGGCAAAAGAAGCTGTTGAAAGTCACCCTGGATGAGCCCACTCTGTTTTTTTGCAAAGCAGGGCGAATTGGCTCTGACAACAAAGACAGTAATTTCATACAAAAAAAACTACAGTTCTTGGAGCTTTCAACTAGGTCTGGCCATTTTCTTTCACAGCTTCAGCCAGTACCCATATAAACCGTCCCACAGCCTTTATTGCAGTGATTTCCTTTTCTTTAAATACAGTTTGCACTATGTTTTGATATCGGCCTTTGAAAATCCTCTATATGTTCTGGTCTAACATGCGCAATAACAGTCGGATCATGAAGTGGCTGTTTTTTTGTATCTTTTTTAATAACTTTTCATAATCTGACAAAAATGTACAATCAAATGTAGGAAATTGTTTCAATTTTTGGGGCACAGAGGCATGAAAAAAACTGACACAGATTGGGATCTGCTCACCCCTGCATAGTTGGATCCCCTCGTTACTCAGTTAGTGTGATATTGAAAATAATCGCACTGGAGATTAACCCGGGCTTTAGTTTATGAACACATAATTCTCTTTACCCCTTTAGAGTGATACTGAATTTACCTACATGTACTGTTATTTTTCATGCAAGAACTTTGGGAATATAGTCTTGCTTTGTTGGGGTAACGGGGTGTTCTGATACAGTAAGTACCCTATTTAATTTTATTGCAAATTATATTTTGTTCTTGTTAAGTTGCTTGAAATAAATTTTTTTAAAGTATTTTTACCTTTTTTATAGCCAGTTAAAGCTTATCGACATGCAAAGATATCAAGTTCTAAAACATCTGGTTTACTTCAGTGTTATTTTTAAAAAACATGAAACATATTAATCTAAAGCATACATTTATACACTTGAGTGTCTCTACTCACTTTTTCGATTAGTCTTTTTAATTTTTTTATTGATCTACTTTATTAATTAATATTTAACTTCTTATATTTGATAATTGGATGCACCAGTTGTTTTTAAAGTTCCAATATAAAAATATTATTAAAGTCAATCCAAATAACTACATAGTTACTTCACTTACTAACTGATTTTGCAGTATATTAGTTACTAATAATGTTATGTTTTGAAAGAAGTAACTCATAACTTCAAATAGTTATTCTCTTAAAGATTATGTTATGAACACAGGTTACCAAATCAAACCTCTGTATTGGCAGATCATGCAGCGGCTGTGTAAAACACTGCAGCAGTAAAAAGAAGAAGCTAAAAGTTTCCCTTTTTTATTTATTTATATTTATTTATGCTGAGCTAACTGATATATTGCTTGTTTGGCTCCATGACAACACATTTAGCTCTTGCAGCAGCCAGTTATCATGGGTGATGTGCAAGAGGAATGTTTGGAAAGAGATGTTATTGATTGAAAGCATTTTCCTCATTTTCTACTGCTTGGTTATTCCCTTCAAGCACAGAATAGTTGTTTCAAAATCCTCGCGCAAATAGCAGAATGAGCACAGAGACTGTTTTTGATGACGGGAGAAATCTGCCTATTTCACCTGTTTAAATTTCATGAACCTTATCCATGTTTATCGCATTGCAGGACCTTTGGGAAATCACTTAACTTTTCAAAATATTCAGTATAAATACAGATAAGTATTACACCTGACTGTTTTTAGAAAATAGGACTAGCTAGGTACCTTTATCTCTTAAGGATTTATATAAATTATAACTTTATCAAAGATTTATTAAAAATGCACCTTAACCCTGGCATTAAACTGCAAGAATCTATTTTAAAGTCAGGCTACCATCCTTTAAATGGAGAGCTTTCATGTTGTATTTGAGCTATAGCATCAGAATAGCTAAAGACTGAGCAGAGAGGGACGTGTGAAGTCCCATATTAATCCAATATTGCTGGCACAGAACAGGCCTCTGAGGTGTTAAGTGTGGGGAGATTCTTCTTCCACTAATTGGGATCATTTCTAAGCCACAAAGTTTTACAGGGCAGAACTAAATTACCTTGATAATTATAATTTTCACCAGCATTAGTCATTTGATAATTTGAAAGTGTATTATGCAGGATTTGCTTCAGTGTGTGCGAGCTACATTATGATGATTAATTCTCACCTCTTTGTCTGCCCATGTCTGTGTGATCCTGGTTTTGTTGCAGTTTATCCGCACGTTAGAGCGCAGTCATGATTTCAACGCCAGGGCTAAAGTGTACTTTGCCTCCCTGCTTACTGTGGCCCTGCATGGGAAGCTGGAATACTACACTGATATTATGAGGACTTTGCTGCTGGAGCTGATGGAGGAGTATGTTCACAGTAAGAACCCCAAGCTGATGCTGCGCAGGTGAGTGCAAACCAACTTTATTCTGCTTATCTACAGATAATGGCACACTTTTAGTCTGCAGTGGTGAGATCAATGTATTCATGTGATCTGGAAGCTGTTTTTTTATTTAAAATTATCTGCAGGCCAAATTTCTTAGAACAAGTGCAATATCTTCCTTTTGATAGTTATTTGTTTTCACATCTATTCAGTAATTGCCAAAAGAGAAATAAAGTTAATTGGATTTAGTAGTGCTTTTATTTTTCCTCTAAAGGGTTAGAACATTTGTTAAAAGTGTTGTTTCATGTTTTTAAATTTTCAGACAGACTTTGAAATTTGAAGATTAGTCAAACTTTTCAGTAGATTATTAAATGTCTATGATGAGGCTCTATAGGGAGTCTCTCCATTTCTAGACTTTGGCGCTGATCCTTTCAGCCAGTTGAGGCGGACTGGGAATCATCTCAAGATATGGTGGACTGTTTCATTCTATTGCCATATTTTCTGTTGAATTTTGCACCGACTACTAGTCCTCTAAGAGGGAGCCAGGCTGCAGCTCAGTCTATTCCAGTCCTCCTCCTTCTGTTCTTCCTTCTGTTTTCTTTTTTTCCTCCTTGGAGCCCATCATAGTCTCTGCTAATAATTGTTGTTCATATTTGAGGTCTTTAATAACGCCTACAATATCATTTCTAATCAGATTAATCATCATAAAACATGCATTAATCCTGTTAATAAAATAAAATTTTTAGTAAGTTATACTTGAAAGTATTTCATTAGAAAATCAGTAATGTGTGATTAAAATTGTTTGAAGTTATGAATATAAACTGTGCTGGCCATATGTTTACTTTATAGACAGTGTAAATGTTTGGGCATAGATTCTCACTTATCCAGGAGTTAATAATATGATATTTCACCTCACGACCAAAATGGTTGTTTAAATATTGAGCTCAATAGTGGGAAGGATCAGTGAATCTCTGGTCCTAATTTCCCCATTAGTCACTTCAATGGCCCTGTTAGATCCGACTACAATTTGAAATCCAGAAACATCCAAAAACTGAAGATGCCCTCTAAGAAACCAGAGGAATTAATGTTTAAGATATAAATCAAATGATAACTATAATAAAATGTGAAATAAAAATATTATGTGTGGAATTATAGTAAATTTTCTTTAATCCAAAATAGTTTCAGGCTGGGCTTGGTCTTAGGTGGTTCAAAATAAAATGTTGTAGACCTGTCCATTAGGAGGATACCAAATAGACTGTTACAGACACAATAACAGTACTGCAACAAATGTACAATAAATTATAAAATAATGCCCAAGACATGTAGAAAGCACTGTACGGCACACAAAGTCTATTTTAGGATAGGTTTTCCTTATTAATTCAAATATGGATCCAGCTTTTAATATGGTTAAGTGGTTGAGCATTACAGAAATCTAATATTATCTTCTAAAGAAAAGTCTAAAATTATGGAAATTGGAATTATTCTGCCATCCCCATCCAGGCTGTGTGATAAACTAGTATCAGTATCACATCATCAAAAAAACAGACTTTTGACACATTTCCACCATGCTTGACATATTTTAAAAGGTTATAAGATTTTAAAGCCTCCCCTTCACTCTTTTAAATGCATCTTGTGTCCATGTGACTTAATAGCTAAATATTTGTGTCCTCTGATTGAAGTCTGGACTTTTTCCAAATGTCTCTGGAGAATATTCTTTACAGCCATGCATGAAGGTGTTTTGTAAGCAGTGTGTATTTCATGGTTATTATCCTCTCAGTCCCTATTGATATTATCATTACTGAGAACAGTCACAATAATATTCTGTCTTTATGTATTCAATTAGAGTTTTTAGCTTACCTAAACATATTAGGTATTTGGATGGACAGATAGGTTGATATAGAAGAGGGGCAGTTCAGTTTAAATGTTTAAAACATGGACGAAATTGAAACTGGTTTTGGATGACTTGAATTAAGCATCCTGATTGGCAAAGCTCTGACTTTAGTACAGCCAACTTACAATTGACTATGATTAATGGTTGGGTCTCTGTCATTAAATCAACTAACTCAAAAGGGCTTAACTGACCTGAGTTCAAGAAGTTCCTTTCTAAAGAAGCATTTAACAAACCTTACCTGGGATGTATGTCATAGTTTGTCTAAATGTCCTTTTTTGTAACAGTGCAGTTTAGAGATAATCAATAATAAATCTATAAATGTGTACATCATACTTATTTTCTTATTAAAGTTAAGTTGCATAATCATTCCACCTTTGACAAAGAAAAATGCATCACTTAAAACTCCAGCTTAATGGCATGCATGGCTTTAGTGATTTGATGTGAACCTGGAATCTGATTTGCATTAGAATATTAAGACAAGGTATTTCTGAGATATTCCAGAATACTGTTTTCATTAATTATTTTGACTTTTTATACTGAATCTTTTTCGTTGTTCATTTGCTTTGCTAATTTAATTAGTCCTTCAACATTTACATTGAATAGTTGTTTATAAAAAAAAGCCTAACAGAAACCACTGATAGTTAGCAAGCTCAGCACGGTCCGTTTTATTTGTTTGCTTACTGTAATGATGACATCAGTGTCAAATCCTCTACTGATTGCACTACAGTCGCTCATCACCTCTGAGACGGGGTTATGTGATCTGAACTATCTGCTGTGCCGAGGCAGGCTGTGACTTGCTGTAAGCAGCAAGCACACATCCTAATTATTCCCCAGTGGAGAAGCTCATTATGTTGATTATGCTATTGTACAAACACAGGCCCCCCTTATACACCAGACATCTAATTAGGTATGCCACAAGTTAACAATGGGTGTCACCAGCCCGTCAAGTGACCGCTGACACAAGATTTTGATTAAAATATCTTGACGCTGATTAGCTGTTCAGAAAACACTGAAGTGTTTCAGCATTTTCAGGAGGACATAATGGAGATGTTTACTGTTCCATTTTATTTATCCTGAATGCTGCTTTCAGTTGTGATGAATGTTGTTTACTTACAGTAAGTGAGTAGACAGACCTAAACCCCACGAAACTGGCAAAGAAAATACAAATAATAAAATTAGGTTAATCTCTACATGAAATTTGTACTCTTACGTCCCTCCATCCCATCTATTAATTCATGTCAGCCAATCCACACATCCATCCATCCATCCCAGCCCCCATCTGTCTGTCCATTTCTCCTATATATGCATCCATGTGTCTGTCCATTTGTCCATCTGTCCCATCAATGTGTTCCAAATTAAAACTGAAATGATTCAGTACTAAAAGCATGATGCTGTATCTGTTTTCCAGGTCGGAGACAGTGGTTGAACGGATGCTTTGTAACTGGATGTCCATCTGCCTTTACCAGTTTTTGAAGGTAAGATCAGATTTATACACGGAATTTCAGAACGTATTAAATCAGTTTGATGACCGGAGTGGCAAAGGCAGATTAATTAGTTGTTGCGTCATCAGAAAAAAAACCAAGTAGTAAAAAACCACTGTCGCTCATCTGCAGCACGACAGGAGAAAAACAGCCATAAATTAGCACTGCCTGCTGTTATAGGAGTTGGGGAGATGGAGGATAAATCATTACAATTTTCCTTATGTGTGCTTATTAAATGAGGCAAGGATCTGAGTTTACATCTGTTCAAAATCCAAAGTAAAAACTTTTGTAACAATTATTTTCCATGATAAGGGGCTTTGATTAACATAGAATAAGCGTAGAAGAGTGTAGAAAATGCCTGAGGCCTCTTTATTGTTGTGATTTAGGTCCTGTGTGCTGTAGGGAATTAAACTAGTGATTGAATAAGAAATTGCAAGACACTTTGAATTGTAGCTCATACAATATTATAGATTTAAACTCAAAGTAAAACTATAAAAGTTCCTGGTTTAGATGAACCAGGAACTTTTATAGGTTTACTTTGAGAGTAAATCTATAAAAGTTCATGGTTTAGTATTTTGTTGAGGTTGTTTCTGCCTTATTTAGTGAGTTAAACCAGTGAATAAAAAGATCATATTCTGCTTAAAATAAAGTGCTTAAATGCTCTTTAAAAGAAAATCCTCAATATATTTTATGGGTCAGGCTTAGGGTTGGGAATTGATAAGATTTTCACGATTCCGATTCCCTTATCGATTCTGTGAAACGATTCGATTCCTTATCGATTCTCTTATCGATTCTGTGAAACAATGAACTTTGTAGCATGTTTGATAACCCCAAAGAGAGGTAGCAAACTGGTTTATTTCCAGAAATGGCATATGATTTAAATAGGAACCACATTAAGCACAGTCAGTGATATAAAACTAGCTACTTACCACCAGAGTTGCCTTCCATGCTGTTCATAACTTTAGCTTCTGTCCGGAAGGGTCAAAAGCATGGCATTTTTTAAAATGTATGCCATGTTGTGTACTCAGGTGTTTTTGCATGTTGGATGCATTTCCTCCCTCGTATAATTTTGCCACCTTACATCCAAACTTTTGATTGGTTTACCCGATGGGACACCATTTTTCTTGTTTTGCTTTTCTAGACGTACGGCGGGTCACGTCGTACTTGCTTAACTTGCGTAAAAAATGTGATGTAACTTATGCAGAAAACGCGACAGAAGTTGTGCTACCCAGTGCTAGGCTCTGGTGCTGCCTGGAACTGTTTAAAGAACTGCTAAACGAGCTGCCAAACGGTGCGATGGAATTGGAACACACAGAACCGGTTCTGAACTGGAACTGTTTTCGATTACAAATCCCTAGTCAGACTATTACTTAAGTATAATGTGAATTGCCAATTACTCTAAATTAGTGGCATAAAAATGATTGCTAATCTTTCAAAATAAAGCTCATGCATAAGCTTAAATATACAGTCTGTATATGTCTCTCATAGGTTAGTGCAGGGGTACCAAAGCTTACCATCCCGCGACTTTTAGCTCCCGTCCACCCTGTGACGGGATTAGGTGGTAGCTCTCAAAGACTGAATTTAGGAAACTGAGGGTTAGATTATTGCAACACTAGGTTCTGCATTACTGAAGGATTTAAACTATTCTTTAATTTAAAAAGTGATCCTTAAGCCTTTCAAAATAAATCTCCCCAAAACCTTTTAATATGAGTCATGATTTTTTGAAGTTGTGAGTTATTAGAGGTTAAGGCCCAGATTCCAAATGAAAAAAAGGTCTAATTTAATTTCTGAGTTTGCATGGATGTAGTGAATTCCACGTGTGAGCTATTTATGCCAATAATTACCTTCTAGAGAACATCAGAGAAAACTCCATAAATGTCTTTTTGTTTCTGTGTGTGTAATCGTGTGGGGATACCAGGACACTGCAGGTGAGCCTTTATACAAACTGTTCCGAGCCATCAAGCACCAGATTGAAAAGGGCCCTGTGGACGCCAGAGTTAAGAAAGCCAAGTACACCCTCAACGACACGGGCCTGTTGGGCGATGATGTAGAGTACTCTGTCCTGGTGAGGTTAACACACACACACACACATATTTCTGCATCCATAATTCTGCAGACACTTTGATTTCTGATTACACTTCTTCTGCACGATGGGAAACATGCACACTTACATGCTCTGTGTTGTTGCCATGGTAGCCATACACAGGAGGAAATCTTAAGGCGACTGCTTGCTTTTTATGTGACATCAATTTCCAGTTGTCAGTGTTTTCAGACTAAAAAAAGGGGGGAAAAGTCTCCAGCCACTCATTCCAGAATAGCGGTAAAACATGCAGTTTAGGTGAGCAAAGCACAAGTCAGAACAGGCATAGAGTACAAGCCCCCTCAGCAACCTTTCGTCGACCTTGCCACCTGCACGTGCTCTGCATCCATTTGGACAGCTTTCAGGAGTCAGTGAAAAGGCTGCACCTTTTATTTTAGTATTGTGTTTCAATAATGGAAGCTAATCTGAGCCCAGCTGTTTTCTGTTAAAGTCAGCGCAAACAAAAAGACCCATGGGTAATGGCGTTGTCGAGGACAATTATCAAATTAGGCTGAATTACACGTCTCCCGTTGTGATGGATCGCCTTCTGTGATTAAATTTCACGGGGAGAGAGGAAAAAAACGTAACATGCTGGATTTCACAGGCAGTTGTTGAATTATCCCTCTTTGAAATCTTCACCACTGGATTTAATTTGCAGCATGTTCTTTATATTAACTTAAAATGCAGATCAGTTTAGAAGCTCCTGGCTGTGAATTTCTTTAACCCCTGTCCAAAGAGCGGTCAGTTATCTCTGATAGCCTACTGGGTTTATTAGGTGAGGAGGGTTTTCTCCTGCTGAGCCTTGGTCATTAGCCAGCCCAGCCAGTCCAGGTGACAAGAGTCATGCCAGGTGTCAGTGCAGCATCTGTGTGCGCTTTGAAATGCCCATTTTCCATAACAGCAGCATCCCAATGCAGCTTGGGATACATGTGGGGGTGGCTGGCTACTCTGGTCACATGTATATTTTTCTGCATGCTTTTAATTTGCAGGACTCTCTGTTGGTGCATGGGCTGTCAACAGCTCTAACAATGTTTGCATCCCTGCGTTTTCTTGTCAGACCTTGCAGGTACTGGTTCATGGTGAGGGTCCAGATGTGACACCCGTCAAGGTGCTGAGCTGTGACACCATCTCGCAGGTGAAGGAGAAGATCATAGAGCAAGTATACAGAAACCAGCCTTACTCCCAGAGGCCCAAGGTTGACAGCGTCACTCTGGGTAAGTATAGAGGAGACAGTAATGAGCACTGTAAAACAGGGCGCTTTAAAAGTATTCACAACTCCTAAACATAATAATCATGTTACAACCACACATTTCATTGTTTTGTATTAAGGTTTTTCCTTGACCAACACAATAGACATAGATGTAAAAAAAAAAAAAGAAACTGATTCATGATTTAAAGATAAATACAAATCTAAAAGTGTTGCACAAATTTGGATTTAGCCCCTCTAATACCTGCTATATAGATTTCAATACATACTATGCATTTTTCAGTTAGTTAACTAGAAATGATGAAAAAATTTACCTAAAGCAGAAAAATCTAAACCGGACCTCCAATACGCATTTACAAAACTGAAACACATTGAAATTATGCACATATAAAATCTCTCTTTTTCTTGTTATCCATTTATTCATTAGCTTGGAGAACTGATGTGAGGTGGTGGTGTTTTTTTCCCTAAATAAGCAGTTGATGGTCTATTATGCTTCTTAAACTGTATGGCAACCCTAAAAGGCTAAATTCTCCACATATTTTCTTGCATCAAAGCCATTCACGTCACACTGAAGGTCTTATTTCTTTATATATTTTAATAGAAAGCCATCTCTGTTCATGAAATAAAAGACAGCTCCCTTATATTTGCTAAACCTGTAAATTACACATTCAGAACATCACGTTTGATGTCAAGTCTGCAGTGATGCAGAAAATGTTCGGGTGAAAAACACTAATTTTAATTAAATCTAAATTATTCATAAAAGAGTGATGTCTTTGCTTCACCCCCAGCCTCCTCAAGTGTATCTTTTAAACCCCTGTAGAAAGCTGAGTGCTTGCCTTGAATAACTTAACTAATTTGAACTCATGTAATTACCATTAGAAAAGCATAAGCATGTGGACATTTTGCTCAGTTTTGCAACATACCTTTTGTTTTTTCAATTGACAGAGTGGCGTCCTGGCTCAACGGGACAGATTTTGTCTGATCTGGACCTGACCTCGCAGAAAGAAGGAAGATGGAAGCGCATAAACACTCTGGCCCACTACAACGTGAGTACTTGGAAAATATTTTATCATAATTCCACTGTGCCTTAAAAATCGCTGCTGCAAATAGCTTTGGATTTGATAAGAATGTGGGGAGATGAATAGATAAATGTGGGTGTGTAGAAGCGGATAGGGCCTAATATTTTCAATCCATCTAAGTCAGTCAGTGTGAACTGCGTATTGGAGCGATTTGCATGAAATCTGTCTGCAGCAGATTTTCTGACCTGAATATATTAGCACACATTAAATTATTGTTTGTTCTTTTTACAAAGCTGCCAAATGTTTCAAATTCTTCACCATTTATTGCTTTTACATGGATGTGTGGAAATAAAGAAATACATTTGTTTTGAAATTTGCAATCTGTCAGATGTAATTTGGTATTTAGTGCTAAATAAATCTCTACCCCTGCTAGCTAAATTGTTTCAAAATCTCCATACTTGGTTGAAATATGACACAGCACACTGGCTGCAATATATATGAGTCTTTTGAATTCCTAGGTAAAAGTTAAAAGGGGGGGTTATTATTTATGACAAGGACATTCCTTCCCACTCGCTTATGACACCCACATAGTAATATGGTGTAAATCTATTGTAAAGATTCTTCAGTGATGAATATTATCCTGCATTTGTATTCAGAAAAAGTTGCAGAGGTTTTTATATTAAATACTATTGAAGTCATTGTCATGTTTTGATAAATGACAGTTGATTTGATAATGCATGTTTCATTTTCCCTATATTTTTTTAGTTTAGATCTGTCAGTCAGCCTGGAATTTATTTCCCTCTTATTGTATTTTGACTCAGTCAAACATCTGACTAGCTAATATGTTATTACTATTAAATACATTCAAGCCCAAATATGTTTTTCTCTCTTGGTCTTCCCTAATCAACTTGGTAATACACTGGACTTTACCCTGCCACTCCCTGCAGGCCAGTTTTGGTTCACAACTGAATGTCACTAAATCTTCCTGCCACTCTATTGATTGGGAGAAAATAAAGGTTGCTCAGTAATATCCCCCATTTGCCCTTCTTTTCAACTACTTAAGTCCTGATCTTCCCAAGCAGCTTGGCCTCTTTTGATCCTACCTGCCTCTCAGTTGTTCTTAGACCTCAGCATAACTGCCATGGATTCATCGCCTCTGTCAGTGTGCTGCTAATCACAGTATATGTGCAGTCAATAAGAGGGTGTGCCACAGAGACTGGGCCTCAAATATCACAGTTAAGATCCATTTTTCATGTCTGCTCGTCTCATTGATTAGAAATAAATTCTGGGGCAAAAAGTGGGAGGGACAAACACAGCTGAAATACAGTGAAGGGCATTTCTTCTTACTACAAAACCCCAATGCATTTTATTGCAATTTTATGTGAAACACTGAAATTAGGTCACTTAAATTACTGCTATGGAAAAAATTATTCAATATTTTTTTTTATCTTTGTAAAAAAATACTGGAAAATGTTGGATATTTTAATTCTGTCTATTTATCTTATTCTTATATCTCTAAGTATAATCCAGTGTGAGCCGTTGCCTTCATAAATCTCCCAATTCGACATTATGGGAGCGATATTATTTAAAGCCCTTTAAAGATCATATAAACATGGTTTTTCATGGAGAAGGACTTTTTCCATACTTGGTAGAACACATAAAAATGGGACAAATGTTTAGACAGGAAACATTCGCGCGCACACAGAGCAATGGTTGCTGGATGGAGAGCAGAGGTTAAGGGAGTCAGAAATCTTGGCAATAACATCTTTTTCCTGTCTTCGGTATCTAAAAAACAAACTCAGCACGCAACACAGACTTCCACACAGACTTCTACTTGGGCATGAGGCTATCATGCACACACACAATTAAAGTAGCCAGGGCCAAAACAGACACACATTAGCCGGGTTCCAATTAGGTTCCACACAGTCTGTGAGGCAACACTCTCTGTTTTGCACACACATTCACACCATGTTACAATATGTGTAAATACAACTGAGATAGGTGTGTAGTCTTTTGGCTTTGTTGTGATGTTTATTGAGATGAGAGTGAAGTCTCTATTGTGCATTTTAGAATTCGACTTGTCAATAAATTCTATTTCTCCCCTACGCTGGGCAGAAGAAGATAATTATTTACAGTGTCTTGATATTTTTCCTTAAAGAGAAACTATTAGTTTGAGTCCCAATAACATAAGGTGTGTATTTTAATTTCAGAGTTAATAGAGCTGAGCAGACAGCAGATAAAAGGTTTTCTTGAGAACTTTAACAAAAATGTGTGAATATGAACATAATGAATATCAAAGAGAACCCAGATAAGTTAGTCAGAAAAACAGGGCTGGGTTATAAAGCAATGTTTCGAATTCCAAACATCTCACAAAGGAGTTAAATCTATCAAGATAATGGATGGATAAATAATCAGTGACCAAGAAATCTGACCCTGGTAACTCAGGAGGAGCTTAACAAATCCACTGCTCAGGTGGAGAAATCTACCAACAGTTCTAAGATTTGACTTTAAATCAGACTTTTGTGGAAATGTGTCAAGATAAGCAGCTGCTGAAAGAAAACCATTAATGTTTATGTAAGCATTTTTAATTACAAGCCATGTTAGGGACAAAGTAAACATCTTTGGGAACACACTGTATAGTGGAGAACATACGTACTGCGTTGTAATCTGACCACATCATTACCTAGCTGTGGAGATACTAAACTTAAATACATATCGTACAAATTATTGCTTGTTGAAAAAGTTTTGCCTATGAATTAAGATCTTAATAAAATATACAGACACTTGTTGACTGGGTTTGAAAGCTGTTACTTCACAGTTTCTAAAGTTATACTTTCTGACATCTCTCCTTTGCAGGTGCGAGATAATGCTACACTAGTTTTATCCCGAGTGCTTCACACGCAGCAGAATTACGACCAGAACCACGAAAACCACGAAGAACGTACGTTTCCCTCAGCACACATGATAAACTCACACTAGTTTATTCCAGAGTAACAGCTACCTCATGCCTTTGAGAGATAACGCTTTTCTTTCTCTCATTTCCTTTGAGGTTTTTTCACGTTTTCCCTCCTTCATTAAACATGCTAATACATGTTATATGTTTTCAACACCTCCAGATTATAGTGAACTATACAGTTTTAATTTAGAATATACTCTGGTAATGAAATGCTTCTGAATGTGTTGGGAGAAAGCTTGAACTTTCATCTCTGCAACAGGAAATGCTCTGTTGGAGGATGATAAAGTTTTTCATCTGGTGAGGCCAGCAGATGAAATGGATGAGATCAAATCCAAGCGAGGGAGCATAAAGGACAAGTCGATGACCAAAGCCATTACAGAGATCTACCTGACTCGACTTTTGTCTGTAAAGGTAAAACACAAACCGAAAACTGTGTCAACTGTCAGATAGCAGCTTACCCTGTATAAGGTGCAGATGTTTTTGTTGGTGTCTTTGATACGGTTTGATACTCGGAAATAGAAAATAATACTCTCACTGAAACACATTATCTCCACTTTAGACCGCACAGGTGTGTGCCAGAGTTTTGATATCAATAGCTATTAGCTGACTAGTCTGACTTTCTTCTGTGCACTTTAGGGAACACTGCAGCAGTTTGTGGATGACTTCTTCCGCAGCGTGCTGTGCTCTGGGGCCGTGGTCCCACCAGCTGTCAAATACTTTTTTGACTTCCTGGACGAACAAGCACTGAAACACAACAATGTTGATGAGGAGACCATCCACATCTGGAAGACTAATAGGTAAAACTAGGAAAAACAGCAAACATGTCATGTAATGTATTTTCTTGGCTGCTCAGTGGGTAGCACTGCTGCCTTGCAGCAAGAAGGTTCTGGGTTTGATTCCCAGCCCGGTGTCTTTCTGCATGGAGTTTGCATGTTCTCCTTGATTATACATGGGTTCTCTCCGGGTACTCCGGCTTCCTCCCACAGTCCAAAAATATGAATGTTAGGTTAATTGGCTTCTCTAAATTCCCCTTAGGTGTGAGTGTGTGTGTGAATGGTTGTTTGTCCTGTTTGTCTCTGTGGACCCTGCCTCTCGCCCGTAGGCAGCTGGAAATAGGCACCAGCATGCCTCGCGACCCCACTCGGGATAAAGCGTGTCGATGGATGGATGGATGGATGGATGGACAGACATTTTCTATTTCTTTGTTTTGATTGAAAGTTTCAGGGATGTGGTGTTGATATTTTTTTGCTTCAGATATGCAAGGAACATCCATTTATAAGTCCCAATTGTCCTGCTTGACAAGTTGTGTAATGATAGCTGATTGTTGACAAAAGAAGTAATTTTTATTTTTGCAGACAACATGTCCTGAGCAAAAATATTAATAAGCAAAATAATTGGAAGATTCATATGTTACTTCTGTTTGCTAAGATATTTTGTTTTATCAAATACTTATTTCTGTATTGTTTTCTATTAGGATTGCTAAAATGCTGCTCACATGAACATTAATAGTCTATCCCCCCTAAAGATTATCTTTTAACTACAGCTGTGCTGTAATTAGTCTTTCACAGAAATTAAAGTTGGTGTATAAATTAGAAGGACCTTTTACTGCCTTTACTTGACTCATTCATCATCCATGATGCTCAGGGAATATTGTCCTTTTGGCAGGTCAAGAGTAAAAGAAGGTCCAGCTAGTTTTGATTAGATTACGTCAGAAATGTAACATTGTAAATCCCTAAGCCACTTTGTGCCATATGTCTCACATCATCTAGTGCAGGCATCCCCAAAGTCGGTCCCCAAGGACCGCTGTCCTGCAGGTTTTAGAGGTTTCTCTGCTTCAGCACAGCTGGTTATAATGATTGCAGTAGAACAAAAGCCTGTTAATCAGCTTTCAATTAAAATCAGCTGTACTGGAGCAAAGAAACCTTTAAAACCTGCAGGACAGGTGGCCTTGAGGACTGAGTTTGGGGATGCCTGATCTAGTGCATTTCTACCCGTCTTTCCCATATAAGGATTGACAGTTTTTTTTTCTGTGATTTATTGGAACCCCTGTAAAAGGTTTGCTTAAAAAAAAAAAAAAAAAACCTAACAAACTTTGAAATCAATTATTTCCCATTTTTTGTGGATCTAATTCTAAAATTAGGAACAAACAAACAATGAATTAGTGCACATTTTTCATAGAGGAAATAATAAATCCCTTTCAAAGGAATATTTTTTACCAAAATAAATTTTTTGATACCCATATCTGTCAAGTCTTCCGTCTTGGCCGTATTTTAGCCAACTCTCCTGCCATTCTCCCATATTAGCAGTCTTCCATAAATTTCCTGTATTATAGAATTGTAGAAAAAAAATTACTGATCTGTCTTTCCAAACGGAACCGTTGCTAAAATCGCAAGATAAAAATCTGCTTACCTTGTAGTTTGCAATTGGTTGAAAAGCATTTTCTTTTTAGATTTCTTGTGCACATCTTAAAATATATATTGGATACTGGAGCTTGACTGGGTTATATTCAGACGGCTCGCAGAGGATATCGTAAAATTTCCCTTAGTTTGAATCCAAAACTTGACAGGTTTTTTGATACTCTTAACAATCCTTATAACATAAGTTTGATTTAAGCTTTTTTCAGTTGATCAGATCTTTTAGGAAATTTTAATTGCATGACTTTTATTAACTAGGTTGCCTATGTGATGTGACACAAAGGTCCATTACTTTAAGCCTTTAACCTCTGGCTGAATAAGGACCAATTTTATCTTTTCTCCATGCTTGGAGAAGAGGACACTAAGGGAGGAAAGGGTAGAGGTTTTAATCCTCAGGTCACCAAGTTTCAATAACAACCACAAGACGATGGCTACATGGCAGCCAAGTGTTTGGGGGGAAAAAATTTGTTGTCCCATTATCACAAACATATGTCATTCACTAAACACAACTATGACTTTAAGACTTGCTTTGGTCAGTTGGGTTAAGGTTGAGCTTCATACTCCAGGTGAAGTCGAAATAAATCAAAACTTATCAGCAGGGGTGCAAAAAATGTGCAACAAGTAATTTTAAATATATGTGCTCTTTATCATTGTGATAAAATGATAACCTAATAATTACCTAAAAAAAAAATCAGTAAGGTAGGCCTACATGCATTTGAATACCTCAAAGATGGACGAAAGTCTGCCTAACAGCAATCACATTTTTGTACTCTGATATAATAACTCTTCAAGAAATAAAACTTGTTCAAGAAAGGGCTGAATACAAATGCTCAATTTCGGCATACTTAGTTTGCATTTGCAATCTCGGTGCTCCCATGTGGCATTTAAGAGCATAAATTAGTGTCACGTCGGCTGAGGCTCAAGCATACAAGACGACGTGTTGCATGTAGATGCCTGTGATTGACGCGATGCTGGCAAGAGAGCACCCACACAAGGACACGGGATGAGCGATTTAATTACTTACTATACTCTACACCCAATCCTGCATCCACCCGTTCTGTTTATCAAATCAACTGAGGGCCATGTATTTAATATGAATGTGTGTATGAAGCATAACAAACAAACAAACATGGTAATTATTTCCCAAGCTAAATTAATTCTGTGATTATAGTAACATAGCTATTTTTATGCTTCTATTGTGTTCTAACTGGAGCCTTCCCAGAAGATATAACCAAATCAGTATGAATTTTACACGCCGGGTGTTTACTCTCCCAGATGGTGGGATGTTCACAGCAACCCGGGAGGGGAGGTTTGTGAAAACAGCCTAATTTTGGGCGTTTTCATGATAATAAACCAAGACGAGCTTAGAAAGAAGAGTGTCAAGCGTGTTTTCCTTTTCAGGAGGGAAATTAGCACAAGCGCTGGGGCGTTACTTTATGTAGCCTGGTCTTTACGTTAATCTCTGCAGGAGCTGAAAAGGTCAACGTTTGGCTGTTACTTTGGCTGTCTTTATCTCTGTTTGTTGGCATGGCTCATATTTACATAGAGGTCAGCTTTGTGTAAAAGACTAAAGTAAACTGACAGTAAAATGGGGTTTTGTTTTGAATAAACTGACCTGTTTGTATTGGCATCAGTTCAAGCACAGACAAGTGCTCTTTCTTATGGCACCTAAGTCATTTTTATGTTGTTTTAATCCTCTAACGATGGTAATCACTGTGACATGTTCTCTCCCTTATCTGTCCAGCCTGCCGCTAAGATTCTGGGTTAACATCCTCAAGAATCCTCATTTCATCTTCGATGTCCATGTGACTGAAGTGGTGGATGCTTCGCTGTCCGTCATCGCCCAGACCTTCATGGATGCTTGCACCAAGAGTGAGCACAAACTTAGTCGGGTGAGTAAAGCCAGGTGAAAGGAATAAGAATGAGTGGAAAATACAAGAGATGGAGACTGAATAAAGACTAAATTGCGGAGAGAAAATGAAGGACAATACAGGAACGTGTCAGTAAATTAGAATACCATTCAAAGGTTGAATTTTCAGTAATTCAGTTCAAAAAGTGAAACTGGTTTATAGAATTCTCTCACAAAGGGGGATGTTTGAAGCCATAACTCCTGGAAATTTTGATGATTATGGCTTACGGCTGATGAAATGACCTGAGAAAATTTGAATATTTCTTGAATACATTCATGTTTTGCAGCTTTTCAAGCACTGAAATTCCAAGTCTTGAGTTTTAACTTAAACTCTTAAATGAGCCTTGATCCACAGTCATCAGGATGCTGCAGTTATCCCCTCTCTGACACCTATATGTACCATACTTCCTTTTACTAATTTTTCTTTTAATGCAGCCTTCTCTGAAGAGTTGCCTTCTTCAACAGTTATTATTTGGTACTAACCTTTCTTATAGGGACTGTAAGTGAATCTCTTCTGGACCTACTTTGTATGAGCTAACATAACATTGTATTTTGCGTTTGATGTCATCCATAGTTATTAATATTGATTCAAATATATGTTTAATGCTTTGCATGTCTTAAATCTTTAAGTTTCACATCTTTAATTGAACTATTTGGACTGATTATATTCATAGTTTTCTGTTTTATTGAGGTGCAATTCAAATATTTTTTAACCTTTTTATTTATTTGACTTTAGGACTCCCCAAGTAACAAGCTACTCTATGCAAAGGAGATCTCCAGCTACAAGAAGATGGTGGATGAGTAAGTGTTAGCTTATCACTCTCAATCTTTTTTGGTGTTAAGTTTAAAATCATTCAGTTTTCAAATATTTTTTTTCTTTAATTGCAGTTACATAACTAAGTGCTTGCCACCTCTTCTCTTCTCTTTGTGTGTGTGCACAGCTACTACAAGGGCATCAGGCAGATGGTCCCTGTCAGTGATCAGGACATGAACACTCATTTGGCGGAAGTGTCACGGGTGAGAGACACAGCTGCCATTATCTCTGGCTCGTAGATGACCTTGCTTTAAAATGTTACGCTCCTAATGCAAAAAACCCATTTGTTTTTGCTTTTAAAGGAGGAAACATGAAGTACTAAATAAATGTTAGGAGGGAAGGCATTACATTTAATCCTGAGCGTTTTTCCCCTGATGGTTATCGCCTTGCTTTACAATATGTCATCTTCTTGTAAAATTCACCCTGACAGTTGTTTAAGTCTGTTTTAATGTTTTTACAATTCCCACGGCCGCTCTAAAGGTGTAAAACACTTTAGTTACTATGTGTCAAAATCAACCTTCAATTTAATAGGATTTATTTGGTGACAGGTTTTTTTTTTTTTTATAAAAATCATTGAAACAGGTTTTGGCATATTAAACTTGCAATTGAGCTATAAATGGGACGAAGGTAAATTTATATGCTTTCCATTTATTTTTAAGCTGAATAGTTTCTTATAACTTTTTATTAGTCATCTATACCTTTTCTTACAGCACAGAATGTAGGTAAAGATGTATGAAGAAAAACTACTGCACAGATTTGCAACTTGTGCTTAACAACCTTAACATACCATCAACATGCCAACTGGCTCTTTCTGAGTAATATCAAGGAAATCTCCTGTTCTGTTCTAAAGGATGATCCAAAAGGAAAGAATTGTTATATAACCACAAACAGCCTCTGTGGTTCTCCCATAAAAATAAAGATCAGTATGTAGAAAAGCCTACCTTTTAGCATAGTAGAGAATCCAGGATGCTGTGGGCCTGTTCTACCCTGTTTTGTCCTTTCTTCCAATATCAATGCGACCCTTACATTGGGTGGCATTGTGAATCCTTTAAAAACCAAGGCTGTTAATAAAAATCTGTATAATTTTTTTTTGGGAATTTGTGTCTCTCTGCAAGATTATGGCCCAAAACATACAGCCAAATACATACAGAGAGGTTCCCCAAACAGAAATTATTCAGTCATAACTAGTGTTGCACCGATACCAGTATCAGACGGGCCCCGATCCAGCACTAAAATGGTGATATCGGTATCGGCGAGTAACAACAAATAGGGCTCCGATACCATTTTAAGAGCCAAAAGTTTATTAAACTATTGTCACCCATTCCAGGTAGGCAATAAAAAGTTCTACTGGATTCAATTTGTATTGGTATTATTATTCCTCCTTCACAAAGGTAGGCAGCAGCTTGACAAAGCCACGATGGCAATTATTTTCCAAGTAGTACGCAGTTCTTCATATACACACACACATCAATTTCAAACAGATGGTATTGGCCAATACTGCAGAGCGGGGCCAAAAAATAGCATCGGTGCAACACTAGTCATAACACTCATACGCTGACTTTTTCTGCTAAGTAATAAATTGGATGAAATTAAGGTTATTTTTTTCTATATTATTCGTTGAGAATATACTGCTACAATCAAAGATAAGTTTATATTAAGGCTCTCAATGTATTTCAATCTCAATGATTTCTGAGACATAATTTCATAGCAAACATTTGCTAAGTGTTCTCCCCATTCATGACTGCAGATAGTTTAAAAGAAACAAGAAAGGAATGTAAGAACCTGGGTACATGTTGCTTTCACGTGATGGCTAATATTATTTTGACTGAAATCCTTACTTAAAATAAGACTATATTTAATCATAAGCTCCTATTTTATTCAAATATGAGCCAGTGCATGTTTGATTAATTTATAGCATAAAACATTTTGAAGTGCAGTGGTTACAGTACCTAGGATCTTTAAGGATCTTCTTTAGCACAGAAAATGTTTGAATTGCTTTTACAGGTAGTCATTATTCATACTAGAAAAAAAAAAAGAAAAGGCCAATTCAGCTTTGAGCAATTTTGCTCTTTCATTTGGTTGAATCTCTTACCTTTTAACTGTCCTTTATGTTCCGCAGTCTCACACCGACAAACTGAACACCCAAGTGGCTCTCCATCAGCTTTACCAGTACGCCAGCAAATACTATGATGGGGTAAGAACCTCCTAGCTTTCCCATCACACCCGAGGAGGGCTATTCCACTGTATGCACTGCTGCTCGCTATATTTCTTTTTCCTTCCCTCCTTCCCCTTCACTCTTCATATGCCAGAAAAGAGATTGTGTGAAATTTTAATTGAAAGCATTTCTGGGGGATGTGAATTGGAAAATTGCTTTGGGAATTGATTTTTAAAAGTCCACCGCGCGTCGCCACTTGAGGTCACAAAAAGAGGGATAAACAAAACCTAATGAACAAGTTGGATAAACAAATGGGGCTGTCATTCTCCCCTAAGAGGGGCTCTCAAACAATAACAACCAGTATGACGTGACTGTTAATGGTGAATAACGCCCCTCTCCCCAACTCGTCACCCCTTTTCCAATTGTTTTTTTTACTATTCCAGCACTCCCCTTCTGCTGTCCTTCATCCGTGTCCTCCTCCCTCCTCCTCTTCTCTTGATATTTGTGACTGCACGGTCGATCATTTCAATGACCGTCCTTACGTTGTCCCTTTCAGATCATCGCATCCCTGGATGAGGACCCGGCTGCTCAGAGTAAACAGCTGACCCTGCGGCTGCAGCAGATTGCAGCTGCCCTGGAAAACAAAGTGACTGATCTCTAACCCACCAAGGGGAGGGACATGAGTCAAAACATAGAGGGAGATCGCCAGTGACTACAGGGGCTTATTTCTACTTTTTTTTTCTGAGCATAAAGTATGGAAATTGAAAATCTAAGAGGGGACTCCCTGTGTGCATCCCTGGAGCGTCTTTTTTTTGGTTCTGTGGAGTAACTGGGACTAATTAATTGCCCACAGATGGCAAAAAAAACGAAAAGACTGATGGGAAAATAGTGGGTTACATTGTCATAGGTACGCCTTAAATCTCACTTGCCAAACCTTAAAGGTCTGAGCCCTTACTCATGCTCCCCTGAATATTGCTCCCAGGATGCAGATTGAGAGAAATCTGAGAATTAAGCCCTACTGTGGAGCACCGGTACAGCAGATAATCAGATGTTGGATTTCTCTCTGTGTGGAAAAGGGTTTAAGAGTTGTATTATATATTTTTTTTAATGTGCAGTCTTTATGCAGAAAGCTTTATAAGAAACAAAAATATCTTTTTAATTGGAATCACTTTGTGGTGCAGACAGTGTTTTTATCAGCCTGTGTGTGTATGTGTAGATGTCTGTGTGTGCGTGAACAGGAGTGAGTATGTTGTGAGTGAGCGTGGGGCTTTGCGGGAACATGAGTGTACACACAGGATGCCTACTTTACCAGGCGTGAGGGCGAAATGACGCCTGCTTTCTCTCATTTGAAACCCCCTGCCACCCAGAACAACGCCGGAGCCTGTGCTCTCACTGAGCTTCACGGCAGAGACCAAAGGGTCCGATCGGGGACATCGGCTCGTACGAATGACAGGTTACCATAGGTTTCGCAAACATTTCAGATAAATTATTTGCTTTTTATACAGAATCTTTTGCTTTAAGCTGGATTGCCACTCGTGCTCGTGGAAATCAGTAACAGCACAGCCTGTGTCCCTTTATTGTACAGTGCCATGAAACATTCCACTGCAACTAAAGCACAGAGGGATATTTCTACGTTTTTTTTAAGACATTTCAGTTAATGAACTATTTCTTCTCCTCGTTGTACAATTTTTTTCTTTAGCTGTCATGAGAAAGAAGCAGTTTTATTTAGCCATGGAGCCATGCCACTCGTGTTAGCTCTGCAATAATGTCAGTATACCATGAGCAACAAAACAGTAGATTCTTGCTTTTTCTTACAAAGATATTCACCATATCGTAGCAGTTCAGCAATATGTTAAAGAACAATTCAAGATTAAGTTATGTATTTTTTATATTTTTTGTCTTTTTTGTGCCACTTTTATTATTACCATTGTAATGTTACAAATAATCATTGCTAACTTTGCCTCTAAAGCTATAAAATAGCCTAATGCTGAGGAAATAATCTGCTAGAGATGCAGTTGGTTCTGCAAATTGTTCTTTTACTTTTTTTTTTTTTTTTTTTTTTTTGGGTGCTTGGGTTCAATTGTGTATATAATTGCTTATGGTAACTGAAATATTGATATGTCAGTGTCAGAGCGTGGACAGGGTCACAATGAAAGTTTAATATTTCTTACTCCATTAAACACCATCGCTAAATTGTAGGTCTGGCTGTCGACAGATCATTTAATTGTCCTCCCTCATATTTGGTGGTGGACTCATGGCAATGAGATCCAGAAGACCCCAGAATGTTAACGATTCCTGCCTTGGCTAAAGTGGCGTTTGCACAGACCTCGAGCCTGCCCACCTGCCATCTCAGCATGGCGCTTCGGCTTCCTGACTAACAGCATTTGGCACTGCCCACTTAGTGCGATACGGAGTGGCACTCTGTGTAATGAAATCAGCAGGGGAGGCTTTTGATCTTAATTGCATGTCGACTGCAGGCTCCATCCTCATCTCCGCTGTTGTTTACTGGTGACTCCTTTCTCACTGACAGTCGATGCAAGAAGCTTCTTCTTTCAGAGCCTTTCTTTGACCAAAAATGTGCCTTGTTGAATAGGATGATACATATATATTGTTTCTAAATTATTCTGTTGGTAACATAGGTGAATATGATGATAGTACTATAGACACAGCAATGTACTTGGACTTGTGATCTTATGTGTGCTGTCTAAATGCTAGATGCGCTGCTGCAGCCATTTGCGTGCCATTAGGCTGAAGACATTTCAGTATGATTTATTTTCCGGCTCCAGTTTTGATGTGTGCATTTCCTTTGGGTGTCTTTGGTGTGTGCTTACTAGAACTTTGGTGGCTAAAACAAAAAAAGTCAAAGATTAAATGTTGCTGAATGACCACTTGGATCTTGGTTTCCCTTAAAAATGTCTTACATTCCAAAATTAGACAAAAGGGTATCCGTTTGTACAATTGATTATAGTGCAAAATTGTTCCAATGGTGTTAATTCTTCTGACCTGTGTTTCTAATCTATCCTACAGTGTGTACGATAAATGACTATCTATACTCGACAAATTATTTTTCTTACTGCTGTGCAGTTATTTTATTTTTTGTTTCCTGTACCATATAAATCTTTGTCAAACAAGTTGAAATACTGTATTCTATCTGTATACCCCTATGCATTGGTTCCTAAGACAAACTACAAAAGATAGAAAAAAACTGTTTGTGCTGTTGTCGAGACCTGTTTTTTTTTTTTTTTTCTTCTTTTTCTCCCCCGGTTTTGAAACTTGTGAATGTGCTGTAATGATAAAATAAACTGGGACACTCCACTTTCGGTACAGGACCAGTAATGTAAGCCAATGTTTTCCTCCCCATTTGAGGCAGCTTCGAATACTCTTGATCTTGTACCTGATCCGGTTGTGCTGGATGAACGTAATTTTAAAAGTCGTATGTGTGGACGGAGCAGTTACCCACAGGTTTCATCATGCACTCCTCCGTGAATAAACTCAGAGACATATATACCCTTCATATTGGCTGTGTTTCTTTCACTTGGACATTATTGATTTGCTTTGACTGAAAACGCTCTCATGCTTTATTCATAAGGAGTAACAATCACCTTGGGTGATAGAGTTGCCACTGAGAGCTGACTTTCTTTTTGAAGTGAACGGTGTGTTCTTTCAAATCTAGCATTTCCAGCAGCTTTTACCCAGACTTTTCCACATTTCATCACATTTCAACCCAAAACATTGATTTAATTTTGGGGGAATTCAATGTACAGTAATTGGCCAATATAAGGACTTCTAAACTATTAAGGAAATGTGTTCAATACACAAATAACTGTTTTTTGGTGGGGAAAAAAAGTTATCTAGCGACATGCTGATATCTACATATATGTTCTATTTATCTCTGACATTAGATTATATTTGCTCTACACCACTGTTTCAGTTCAAAGGTTCTAAACTAGTACTGCTCAGGCTATTAGCAATGCAAGCTACAACCAGCGTATATTACTTTGATTTTGTACTTTAAAAAAAGCAGCATTAAAAGTGATCGTAGATCAATACCAACTCTTTCCTGAGTTGGTGTTGAAGTGAAACCATTGTGTTGCAGCTCTGTCTAGATGTTTATAATCCCTATCTTGCAGGATAAAAGAATCATTTTTGTAGCTTTAAGATTTGTTGCTTATAGGAATGCAAATGCATTAAGCTAAATCAAATTTTATCAGACCAGCTTCCTTATTCATGCTGAAGACTTAAGGGAGTAGTGGAGGATGTTCTTTTTTTCCCTGTGGATCATCAAAATAAATGGTCCTCATAATTGTCATCATCCTGGTGATATATTTACGTAAGGCCGTCCTACGTGCTCGTCCCCATTTTACTTACCGGTGGTGAGTCTGGAAAAAAATTGCAAATCTTTTGGAAAGTTAGCCTGTATGAAGGATGGAAAAACAGCAAATTTTAAACAGATTGTGCACAAGGTGAAATGGCTCGTGCACACTCTCGCATTTGATAGGCATTTCCTCGGGAGCGGGTACAGGGTTGTGCAAGCGCAAGTGGAAATTTGGGAAAATCCTCCAGTATACCTTTAAATCCCAACTGTAAGATGGCGATTAAGTTGAACAGAATTCTGTTTAGAAGTATTAGAATGTACAGGGTGGAGTACAAATGCATGCCACACTTTTAGAGATTAATTTGCAAAATATATACATAATTTAATTTTTTTTTTTTTCTTTTTTGTTTGCATTCATTTTTCTTTTTCCTTTCATATTTACAAACTATATCACCACACACACATTGGCATTTGGAGTTGACAGATGACAAAATATGGAAAAGTTAAGTATGAATCTACAGTCATGGCCAAAGTATTGAAAATTACACAAATACAATATTTTCAAAAGATGTGCTGCCGTCTGGTTTTCATGTGTGCATGTGAGATGTCCTCGCATACAGAAATAAAATTGCAATCATATGAGTAACCAAAGCTTTTAATGACAGAATGAGTTAATGCAGCAAGTCAATATTTGCAGTGTTGACCCCTCTTCTTCAAGACCTCTGCAATTCTACCTGGCATGCTCTCAATCAACTTCTGGACCAAATCCTGACTGATAGCAGTCCATTCTTGCACAATCTATGCTTGCATTATGTCAGAATTCCTAGTTTTTGAATTGTATTATATATTATACCTGCCTGCTGCCATTCCTGAGCAAGCTCTGCACTGCTGGTAGCCCCATCCAGCAGCTGAAACACTTAAGAGACGGTCCTGGCGCTTGCAGGTCTTTCTTGGGCGCCCTGGACCCTTTTTGGCAACAATGGAACCTCTCTCCTTGAAGTTCTTGATGATGCGATAGATTGTCGACTGAGGTGCAATCTTTCTAGCTGCGATTCTCTTTCCTGTTAGGCCATTTTTGTGCAATGCAATGATGACTGCACTTGTTTCTTTAGAGATAACCATGGTTCACAGAAGAGAAACAATGATGCCAAGCACCAGCATCTTTTTAAAGTGTCCAGTGGTGTCATTCTTACTTAATCATGACAGATTGATCTCTAGCCCTGTCCTCATCACCACCCACACCTGTGTTAATGGAGCAATCACTGAAATTATGTTAGCTGGTCCTTTTAAGGCAGAGCTGCAATGATGTTGAAATGTGTTTTGCGGGATAAAGTTCATTTCCTAGGCAAATATTGATTTGGCTGTTACGCTGATCACTCTTTATAACATTCTGGAGTATATGCAAATTGCCGTTATAAAAACTGAAGCAGTAGACTTTGTAAATATTAACATTTGAATCATTCTCAAAACCTTTGGCCATGACTGTACAGTATATACACTAGCCATAGAAATGGACAAAATTCTTAAAGAAAATACATAAAGTATGGTTAATAAAAAGGACTTTATGTCAAATACATTTTTTCCAACAGAAGCATTCTTGTATTTTACGGCTCTACATGCTCTCCTAATTAAATCAGTCTCCAAATGTGGCATACCTAGGGATGGTGTATGGCCTTTACCTTAATGCCACATCGGGTCTCTGTGACGAAGTTTAGAATACAAGCTTAGGGTTCTGGCATGAAATTATGTCTAAAAGGCAGAACACGTTCACTGTGACAAACATCAAAGGCTATAAAGATTTGTGCTGATATTAAGTCAATAAGGAAACAGGGGGAATGAAAATCAATTGCAGGAGTTGATGTACTGTATATGAAAGACCTATGAGAGGCCTGGATCTAGGCTGATCCAGGTAAGCAGATCATTGATGCAACAACAGATGGAGTCCTTCAAGGCTTGTGTATTACTGCATAATATTATTCCTGATCCACTTCTTTTACTCCCAAAAAATAAGTAAAACAATTATTGATATAATTGTATTTCCCCTTAAGATGATTTTTCCAATGGAATAAATAGTTTGCCCTTAATATAAGAGAAGATGTTATGCATTTGAAATAAGGATAATGGACCAGATTTGTTTTGTTGTTTTTTTAAACTGAACTGATCTAATGCCATTATAAAACTGTCATGTAAAATTAGCTTATTTCAAGGAAAAGGTTGACCTGATTAGATTTCAATTTTTGCAGTGTGGAAATCAAAGACGAGAGACATCTTTATATATCTACTAGGGCATGCTGTATACATCAGGGTGGCAAACGTATTCACATTTGTAAAATGAATTAAAGAAACCTAAACCATGTCCTTTATTTTATAGCAAAATGAATAATGTGCACAAATAATTATTACTCAGTCAGCATCGGTGCTGGAAAACTCAAAGAAAATGTGTTCAAATCTGCATGTTGTTGGCTTTTGTTTTCCTTCCCGTGACAATTCCCTGCATACAGCTGCCAGCCTCTCCTTTAGTAGGAGATCCTTCTATTCCCCAATAGGTTGCTTTTCACCTCCACGTTTCAAAGTTCCTAATGAGATTTGGCTTTGATTCACACCTCCTTAAGGGAGGAAAAGGAGGTGAAAAACTTGGAAGAATATGAACAATTATTATGAGGTTTCGTTTTTGAACACTGCTGATGAATTATTCAAAACCACTGAGAATGGTTCTACAGCTTCATAAACACATATATTTAACATTATAATATTAAAATGTGCCAAGCTGCTTTATACCATAAATATTGGGACACAAAACTGCTAAGCTACGGAGAACTAAAGTAGTCCTGTTAAGGGGTTCTTTTAATCGGCAGTAAAGTTTTTTTTTTTTCTAAACTATCTGTAAAAACTAACTGTAAACTAACTGTAAAAAACTTAAAATGTAAATAATAAATCAGTTAAAGATGTTTGAGTCAATCGGGGAAAGTACCTTCTTCAATTGAAAATACCTGCTTTTAATTTTTCTTTGGACAATTTCCCTTAAAACAATTAAAAACTTAAGTATTTACAGCCCTTGCACTTTTTCCCATCTTCCACTCCTTAACCACAAACTAGATTTCCTTATTTAAAAAAAAAAAAAAAAAAAAAAACTCAGTGCTCTGATGTCCCTAAATAAAATTAAATACAAACAATTGCTTTCACCTTCTTGGTATATGTTCTTCATGAAGATTATTTAAGGACAGAAAAGTGAGATTATTAAAATGTATCCCAGGAATTTAATATTTCCCAAAGCAGTGTTCAACCAATAAATCAAAAATGGAAAAAGGTAGCACATCTCCAAACATCCCCAGAGTCGGGCGTTCACCTAAACGGACAAAAAAGTGACCCATATTTTCTTGACACTCTCTAGGGGAGCTGTAAGGATCCACAGTTTAGTTGGGACAAACTCTCCATAAAGTCATGCACTCCAAAAATGTATTTATAGAAGGGTGAAAACAGGAAAACAAGAAGAAATCCACAATTCACACAGAAGACTCAACAAATGTAATGAAAAAAATATGCTTTGCACGGATAAACTAAAACTGACAATATCTGACCAACATGCAAAGTGATGTAGAAAAATAACGCTGCAAATAAGCCTGACACAATTTGTGCTTTTCCTTAGCAGGGACATAAAGCTGGTCAGAGTTCATGGGAAGAGTTGATGGGAGGTATTACAGGAAGAAAACCCGTCATAGTCTGCAAAAGCCTTGAAAGTGTGTGTTAGATTTACCCTCCAGCAGAACAACAAACCAAACCATTCAGCCAGGTTTCTGTAGACTTTAGCAAAGCATTGTATGTGATGACTAATTCAGCAGTTGTGCACTTTTATTGCAACTTTTCCCAATGCCATACATTTTATCACTGTTTTGTAAATAATGTTGGTTGAATTAATCTTGTGTTGAATAATTTCTCCTTTGGATGCTGAGCCTAGAAAGTTGTAGTTGCCTTTCAAGGTTATATCCCCTCTTTATTTTCCCATCATTGTTTAAAAAACAAATGAACAAATTTGATGGCACAATATGCAAACAACATTTTATTGAACTTCTTGAAAGGTCTTAGCTTCGCCTGTTCCTGTTGATGCCTTCATGCATGAAAACAAAGATATACAACCACTTTTCTATATCACTCCTATTTCTTTAAATTTCAGACTTAATATTTTTTTCAGGAAGGATGCATACCTAAAACCAGCATCTGTGGGTTGTTTTGAGTGTTTTTCTGTTGCACAGAGCCATGGGATTATACGCTCTCTGTTTTTAGGTTCTGCTTGACATTACCATCTCTTTGGCTGAGTTTTGAAAAAAGGACTACCACAAACAGCTTTAAAAAAAAAGATTAAAAAGAATAAATATGTGAAAAAAATAAATCAAACAAAAACCACAAAAAGAAATAGATATGTGCCAGCCACAAAGGATGCTAAATCTACAGGGACATAGCTAACCCGAAATGTGATCAAAGAGGTGCAAATCCACAATAAAGAGATTTAAACGGCTACACAGAGACTGAGAAACTGCAAAGCGAGGCAAAAGAACTAGGGCCGACAAAAAATGAAAAATAATATACAGATATATTCTACAAATTGACAGAGCAGTAAAAAGAAGTGCAAATTACTTTAAAGATATTTCATTGCCAATGGACAGAAAAAATGTAGCCAACTATAAATTTGCTGCAACTGGAGATTAAATGCCCAGTGAGCGGCAGAGAAAACCAGTAAGAAATTATAGGAAGGGCTTTTGACAAGCATGTACCCAAAGCTTTTTATGTTCTGTCCATGGCAACGTAGTGGGGGTACATTTTCCCATGAGACTGGGTTGCCATGGTTGTTGTTTCTCAATCAGTGCTCATAATTTATCAGGATACTGTGAAAAAAAGTACACAAAAGGGAGGATATTCCATATATTTTTGTTATTATTCATTGAGAAATTATACATATATAGAGAAAATGTGACAAACAGATCCAATTTAAAGTAGTCCAAGAACAGCTTGTATAACAGTGTACATTTTGTCCCCTCAAAATAACTTGGCACATCTCAATTAATGACCGAACCACTGGCAACAAAACTGAGCAAAGCCCTAATTGAAAGTGTTCAATCTGTGCCCAATTAGCCATTTTCCACCCCAGATGTCTTGTAACTCGTTAGTCTGTCAAGGTCTCAGGTGTGAATGGGGAGACGGTGTTTTACATTTGGTGTTATTATTGGTGCACTCTCTCTTACTCTGTACATGAAGTTCAAGAAAGCACCTCTTAACCTTTCTGGTGATCTTGAAAAAAAAAAAAGAATTACAAAGATGGCCAAGCCCAACTGAACTGCAGCACAGTGATCAAGACCATACAGAGGTTTAACAGGAGAGGTTCCACACAGTGCAGGCCTTATCATGATCGAACAAGGAAGTTGAGTTCACATATTGAGTGTCAGATCCAAACCTTGTCTTCGGAAAAAAGACAGAATTGCAGCAAACATCGCTGCAAGGCCTAAGTGCTGCAAGGTCTGCCCATATCACACACTGCATGACTTTCATTTCAAAAAGAATAATTTTCAAAAGATAAAAGCCTGACAACAGTTTTCAGAAAACAAGCAAACTAAGGACATTGATAAGTGGAACCATGTTGTGTGGTTTTCTAAGACCAAGAACAAGCATTAGACCCAGATGGTGTCAAGCGTGTGTGCAAGCAAACAAAGTGAGGATCAAGATTTTAGGTGCAAGTGAAGCACGATATCTGTGCAAACATTTCAATTGTAAGGTGGAGGAGTGCAATGACCCTATCATCCACCAACTCTGTGATGTATGAGGAAAAGTAGAATAGGATTCCTGACACCTTTAAAACTACAGCGACCAGGTGAGATAAGGCAGTGCTGGATTATAACAAAATATCAACATTTTGGGGACAGATTTTACATTTCCACCTCTAAGTTGACTCATTTTGTTGTCAGAAGACACTATTGGCGTTGTGTTGAGTTATTTTTTTGAGGGAACAGCAAATTTACACCATTGTAGAGGTTGGGCTACTTACCTTTAATAAGATAAAATCAATATTATCCTCCTTAGTGCGATACTTTATACTGCAACTGGCAGAAGCAAGTGTCTAAGTGTCTAAAATGATTGCCTTAGAATTTATCTAACAAGACTGACAGTGAAGTATGTAACCAAAACTTTACACTACCTACCTAGAAAACCTTATATAAATATCCTAAATATCTTAACCTTTTTCATATTCTAAAAAGTTACAGCTAAAGATTTTTATTCAATTTATTTTATACGACCGACTAATGTAAATTAAGAAAACTTGTGCAGTCAAGGGTGTTGCATAGAGGGTTTTTAACTTAAAAATCTGCAAAGTATGGCATGATTTTTTTTTTGTTCAGTTTCCCCCGATCCGAACATCCTTGCTTTATTTAAATCCATCCATTTTAACGTAAAAATTGACAAGCTTCCTTTAGCCTCCTTAAGAACCATCAACATGACACCTCAAAGCTTCAACTTTTTTGTAATATGATTTATTTAAAAAGGCCCAGTGTACAGCTCAAATATAAATGTGAACATTTGATGTATTGCACCAGGTTATAACATAAACCAGATTGCATCTGCTGTCACTTAAAACTGTTTTTACTCACACCATACAGACACACATACTTACTCAGCAAATAAATATATGCAGCTTTTAGCAAACTATTTATATAAAATAATATATTTTAAAATGGAATTAAACAAACCTCAGAGCTACATCTCTTCAGATTGATTCCACTGCTTTGTAGCTTTTATAGAAAAAGCAGATAGCTCAGTAACAGTTGGGCGAATGGTGTGGTGCAATGTCTCCCAGATGATAATCTCATTGATGAGGGGAAATATACACAAAATCAGAAAGTGGAGGAGAGGTCAGACTTTTTGTAATTTGTAGACAAGACAAAAAAGACAAAATGACAAACATTTTCTTTACTCAATAACGTGAATTTCTTTAATATCCCAAAGTGGTGGCAGTACACTGGTCCAGGTATTTTAGTCTGTTAGCAGAAAGACTCAATAGGTCTTGAAACACCATCGCCAGCCTGCCCCCAGCAGGTGACACAGCTGCAAATATCATGGCATGCATAAATGTCTGGTTTACATCAAGTAAAAAGCAATGTCTATTTTTTTTCCCTAAAATCTATTAGGTTTGGGGTAATAACTTTTGTCATATTAAAGAATTTTCTAATTCAAGTTATATAGTTATGGCATTTTCCCCCCATTAATAAAAATATCAGTGCATAAAGGTTTTACCATGTTTAAACATATACCTACCTCTGATCTTCTTTATATTTAATTATATACATATATTATATATATTTTCTAAGTACCACTGTATACAAAATTGGTTGATTACTAGTTAGTTTAAACATTATCGGAGTTAATATGTGTAAATATAAAAACATGCCACACTATTCAGATTTTCTATTTGAATTTCAAGCCTGTCTTTTTTGTTTGTCTCAACATTGTTGTTCATAGTTCTAAAGTGACACAATTTAAAAATGATTAACGATGCATTTACTGTATTGCTGATAATATTCTGTAGTAGAGAATACCACTTTGGCAGAGGATTCAAATAATATCCACCGGTCATCCGTCGCTTCTAGATAATTAAACTCTTTATTTACAAAACCCTGGCTACCGTATGTGGCAATATTGTGTGATATAGCTTATTAAAAAACTGTAAAAATAGGAGACAATTGCAAGTATGTCATTGGTATTTTTTTTCCCCGTGTCACCTGAATGCAGCATAGTGACAGTTTTCCTACGTCGTGATTGGCTGTCTGGATTGGCCAAACATAAAGGCTGACGTAAAAAGCATGGCGACGCTTGCTGGCAAAATCGTCCAATCACATTGGAGTGGGTTGGCTTCAGGACTGCTCGTCGCCCGCGTTTGTTTGATAGAATATGAATGAGAAACATAGCTTGAATTTAGCTACGGAGTTTATTTTTTGACATTTTCCCCCTGTTTCTATATAATAAAACTATAAAGAATCGGCTAGTATAGATACATATGGAGCTCGGTTGACTGTCTTCCTTGGGTTTGTATGTTTACCTAACAAACGTCTCGGAAATGGAACATAACTCTCCAGTCTGGTGCTAATAAATATTAGCAAATATGGGAGGTTGGAGCTCTTTGGATAAATATATAAGGAAAACAACGTGAAGAGGGTTATAAACATCACACAGAAGCGTCGTCCTAGGTTAGTATGAAATTAAAATAAATATGGAGTTTGATGCAGGCAAGCAGAAGATAATATTGCTAACACTTAGCATGTTAGCAACATCCACCTCTATGTTAACATGTAAAGTGTTGCGGTAATGTTAAGTATTATCTTAAATCAATGTGGTTTGTTGATGGCATTACATTAAACTTAACCCTGGTCAGTAAAGAACACAGTCCTGCATGTTCAAGATGTTTCTCGGATCAGATTGGGATAAATGCATTTAAGAAAAACCATGTTAATTAGAAATCAGTGACACTGAAGCAGGGAAACATTCTCAAACATGCAGGGCAATGTTATGATGGTTGGGGTTTCAAAACACTTCACTGCTCTGTGCCATTCAGGACGTTTACCTCCACCCATCTTGAAAAGTATATTAGTTTGGGTCTTTTAATAATGCTTTAATTTAAACTTTTCTCTCTTGCAATTATCATGACATCACTAGAGCTGCAGCTAACGATTATTTTGCAAATTAATTTTTTTTTTCAATTAATCCTTTAATTGGAATAGTTTCCTTAAAGAAGATTTTTTACGAAATTGAACCAGGTGAAACATAATCTTTTTCCACTTGAAGAGGTCTGGGTGGAGCATAATGACAGACGAAAACATTCTTTTTTGTATCTTAAATGCAAAATGTTTACATATTTTTTTATTGTATTTACAATTTTGATATATTTACTGTTCTAAGTAGGTTGCTCTGTAAGAGCAGTAATAGATTACTAAATTAGTTGATGATCATTTCAATAATCGATTAATCACAATGAATCCCATTAATTGTTTCAGCTATAGACATCAGCCAACTTATTGCACACCTCAGTATAGTTTCACCTTTCACATTTTTAAAAGGGTTTAGGTTTGATGAGTGTTTGGGATCATTGTCCTGTTGTTGATGGAATTCTGACTTGGGGATAATCAAGAACAACCTCGGACCCCCCTCCCCCTCCATCTTTAACCAAGTTATGTGAGTTTTCCATCACCGAGAACTGAAAGGTTGCTGACCAAAATTGAAGTGAAATGCAGAGTTTACATCAAAACGCTTGATCCTCTGCTCAATAAATCTATACACATGGGCAAACCAAACATCATGTAGATGAGAGCTTCACAGTTTGATTAGAGAAAAATGAAGGATTTGCCCTTGATAGAAGAATGTCTGTGTTCCACATGTTAAGTGTAAGCTTGTTGCATATTGAAATGACTCTGTTTCACTGCCAGTGGTATAAAGTGCAAAGCTGGTTGGTTAACGAAAAGCAAATTTCTCTTTAAATCAACAGGTTGTGGATAATGCAAACTATAGACCATGCTTAAAACTAGTGTTGCACGATACCAGTATCGCCCCGATAATGCACTAAAATGGTGGTATCAGTATTGGCGAGTACCAAAAAAATAGGGCACCGATACCATTTTGTTTGCCAAAAGTTTATTTAAATATTGTCACCCATTCCAGGTAGGCAATAAAAAGTACTGGATTCACTTTATATTAGTCTTTTTCCTGATTCACAAAGGTAGGCAGCAGCTTGATAAAGCCATGATGACAATTATTTTACATCCAAGTAGTATGCAGTTCTTCATATATACACACAGACACGTTAATTTCAAACAGATGGTATCGGTATCGGCCGATACTGCACAGCCAAAATGGCATCAGCGCAACACTACTTAAAACCAGACTCCGAGGCACAAAAACAAACCAATATATGTGAGCGCTTCCAATTCTGAGAAGAAAAGTTGCATATCTACAAAAATGTGCCAGATTAGGGTGGGTGGTTATAAATGGCATGTTTTTTGTCTTTAACTTGCTACGGGAGATTAAACTATCTATGGGGCGTTTTAAGTTGTGGCTGTATGTAAAGTTTTGATTCAGTTTGGGTGAAAGAAAATCTACATTACACCTGAACTGTTACTGTCATTTCTGTTTTAGAAAAAATGGTTAAAGCTGATATAATTCTAGTTAAGAAATAGTCAAATACTTAAAAGTAAATTTAATTTGACACTCATTTCATGTTGGTTATGCGTGTATGAGTGTGTATATAAAGTGTTTAGAGGTAGAATAAGGTGATGTATTCTAGGCTGTTTGCTTTTGAACAGGTTGCAGTTCAGTTGAGCTTCAGAGGAGGGTCAGATGTTTGGTTTAAAATATGATCTGTTGAGGTTTTTGTCAGGGTGTCTTGGCAGTTTGTGTTTTGCAGTTCAGAGATGGTTCTTAAAAAAACTAACATGCATTTTTTTTTTTTCCCACCAAGCGTCCAAGACAGAATAGCCACCATGAATGCAAGCTCAAACAATCCCACAGAAGCCGCCCCCAGCAGCAGCATCACTGAGCTGCTTAGCGCTCTGTGTGACTGCAGTCTCTCCGGGGTGTCTTGGAAGTGTCGAGCCCTTGGAGGAGTTTCCAGAGATGCTTTCCACAGAGCTCTCAAAAAGAAGGCTTATGGCGCCCTGCTGTCTAAGCTTTTTCAAGATGGCACCAAGCGGCCTGCCTTGAGACCAAGTCCTGTGGCCAACACTCCGCCTAGGAACAAAGTCCTGATGATGTGTTTTGACTTGCGAGTGGCCGGGTGCCGAGATGAAGCGGAGGCGCTGGAGGACCTGCTGGGGAGGCTGCCTGAAGGAGCCTCCTCTGGTCTGACAGAAGTAGACTCAGTGCTGGAGCTCCTGGTGTGTCTTGCTGGCTCTGCACCTCCGCCTCCTACCTCTTTCAGCAGAGACTATATGAGACGAGAGAGGCCCGTTCTACGAAGGCCCCAACCCTGGAGCTACCAGAGCGAGGAGCTACAAAGACTTGAAGCCAGGGCGTGGAGTCTGGTGTGTGCGGAGGAATGGGCAAATTTGGAGACTCTGTGTGGATCTCAGCAGTTGATAAACTCGCTGCCAGGGACGGGGTTGCTGACTTTGAGGACTAAAGTGGAAGCAGAAGAACGATTTGAGAGGGAAACTAGGCTGACATTGTTTGGGGCACTACAACACACTCGAACATCTGACATGGACATCAGACTGGACCTCCCTCCCATTCCCAGTAATGTCGATGTTACTGGACTGGCTATCAGAGTAGGTCACTAATGATTTAACCTCAACACAAAAACTAAACTTTAGGATTTCTAAGATATTCTACTGAAGCACATCTTGTGTGACCCGTGCAGGTTCCTCACTATTTAGATCAGTCTGAGGACGAGGGCTTCCAGTCATCCTCCAACCTGACACCAGACTCTCAGTCGGAGACGAGCCCTGTTCCAGATGTTGACATCTGGGAGGCTGTCCGCACATTTGAGCCTGGGCGCCGCCGCTGCTGGGAGTCCGTAGGCTGGTAAATGAGCCGTTTGCTAATTATTAATGTACATCCAAATAAATTAGAATCTCATTGAAAAGCTAAGTAGTAACATTTACAGACAGTAATGTATTTGACTAATTTCTGTATTTTTTTCACATATTAATTTATTCATCTTGATGAAAATGGCAACAGCTAATGAAAACCCAGAATTACGTTCGTAGGAAACGTGACTGAATACATTATAAAAACAGTAGAAACAGCTTTCTTTAATATGGAAATGTCTGCCTACTGAAAGCTATTTCATGCTCTGTACATTCTATGTTCTAAAATCTTTTGCTTTGGCCCTTTCTGCAAAAATTACTGCATCAGCTTTTTGCAAAGAGAGGCTCAACTGGTTGCCCTTCAGAGGTGTTCAGGAAGCCCGTTGCTTTAACAGCACCTGTACTATTTGTTCTGGTGTTCTATCATCTTCCTCTCTTCAAAAAAATCATAATTTCTGTGCACCTTTTAGATCAGACTTGGCAAATAAAGCCGGTGATCCCATGTTCATTGAACCAGCCATTATTGTCAGTGTGGGCAGGTGCCAAGTCCTGCTGGAAGATGAAATTAGCTTTTCTATAAAGCTGCTCCGCAGAGGCGAGCATGAAGTGCACCACAGTGTTCTGGCAGAAAGGATTGCTGACTTTGGATTTGATAAAATATCGTGTCCAACACTTAAATGACACATGGTCTCTCAGATTATCCACGGCTGTGTAAATTTAAAGGGAAACGCCTTTTTTTTTATTTTTACATTGGGCCCTTGATTTTACGTTTTTACATCATGTTCTACTCACCCATATGAGTTTTGTGTCATTTGGAGCCGTTCTGAAGATATTCTGTTAGGTTATATCCAAGTAACGTCTTCCTATGGGCAACGACTTGAAGGCACAAACTCAACTGTTCATAATTTATTCTTTATGGTACGCCATCATTCATAACATGTAGGCGAATCACTGTCCCCCAGACATTTCATTTCATTTATTTTAAAACATGATATGATTTAACAATGTTTACATTGAATGCTTCACAAACATGCATCATGTTTTAAAAAAGGAGTAGGATGAAGCATTAGCTTATTAGGCCCTACCCCTCAGTTACATGTGTCATGGTGGTAAAGGATAATTATTTACAGTAAGACAAACAGTATACCAACTTTTTATATATTACTCTTTTTTTTGTATTCATCAAAAATACTTTTCTTATGTTCTTTTTTGAATTGCTGGATGCTTTTACATTGTTTAATGTTTTTAGGCAAGCTGTTCCAGAGTTTCACTCCACTAATTGATAAACTAAAGCTTTTTTTTATTGTTCAAACATACTTAGTTTTGAAATTTAATTTTCCTCTTAGATTATATTTTCCATCTCTATCAGAAAACAATTGTTGTATGTGCGCAGGAAGTTAGTTATTACTACATCTGCGGTTATTTATATCTTTTAAAAACAAAGCGCCGCATGTATGATGTTATTCGCGCGCCGGACTGGAGTTGTGACAGGCAGCTCGGACCACAGGCGGCTCCGCTCTACCCCTTCTATTCATTCGGCGAGCTAATCTGAATCATTTAATTCCATTTCGAGAGCGAGATCATCTGTGGTAGTAGCACTAGACATCATTCGTTTTTAAAAGATACAAAAATAAAAAATATAACCTTGGATGTCTGGGGGACAGTGATTCGCCTACATGTTCTGAATGCTGGCGTACCATAAATGATAAATTCTGAACAGTTTAGTATGTGCCTTCAAGTCGTTGCCCAAAGGAAGACGTTACTTGGATATAACCTAACCGAATATTTTCAGAACGGCTCCAAATGACACAAAACCCATATGGGTGAGTAGAACATGATGTAATAATGTAAAATCAAAAGCCCAATGTAAAAAAAAAAACAAACTCTGGATCTAAGGCAGCTTGTATTCTGTGCGTCTCCCCTTTTCCTCCAGTCTCTATAGTCCTTAAATTTGAAGAATAATAGTCCTGTTCTTTTTCTCCAAGTGGGTAAAACACTGATGTTTTCTACATTTCAAAAATAGATCGACAGAAGTAATGTGAGAGTTATAGCCCACATTCTGGATATATGTCTCTATGGTGGACTTTGAAACACTGACTCCAGCTCCTTGTACAATTCCTCCAAACTCTTGAATTATTTTTTTCTCTCAAATGTTGAAGGCTAATTAGAAATTTGTTTTATGTCTAAATAATGATCTTTTTCTGAGAAAATACATTTTGGGTTTTAATTGGCTGTGAACCTTTATTAAAGCGAACATGGATGAAGTAACCTTGAAAAAAGTAACCTTGAAAAAAAAAAAATTCCTAAAATCATACAGCAGTTTATTATATTAAACAACTATAATGAGTCATGAGTAAGAAACATGTCTAGTTCAGTTGAGTAAATGGCAGAAAATCATACAAATAAGTAAATGAAGAAAGTGTACTGTGGATTTAAACTGAATTTCTTTGATTTTTGTTTTGCTAGCCCACCTGGAAAAAAGGAGTCCTACTTTCTCACAGAAGGAGGCAGGGAGACATTTGACCAGCTTTATCGGCTATGGGAGGGAGAGATGAGGGTCGTGAGTTCCGGTGCTTCCTCTCCTATCCTCATGCTGCCTCTAGACTCCCAGACGCAATTAGTATCCGACCTCCTGAATGTTCTGATTGGAGTGGCGTCCACCACCTTCCCTCTCAACCAGGTGAATTCGTCGTCACTTATTACTGAGACACACTTAGATGCAATCTTTTTTGGCACAGTGCCACTGCGCAGCAGCACACAGAGACATTTGAGTCATTGCACAATTAGTCTGAGATATAAACAAACGCATTTCCTTTTAAAAAAGGTTATTACACTAAAACTTCTAGAGAACTGAGCCAGATCGTGTCAAGCCATTAACCTGATTAAACGATCAAGGAGTAAATTGCAGTGTTCCTCATGTTAAAAAACAAACCGCAGGAGAGAGCAGCAGTTGCTTTATTGTGTCCCATTAAGTTTTTTTTTTCTTCTGTTTCAGGAAGGCTATAGTCTTTTCTTTCATTGCTAATTGAATCACCATTCCCTGATTTCCCCTGGCCCCTTCCTTATCCTGTTACTGCAGGAGATGTTTGACACTAACATAAAGACATAAGAATAATGTTTAGAGCACTTCTCAGTAGTTCTCAAGGCTTTTAAATGTTTCTAGGACTTTTTGTTCCACCATCTTTAGTGCAGACTCCATGACCTTTTTAAAATGCTGTTAGCTGGAAACCTACTGTACAGCATGAGGATGGGCCTGTCATTATGACTTGTTGCTATCTTTATTCCAGTAGACGGCAGTCAGAGTGATCTCTGCTTAGAGAAATCAGGAAATATATTTTTAAGGGTGGGGCAGCTATAACATAGCTGCTTATAACAGTCAAAGTCAACTGGATGCTAATCAAAATAGCTACAGCTGCTAGAGAGGGCCCGTGTAAGTTAAATGATCTTAGAAATATTTGTTTAAAAAAATCAGCATATTCTCATATAGTATTTAACATGGTTTTATTTATAATTAAAACAGGCTAGAAACAGGTTTTCTTTCTAAAGTTTAATTGATTTTAACTGATAGAATTACATAGATTTTCTAAATAATCTCTTGTTCTACTTAATCTATAACATTTTTTTTTTTAGGTTTCACACAAACTGTTGCTTCTAAAATCGTTCAGCTCCCCAAATGTGATTCGGGTTAATTAGAGAAAAACTAGCAGGTGTTCCTAATAAACAAATTGAATACAATTTAAAATTTCTCAACACGACTAAATAATAACAAAACTATTTATTTATTTAATTATTATTCAATTTCAGCACAAAATATCTCTTTATTACCTGCTGACGTCTTGAAATGCCTCAACCCCTTCAAGATGAGTATGTTTAGAATGAAGCAGAGCAGCTTCTGCTGATCTCCAGTTAGCCAACGGATTCCTCAGAAACCTTAACTCAGCTCATTAATAATTCTGGGTTTGTGTTGCAAAAACCTTTTCTAATTAAAAGCAAAGATTTTCCCTGACAATGATGGCTAGTAGCATCTTTCCAGACTTCTTTTAGGGACATTCCTGGTTGGACTTTGAAATATCCTTGGGATCATTTGTTTACATTGTTGCAAAGACCGAGTGAGTGTGTTGCTGTGGCTAAGGCAGATTTCATCATTGTTTTATTTGTCAGGAGAGCAGTGTCTCTTATCGTCTGTGTTCTTCCTGCATCTCTCCATGCTCAGTTAGGCTGCGTAAACCTCATTTACATGCTATAAAATGCTGGCTGTCAGCTCACAGCACCGGGCTCTGTTACACCATATATAACACTATACATTAATATACAAGAATCCAGTGATTTTTAGTTATTTATTTCAAAGTAATTGCATTTTTTCAAGGTATTTATTTACAAAACAAAAGCATGCAACCATTTAAAAATGGGTTCATCACCAAAGTTTCTCTTGAGATCCACCAGTAAAGATCAAAAAATTTTTTTCAATTATAGAAAATGTTTAAAGCTACAGTGTGTAACTTTTAGCGACATCTAGCGGTCAGACTGCAGACTGCAGCAACATGAACATCTCCCCCCCACCGCTTCTCCCCCCCAACAGTACGGCGAGCGTTACGGGACAAAATGTCTTCCATGACGTCCGCATCACCTACCTTCTCAAGTGATGAGGTTTGTTTACATAGATAATTTTACAGATAGTATTTCATTAATCTGTGTAGGGTATAGATTTCATGTAGACTTAAGATAATAAATATACCCGTTATTTTTTCTACATCGTGACATTTTGGGGATCTCGCAATCACTAGTTTGTTGGCTCTGCGCTGCCGTAGCGCAAAGATGTCTGCCTCCATGGCTGCGAGACCCGCTCCTATCTAATTATAAATAACGAATTCTAAGGCAACGTAAATATTAAGGTTAAGAGGCTGAGCTCGTAGATGATGATAAAATAACATAGTTATGTATAATATATTACATTTCTGACTGTATATCCCTGTAATTATTACACACTGTAGCTTTAAATAAACCTTGCTTTTAGCTCAACTCCTTGTTGTTATACTGAGATGCTGCCATAAGATCCTGTTTTAACATGAACAAGAGCAGGTAGTATAAAGTAGATTCTTGGCTTCACTGGTAAAGCATGAAAACTAGCAGTCATATTGTAAAGATACAGTTTCCTGTTGTGCATTCCTTGTTGCGTCTTAAGGTTTAGCAGAACTGCTGAACTATTTACAGACCTTTTTTTTTGCAAGACTTCATTTCCTTTTTTGTAGAAAAAGCATTTTAGGAAATCAGATATGACTCACAGTTTGTTCAGAAAACTAACAAAAGATGAAGTTAATGTGATTTTTATATAAAACCTTTTTGTTTTGTTGACCAGGTGTGCTTTTATGAATGCCTTTATGGCTGGAAAATATTCTGTTCTTTTTGTTTTTTCTGTGTTATCCCTGAAGGATACTGCGTAGAGACACAATTTCTAGTTCTTATAAAACTTCTGCTTATGTCATCTAATAAAGTAACTCCACTGACTTCAAATGCCATCAAAGAGGTGACTCTCCAAACACCCCTGAGTTTCATTTTCCCTGTTACAAGTGTGGAGAATTATTATTATTTTTTATTATTATCAGACATCCCAGCTCCTTGTAGACCTTTTCTAAATATGTGCTTTCTATGACAGAGCGTTCAGTTCGACTTCAGGCCTGGTGTATGCGTATCGGGAGCTTCTCCAGAGAGCGTGTCTCGTCTTCTGGGGGAGTTGGCCCAGTATGGCACCTACTACCTGAGGCTGAGTCGCTTTTCTCTCCAGAGTGCTGACAAGAAGGGCCTAGTCTTCCAGGTATGTTTATATAATCACCCTTAATTAATGCTGCTGGGACCACGTTTTCTGTCTTGTATGCTGCACTAATGTCATTTTTACCCCCACTGTGTTCATCAATTTGGAACATTTTAATAGTCCCTTAAGGGACAACTGAAGACAGCCAGGCCTAGATAGACACACTCTATTTATGACAAAAGAAAACCATCTAAAAAAGTATAAGACAAAAGCACTTCAATAGCAGAAAACATTAAAAACACCAATAATGAGAGCAGCCTCTATGGTTATACAAGGCTGTTTTATCATTTCTCTTGTTTAGAGCACCTTGAGAAAACATAATGTTAAACCTTTTCATCACCTTGGAGCCACATACTTAAATTGGTTTTTTGTGTAAAATTTCATGTGATACACACTAAGTACACAAGTAAGCTGAAAATAAAAGAATCAAGAGCTTTTGAGATATTCTTTTAATAAAAAACAGATGTGCTTTCATATTCTGTCTTGTTTGTTTTGATCTCCCTAAATCAGAGGAGTGCATCTAATTGCCATCTGAAATTACATAATCTATAACCTGAAATTACATACATCAATTTGAACGGAGATGGACCATTGTAAAGAGAAACAGCCAAGAGGCCAAAGGTAACTCTGGAGGAGCCGCAGATGCCCATTGCTCTGTAGATGGAGTCCACTGGGCAAATACTTGTAATGTGGTCCACAAATCTGCTGCTAAGAAAACAATTCTAAGAAACTTTTTCTCCATGTTTGGTTCTAGTTCCTGGTGTACAGACCTGAGTGGTCTGGGAGGTTGATAAACTGACAACAGCTCTGTTATTTGTTGAGGTGCTGATCTATTCATTGGTTTATAGACTTACCAAAGGATTCTAGTCTATTCTCTGAGCTACAGGGAGCCAGGGAAGAATCTTAAAACCAGAGCTTATGTGCTCTTTCTCAGTTCTAGTAAGAACAAGGGCAGCAGCGTTTTGGATCAGCTGCAGCTGTCTGATGGACTTATTAGGCAAATCTATAAAGACATTGTTGCAGTACTCAATTCTAGTAAAGATAAATGCATGAATGAGTTTTTCTTGATCACAGTTGGACATTAGTCCTTTAATCCTGGAGAGGTTTTTCAAGTGATAAAAGGTTAACTTAGTAACTGCCTTTATGCACCTCTGAAGGTTCAGGTCTGAGTCCATCATGACACCAATCTTTCTGCCATAAACAGATGTTTCTAGCTGTATTAGCTGGAGCTGTGAGTTAACTCTTGATCTCTCCTTTGGTCTGAAAATTATTTCCTCAGTTTTGTTTGTATTCAGTTGTAGAAAATCATGATGCATCCATGTACTGTTCTGTTTTGAGCATCTAACCAACGCTCTGATGCTTTTATAGTCCCTGGTGACATTGTGATGTAAAGTTGTGTGTCGTGTGCATAGATTATGATAACTGATCTTGTTGTTTGCTATAACCTGAGCTATAACCTGTCATACCTTGGCAATTTAGACAGCATATGCCTGATGTACGAAAAATCTGGCAAAAACGCTGGCATGTATAAGTTATGAGCACGCTGAAACACGCTGGCACACATTGACATACGGCAAGTACTTCTGGAATTTTTTTGCTCGCTCAAAAGATTTTGAAATTTTTAGCATTCTCAAAATTTCTCATCCTTTGCTGTACGTGGGCCATAATTTACAGGTAAGTTATTTGATTGTTGACATACGTTAAGTGTAAGTTACTCATAAGTGGTGGCATCTAGCTTATCCAAAGCCAAAGTGTAACTTGTTCATAACTTATGCGTAACTTATCTCTAACGCATATCAACGTATTTGACGTGTTCCAGATGACCACTGAACGTGTTTCTAACTTACAGTTACTGTATAATGCCGTATTGGCATCGTTTTGGTATAAAAGGGGGTTCACAGGAGGAAACCGTCAGTACTCCTCCAGGATTCAGGACATACGCTTTGGAACCTTTATGAATACTCGGGAAAGTTCAGCGTATGCCAGCGTTTTAGAAGATTCTGGGACGTCAGGCATATGCTGTCTAAACCATAGAGGTGTGACAGGGGCTCAAGGGGAGCATGTAGATGTTGAATAGGAGGGGCTCTAGAATGGAGCCTTGAGGAACTCTGCATGTGATTTTTCTGGTCTCGGACTTAAAGTTCCCTATTGACACATAGAAATGCCTGTCCTTCAGGTAGGATTTAAACCAGTCCAGTGCTCTACCAGAGAGGCTGAGCCAGTTTTCCAGATGCTCCAAAAAAACCGAGTGAATACCAGAGTCTGAGTTTATATTGATGTCATTGAACACCTTAATCAGGGCAGTCCCTGTACTGTGGTTGGCATGGAAACCTCACTGGAAGACATCAAAGCAGAGATGGTTTCACAAAATGTTAACTCCATAAATATTAAAGTATACCATGTTTCTCATAATGTGCTTACATGAAAAATTAAGATGTCTTTATTCCGCTCTTTCAAATAAAGTTTAGTCACTGTTGGATTATTTCAGCACTGAGCTGAGAATGAAATCCTAATACAATCCTTTAAAGTTTGTCGTAACATGAAGGTTAGATGCATCAGGGTGTGAATACTTTTGGAAAACTATGTATAGGACTGATCTTTATTTCTTTTTCCAAGGCGTTCACTGGTGGTCTAAGGAAGTATCTGCATTACTACAGAGCTTGTGTTCTCAGCACGCCACCTACTCTCAGCCTGTTGACGATCGGCTTCCTTTTCCGCAAAGTTGGCCGCCAGCTCAGGTGAGATCGCACCTCCTTTTTGTCATTGCTGCTGATGGTTTCTTTTGTTTTTACTAATTTTAACCTTAACCCCACACTGTCAGACTGATCTGACAGAGATCAGCTCACTGCGTGCGTCACCACATCAAAAACTCCCTTCACTCTCTTTTCATCTCAAGGTACCTGTCGGAGCTGTGCTGTGTGGACGGCCCTTCGGGTACGGGCCACGCGACCTTCCCTGTGGTGAGGGCTCTTTTATCTACGAAGTGTAATTTGTCATCTATCATGGCTGTGTTTAACCTTCCGGGCGAGATGTCAGCTCTGTTCATGTGGCTCTCCTCAGGGTGTTAAGCTGCTGTCCTACCTCTACAACGAAGCTCAGAGTAACTGCAGCAACGAGAACTATCCCGTCCTGCTGTCCCTGTTGAAGAGCTGCTGTGAACCTTACACACGGTTCGTGATGCTGCAGCTTCACCTGAAAGATGCATTTAAAAATCTAGAGACATGGCGACTCTACTAACATGCATAAGCTGTTTGAGCAGTTTTTTTTTTAAGAGTCTTTGCTTCATTTAGGTTTGTGTCCGACTGGGTGTACAGCGGCGTGTTTCGAGATGTTTATGGAGAATTCATGATCCAGGTCAATGAGGATTACCTCAGTTTTAGGGGTATGGAAAAGGACACACACACACATAAAGGAAAAGCTTGCTAGGCAGACTGTCTATAGTAGGAGGGGGAAAAAAAAGATTTGATTTGAACCTTTATTGCCTAGTTGGATTTGTCCTTGTGTCTATAAAGGATGCCACAAAGTTATTGAAAAATAATAAGCAGGGAAGGGAATCCGACTTGGCTGTGGGAGACCAGAATCATCTCCACTCAGGAAGCCAGACGAACAAACACAAATAATATTGCTTTATTCTTTTTATTTAGTACACCCTGCTGATTGTAGGAAAAAAAACTTTAATAAATGGCTATCTCTCAGCCTTACCCTCAAAAGCTGGACTTTCTGAAGTATTTTTATTTGGTCTAATTAATCGGTTCCATGAGGAGAGCTGAGAGATGAAGAAAAAAACCCATCTGGGGTTTACAGAAGCTCCCTAACTTTTTGTCTCTCTTAAGTCTCAACATGCTTTTTTTCATTGCTACATTTTCTGTCTATTCACTTTTACATTTCATTCCCTGAAACTTAATTCTTAAAGGTAGCTTAAATAATTTTTCATTAAAAAAAATATATATAATTTTAGGTTTATTATATCACCAGATTATTGTTTTTTTTTTTTTTTTTTTTTGTTATCTAAAAGTCTATGTATTTATCAGCAGTTATTTAAAATATCTGTCTGTGGCTTTAAAAAAGAACCCATCCACATAAAGACAAGCTTATATGTATCCATAGAGTTTAGACATCTACACAGATTTTAGCATTTCAAGAGACTAAAAATAAACCACATTAAAAAGCTTGTTCCGGTAAAATCAGACAGTCCTTCTGTCTAATATTATCTGTCAGTTTATATTCCAGTATATATCCACTAATCGTCTGTTCATCCCTTCATCTGTTAAACACCTATAAATCCATGTGTCCAGTATCCATCACTTTATCCTGTGCTTCTATCTGGGATGTTTGGTGATTCTGTATTTAAAGCCTGACTCCTGTATAAATATCTCATATTTGTTTATACTGAAGGGTGGGACCTTGAAATAGGATAATGAATATGCTGAAGGATGCTGGAATATAATGGAATGCTGTGTTGGGAAAAGTGTAGCAGCCCTGTGTTTAACTGCAATAAAAGGTGTATATATGTGAAGGGTTTTTAAACATTTAAAAAAGGTGGATTCACATCAATGCTTTATCTTTGAGGGGCTACAACTCAAATGGGATTGCTCAAAAAAAGCTTGCTTCAGTAATTAATATTAGAATTGATTCAGAATTGGGGAAAAAAAAATATATATATATATAATTTAATTTCATCTTAGATAAGTGAAAGAAGGAGGATAGATAAAATTTTAACTATTTCTAAATATTATCCAAGAACCTTAATGAAGTGTTACAGTCATTTCTTTTTCCTTAGAGTAGAAATATGACAAAATCCATATGGCTTATAATCAAAAAATGAAAGAGGAACATGTTAAATGAGACAGATTTTTTCTGATCTTTATGAGTAGAAAAATGTGACAGTAAAATTCCCTGTTTTTTTTTTTTTTTTTTATGCAGTTGTGATAAATTAATCTGAACAAAGCTGCAAGTTAATTTTCCAATCATGTCAAGACAACATAGGAAGTCAAAACAAAGATCTCCAAAGCTCTTGGCTACAGTTTCATATTTAATTGTAAGATGGAAAAAAAACAGCCCTTTACATTTTTTTTTTTTTTGACAAAATGGCCAAAATCTATTGGAAAATAGTCCTCCTTTGTTTTAAGCAGGCAAAGGTGTTTATCTGATAATTTACTGACTGAATAGATGTCAGCATGTTTACCTGTCAATGAAATCATTCAGGTGCAGGCATGAATATGCATAAACAAATTTCAAACACAAATATATATACAAGCTTCTCCTTTTTAATGTTGACACTGGCTAATAGATACAGTGAGGTATGAATGATTATAGGCTGTCCAAACACTGTATGTAACTCAGCATCCTATTCAAGGTCACACCGTCATGCTGGTTTTGTCTGCCTCCATTTTTGCTCATCGGCTCCACCTCATCAGCTCGAGTGAAGCTCCACAGCTCTCGCTCCTGCTGTTTGAAGGAGACGCAGTTGTCACTGTTTTCTTCAAATTCAGCCAAGGAAGCAGTCAGCAGTGGCAAAGCATGAGCTCTGAAGCTCGTGCATTTATGTTATGCTTTTATGTTTAGAATTACTGAGCTAAGTGCTGACAATTACAGGTGTTAATCCAAGCAGCAAGTTTTGTCATGTCCCATAACTCATAGTAAAAAAGAGGAATGTTCTTTTAGTTCTGGCTGATTCTAACGGGTTGTGTTTGCATTTCTACAGACAAACACTTCTGGGTCCAAGGCTACACTCTGATCTCGAAGGATGTGGAGGACTGCATGCCAGTCTTCCTGAGACACATCGCTAACGACGTCTATGTCTGTGGGAAGACCATAAACCTTCTCAAAATTTGCTGTCCGCAGGTTTGTTTTGTATGTTTATAACCATACATGCAAATCTAAAGAGATTTAATGCAGTTCTCTGTATTAAAAAAAACAACTAAAGAATCCCTCTGATATTTCTAATATTCTCTATATAACATCGCAGGCTTTTATGTGTACTGTCATCGCCCAAAAAGTAACCTTTAGAAGTTGTACGGTGACAAATATCCTCACATCTACTCCATATCAGATTTTTATACACAGCCACACTTGGTTGAGAGTTTTCACTCAGTTTTGAGGAATTACAGGTGCTGGTCATAAAATTAGAATATCATGAAAAAGTAGATTGATTTCAGTAATTCCATTTAAAAAGTGAAACTTGTATATTATATTCATACATTACATACAAACTCATATATTTCAGATGTTTATTTTGTTTAATTTTGATGATTACAAATGACAACAAATGAAAATCTCAAATTCATCATATCAGAAAATTAGAATATTACTGAAGACCAATAAAAACAAAGGATTTATAGAAATGTTGGCCAACTGAAAAGTATGAACATGAAAAGTATGAGCATGTACAGCACTCAGTATTTAGTTGGGCCTCCTTTGGCCTGTATTACTGCAGCAATGCGGCGTGGCATGGAGTCGATCAGTCTGTGGCACTGCTCAGGTGTTATGATAGCCCAGGTTGCTCTAATAGTGGCTTTTAGCTCTTCTGAATTGTTGGGTCTGGTGTATTGCATCTTCTTCTTCACAATACCCCATAGATTTTCTATGGGGTTAAGGTCAGGAGAGTTTGCTGGCCAATTAAGAACAGGGATACCATGGTCCTTCAACCAGGTACTGGTAGCTTTGGCACTGTGTGCAGGTGCCAAGTCCTGTTGGAAAATGAAATCTGCATCTCCAAAAAGTTGGTCAGCTGCAGGAAGCATGAAGTGCTCTAAAACTTCCTGGTATGTGGCTGCGTTGACCCTGGACCTCAGAAAACACAATGGACCAACACCAGCAGATGACATGGCACCCCAAACCATCACTGACTGTGGAAACTTTACACTGGACTTCAAGCAACGTGGATGAAGTGCCTCTCTTCTTTTCCTCCAGACTCTGGGACCTTGATTTCCAAAGGAAATGCAAAATTTACTTTCATCAGAGAACATGACTTTGGACCACTCACCAGCAGTCCAGTCCTGTTTCTCTTTAGCCCAGGCAAGACGCTTCTGACGCTGTCTGTGGTTCAAGAGTGGCTTGACACAAGGAATGCGACAGCAGAAACCCATGTCTTTCATACGTCTGTGTGTGGTGGTTCTTGAAGCACTCACTCCAGCTGCAGTCCACTCTTTGTGAATCTCCCCCACATTTTTGAATGGGTTTTGTTTCACAATCCTCTCCAGGGTGCGGTTATCTCTCTTGCTTGTACACTTTTTTCGACCACATCTTTTCCTTCCCTTCGCCTCTCTATTAATGTGCTTGGACACTGAGCTCTGTGAACAGCCAGCCTCTTTAGCGATGACCTTTTGTGTCTTGCCCTCCTTGTGCAAGGTGTCGATGGTCGTCTTTTGGACAACTGTCAAGTCAGCAGTCTTCCCCATGATTGTGTAGCCTATAGAACTAGACTGAAAGACCATTTAAAGGCTTTTGCAGGTGGTTTGAGTTAATTAGCTGATTAGAGTGTGGCACCAGGGGCCATCAATTTTGAACCTTTTCACAATATTCTAATTTTCTGATATGATGAATTTGAGATTTTCATTTGTTATTTGTAATCATCAAAATTAAACAAAATAAACATCTGAAATATATGAGTTTGTATGTAATGTATGAATATAATATACAAGTTTCACTTTTTAAATGGAATTACTGAAATCAATCTACTTTTTCATGATATTCTAATTTTATGACCAGCACCTGTATTTTACCTAAACAAAATAATAAAATAACAGTATTTAATGCATATTTATAAATAATTGAGAACAGACATGGAATTCCTGTTCATTTGCAGCTGATTCGTTAACCATGGAAATAAAGTGTTTACATCCCCAGTGCTATTTATTTTCTTTCTTCCAACAAGGATTAAATTGTTTGTATTTCACAAATACAGACAGGCACTGCATATTTTTGCTACTTGTCTATCTGTAACAATATAACTTTTGGTTTATTTTATAACTCAATAAGACCCAAGTATATTTATCTTGACATATACCAAGAGTCTCTTATTATTAGTTTTACAAGACGCAGGAAGATGTTCTTCTTCATGGAGTATAGAGGTAATATTCTAACTAGGGGTGCGCTGACAGAAAAATTTGGGCTGATATCGATATCTCGTGTATTGCAGTTGTGACTGGTAGCCAATATTCAATGACCTTTACACAGAGTGAAAAAAAGACCACAGTGCTTCTGTTGAGTCCCTGCTTCAACTAAATCATTAAAATATTATCATCTTGGTAACGCTCCTCTGTATTTTCCCCATATGCATCCCAGTGTAAGCCCCGTTTATTGCAGAAAAATGGAAGATGTGATCTGATCATTTAAGCTGAAGCATTAATTTAATTTAAAATACAAAATACAAAAATAAAATACAAATACAAAAGTATATTTTCAAATTTTTTAACAGTTGTGAAGCTTAGACATCTATAAGCATTGGGATTTCGTGTGATAAGCCACCAAGATGAGGAATATTTCCTCAAGGATCCCATTATTTATTGTATCATCATGGTCTAATTAGCTCTAAACTGCTTATGTGCCCCTGTTGGTGAAAAGCAAAGCCTACAGCATGATGCTGCCACCACTATGTACTAATGTTGGGATGGTTTGTTGAGGGGGTTTGCATTTAAGTAAAAGTAGATGCAGCTTTCTCTCCCAACCAGAGAACCTTCTTTAACGTTAACTGTTTCTTTGTGTCTTTTTTCGCCTAACTTCTTGTGATATGAGCCTTGCAGTTGCATCAGGACATGTGTGGAAAAAAATCAAGGGTAGCAACACTTTTGCCAAACTTTGTGCTTGTATACATTTTATAGGTTATTTTTAGCTTCTTATCCTATTGAGGTCCAAATCTCTCCCATATGTTTTCCCAGATTCTTTGCTAGTTTACTTTCGCATCTAGCCAGGAATAGGAGTCGTACTTTCCGACAGCTGGTGCAACATATTTTGTTTATGGAATGAACTTTGAGGTTATAAAACATGTCAACATGATGAGTCATGCAGTTTAACACTTGAAGCAGCGAGCCCCCTTTTGTAGCACTAACTTCTCACCAAATGTGTTCTTCCCCAGCACTACATCTGCTGGTCGGAGCTGCCGGTGCCTCGCATCGCTGTCACCTTCTCCATCCAGGAGGTGGAGGAGATTGAGCGAGAATGCGCGGTGTACCGCGGACGTATGGAGAGGATTGCAAAGCACAGCGCTGTAAGCAGGGAGGAGCAGGTAAGGATACAAGCTCTGTTTGTACTTCTTTATTAGATGTTTGGTGCTATAGCTTTCCTGTGCACAATCTGATGCACGTTTGTTTTTAAGGCATTGAGCTAGTTTATATGGCATGCACTGTTTGTGCAGCTGTGACAGGAAGAGATGCGGGAGGAGAGGTAGAGCTCTGGAGCAAGGGGATAAATCTTTGTTAATGATGATTTCTTGCCTGTCCATTGTTTAGGCCCTGCGAGCAGAGCGAGCGCGCCAGGACCTGATCAATCAGGTCAGGGAGTCGGCAGCCAAAACCCTGGAGAGCATCCGAGGTTAGCGTCTCATTTAAACACTAAGAAACACTGATTGTTATATAGTTCATGTTGCAGCTAAATATACCTTCAACATGTTACATTAATTACACACCAGGTAAAATTTGTTTAATTACACTTTCTTGCTATTTGAGGACTTGTCTTCCATTAGTTAAGGGTGTGAAATTGAACAGAGTTCTGCAAAATTGTCTCTTTAATTTTTTTCCTGTGGAAGATGTAAAGAAGTGAATTTGCTTGGGGAATGCCTGCTCAGTTCCTTTATGCACGCCTCGGCTTATATGAGTACAAGGCAGATGGTGATGTTTTGTGCTGCGGCGCGTGTGTTAGAGCGATGCGGATGTTGGGTTGCTTTTCAACGAGGAGTAAACAGCCCACTGTTATCTGCCTCCACCTCCTACAGGGCGGCAGGTGTCACAGCGTCTGGCTGAGGAGGCCAAGAAAAGGGAGCGCTTTGAGGAGCTGAAACAGCACCTGGAACAGGAGCAGGAGGTACATGAAGTGGAAACGCACTTAAAAAAAAGCATAATAATCTATTTAAAATGTGTGTCTATGTCTGCATGAATGTTAAAGATAGATTAGAAGTTATGTCCCAATAAAATGTGTGTCACTGTCTTACTGTCACTTTACTGTGTACATGTCAGTTTGAATTTGCTTTATCAAAGCCTCATAGATGCTGCCCAGAAAATGACAACAAAACCAAAATTCTTTCTCTGGAACATACTAAAACGCAGCAGCCAGTCTTTTTCTGCAGCTATAATAAGTCTGGGTAATTAATTGCATTTGCATTATAATTGTCATTTAAGAAAACTCTATTTTCAAATTGCAGAGACTCTCAACTTTGGTCATTTTACATTTAACAAGACTGAGAAACTACATTTTCTCACTCCAGCCCTTCAAGTGGTGGTAATATATTTAAAGTGGGTTACAGTTAAGTCCTGCAATAATGGACTGAACAAGCAAGCTTTCAAAATGATTAAATGCTGGAGTAAAACATCTACATGCTTGTGATTAGTGTGAAGGTAAATTTGATAAAATTGCAATACTGAAAGCAATCGCAATTTAGATTTTTGGCAAAATCATTTAGCCCTAATATAAACTGTGGCTTTTTTTATCATCTGCTTGTTTGAATTTCTGTACAAAACGTGCTTTCAGAAGTTAGAAACTTTATCTCGCAATAAGTGAAGCTTTTGCCCTAAAACCTCAAAGGTTTCTATGAAACAGCAACAAATTTGCAATATTTGGAAAGACTGCAGAAGATCAACAAGTCTATCTACCTAAAGAGTCAAGTAATGGCAGCGACAAACACTAGCAACAAGTGGCACCAAGCCTAAACCCAACACACAACACTGTTGCTATGCAACAGCAATAAAAATGTTTCAACTTTCTCGGGTTGCATCGCAAGCCTGCTTGTGCATGTCTACATCTATGAGGTCAAAATGTCACACGCGTGAATTTAGCTGGTCGCTTTGCTAGAGGACGACAATCGACTGTTAAGTCATTGCAGGCGAAGTGCGGGGAGGGACGTCCCGGAATTAAACCATTAATAGAGATGCTATCCCTTTGATTTGACACCTATTGGTAGAGAGGTTCACACTACAGCTGAATAACAATCTTCAGGACTGAGGTACATTGTTGGGTTTGAATTAAAGTAGAATCACGTCAGTACGGATTAGTCACAGTCCAGACTTCAATCCAATTGGGATTTTTTGGTAAACTCACTCACAGATGCTCTCCTTCTGATCTGACTAAGTCTTGGTGGTTAAACGAGCAAGAATGTTTCAGTTGATGGATGTTCAAAGCTGGTATGGCACTGCTGTAAAGGTGGTTGAACACAAAAGCACAAGATGGTAGTTAAATAATAATTTGTAAAACAGATATGCCCTTAAATGTGCTCTTAAATTTACTTTAAAACTGTGAATATTTTTGCAAGGCTTCATAGATACATCTTACATTTGCACCCATCTCAGATTAAAGGGCTAATATGGATTTTTATAAGTACAACGTTCAGTCTGACAGATTCTCTGGCAGAAATTGTTGTTCTGTTGGAATTTAGACGTTTCTCCGTTCTTACTATCCATTAGTTATCCAGATGTAAGAGATAAATATGGTGCTGTCTTGACTTGTCTGTATTAGCCTGATATTTGCTTATCTTGAAACGTTGTAGAGAGACAATTTTCAAACCCCATTTTTATTTCTCAAACACCACATAGTCTGACCCTCTGGTTGCCCTTTTTTCTACCATCTGAATGATTTGCGCTTTGCTGACCCTATGTGAAACGCCATGCATTATCTCTTATATCTCTTCTGGCAATGCACTGTTCTGCTAAAATGGAAGAAGACGACCCTGTTCACCCACGCTCATTTCCCCCCTTAAGCCTAGGAAAGATCTTGGCATTTTTTAGCAACTCCAGGGAAAAGTTTCTTTTCTTCATCCCTCATGCTTAGAACCTTAACACCCAGCAGCTTCTAGTATGTTTTTTTTTCTACAATAATAAGTATAGAATGTAATGATGATGTTTACATAAAGAAAAATACATTTTAACTTAAACAGAGATGCAAGATGACTTTATTATTGCTGTGATTTATAAGTCAGTGTTTTAAAAAGGTCTTTTCACTGCAACACTTCTTTCTCTTTTTAATTACTTGAACAATATATTTTTGAGGGAAGCACTAAACTTTTCAAACCTGAAAGTCTTCCTTTAGCACTTCTGTCAGCTTTTGGAACTGGGACAGCTTAACAAGATTTGTTTGCAATAGAGATATTTTATTCCTCCTTGTGGTTGAAAAATAATATGAAACCCTTAGGTGTTGTATTAAAAAAAAAATCTATGTTGCATTTTTCACTGGAACTATATATGATTTTATGAGTTTTGAGCTTACTTAGATGCAAAAACACTGCTCATATGGTGGGGATCAGTAGACTCTGTCACAAATAGCCTCCAAAGTGACATCATGATGACAGCTGAGATGCAGACTAAGGATTTTCTGTAGGGTCTGAACAATCTAAAATAATCCTTTAAAGGAGGGCATGAAGGCTCAAAAAATGTCCACAAAAATATACAAACATCTAATTAAATGTCTCCTGGTTAAATAAGTGCTTATGTGTGTATTTGTTTGTGTTTGTGGGATCAGTGGCGAAATGCAGCCAAGAAGAAGCAGGAGGAGAACGACTTCAGCTTTGCCAAAGAGCTGAGAGACAGAGAAAAGCGACTGCAAGCCCTGGAGGAGCAGCTGGAGCAGAGAGCCAGGTTTGACAGCTTCCACAGAGTCAACTGATCTGCCAGCTCCAACATAGAACTGATCGTTCTACGTTGGCATTTTTCTTGTTATATACAATGTGTTGAACTTGCTGAAGCATCACTTCCACAAGTGCTGCATATGTTTGCGGCTAGACTTATGCTACATTCCCGTGCAGTCGGGATAAGTGTGTAATGCCACAGCGTGAGCAAACGCTATTGAAACTTGTAACGCACGCAGCGAGCTGTCATTCAGCGTGGCGACATGTTGGAGATCAGAGCGTGCCAAAGCTGAAGGAGGGAAGCACCTGCCATCTGCAGCCTCTTAGGTCTGCATCCTTCCACTCCTCTCCCTGTCAGGAAACATTTCTGAAATTCAAAGTTTAAACATAAAGTTTTTGATATGTGGAGGAAAAGATTAATAAATGGGGGGGGTTATGAAGGTGGGATTACTATTTTTTTGATCGAGTAATAAAGGGCTATTTTAGTTTCACTAAATTAAAGCTGCAAACTTAAATTGACCTTGAGAGAGAGAAATAAAGATGATTTTCAAGGTTTAGAAACAGACTTGATGAACTTCAATCCATTATATTTCTGAATCAAGTTTAAAAAAAAAAAACGTTAAAGGTTTACATTGAGATGAAAAAAAAAATACAGATCTGAAGTCCATTTTAGTCTTCACATTTTATGTGCCTGTTAAAATGTTTCGGTTTGTTATCTTTATATAGAAAATCTTTGACCCTTTCTGCATAATTTTGGCCAGTTATTATAAGTTAATACAGATCTGAAGCCATAGCTCACAGATGCCCATCACAGGCCTTTATGATTAATCCTACAACGCAAATAGGAAAATATTTTAGGGTTAAGGGAAAATATATATGTATTAGAACTTTTCAATTTATCTCATTAAGCATAAGTTGCTTAATAGCAACCCCCCCACCCCCCTCCACTACCTTTTGCTAAACATTGTTGTTATATGGCTGTAAGAAAAATACTACACTTTGATTGACTAGAAAAACAAATTAAGGTGGATACACTTTCTCTTATATTTTTGTTAGTGGAGGGCCGTTATCGTTGTTAATCTATTCTCAAAGTTGGATTTGGTGCTGGGTCTATACTTATGATGACTTTCTCCTTGATATTGTGTTTGTCAGTGTTTGCCAGCAAGTAGCAAATAACTCATGCTGAAACCAAGGTCCAGTCGCAAAGCTCTTTATTGATGCAATGCAAAAAAACAGGAAATCCTTGTTCCCTTATATGTAACTGGTGAAAATTTCTTTTGAGGCTGCCAATGTTAACACTTACAACTCCAGCCTCACAGGACACAACAATGACGGCCTGTAGGGGTGTAAATCACACCTATCATGGAGATTCAATTGAGTATCGATTTCCTGACCCAACGATTCGATTATTTTCGATACTCAAGAATACACCACGATTCGATTAATTGGTTCGTTTTTTTTTTTCTTTTTACACCTTACAGGCTAGACAATGTTTCAAATTTGAAGTAAATCAATGAAAGCTGTAATATCGTTATTCTTTTATTTTATTTTTTTTTTTGAGAAACTACAGAAAATAACAGAAGTAGAGAAGTTGCACTCCACTTATTCCTAATAAAACATCATTCACTGAAAAATAATAATGCCCCTGCGTTATAGATTCTGCAAGGCCTTGCATCAAAAAATACTGCAGAAAATCAGTGCAATGAGTGCAATGAAATACCTCGGCTCCAGACGTCCCCGCCCCCTCCGCAGACGCTCCACTGCACCTCTCCCAAATTGTAGCTGACCGCAGACAGTGCCGCAGACAGGAGGCCGGCTTGTTTTGTTTTCATGACAGAAATAGCGGAAAACAACTTGTGAAGTTGGACCATCTAGAAGAGCGAGGTGTGCGAGAACGCTGGAATCCTTTTTCCACCTGGATCTCCGCTCTTTTTGGCATGATTCGATATTCTTGTGGACGTATCGATGCATCGGATCGTCGGCTGTTGGATCGATGCATCGATACAAAACGATTATTATTTACACTCCTAAAGGCCTGAGTCACTGGTGGAGAAAGAAGAAATAGAGCTTGGACTGACTGACTGACACAAAGCTACTGACTGTCAACAGTTCATCATGACCTATTATGTTGGCTTTTAGTTCAGTTCAGTTCATGTTAATTCTCTATCTTTTGTTTTGTCTCTCCATTCCAGAAAATTATTTTGATAAATTTGTCACGTCTAAAACAGTCTGTTAGATTTAACAGCTGAAGGAATAGTGGCGGGTTTACTGCTTAAAATAAAGAGAAAATAGATATTACACCTGTTTTAAAAAAATCTTTCTGTGAATCTCTTGAAACATCTGGGTTACCACAAAAATCTCGTACCTGTCCTTGCATAGATGGTGAGAAGCTTTTAAACATGGAAAAAGGAGGCAAAATAGTAAAAAACAGATTATAACCCTGATTTCCTGCATGCTTAGGAATCGGTTCTAGTCTACTTTCCAACATGGAGCTAGAGACAGTGTCCTGACCCTGTTGTTGCAGCTCTGGATTAACCTTGCATCTGAAGGAATGTCGCCTTTCTTTCTGTTCCTCCATCACTATACAGAAAGGAGCTGATTGCTCAGTACAGCCGGTTGTCAGAGGAAGCAGCTCGCAGAGAGAGACAGGCCATGTGGAGAGTGCAGCGAATGAGACTCGACGGAGCCAGGAAACAATTCTTAATGCTCGACAGGCAGAAAATTCAGGTGGGTGACTAACAGAGGAACACAAAAGCATGAACAACACAGAAAGATGATTTCCTGCCAAGGTCATGTTCAAGAATTTCTAAAGAAAGTACACAAAGATTTTTATTGTTTCTCAAAGTTTTCAGTTTTTTTTATTAAAGGTTTTGTTTTCATCTTTCAGGCATTGCTGGATAAATGCCCATCAGGCCAGGAGAGCCCTCCCATGGATATATTGCCATCTGCCCCCTCACATCCACCTCAACAAATTCTTGTATTAATTCCTCTTTATAGTAATAACCTTTCTATGGTTTCTTTTCTCTTAGAAACTGACTTGATATTCTTGTTTACAGGATCCGTTAGCAAACGTTCAAAGATCTGAAGCTCTAACTCCACTTCCTAATCCGTCTGCAACAGACCCTCCTCTCATCTGTGAGGACTCTGACATCAGTGACCTTCTCCCTAAATCACCAAAGCCTGACAGTCAGCAAGTGGATATGGCCCTGGAGGAGATTGGCTCTGACCTACCTATTGCTCGCCCTGCTCCACAACTCGTTGACTATGACTTTAGTGCCCCCTTTAGTCCGCTTGAGGGAATCACTGGCCAAGCTTCTGCCCAGTCCAGGCCTCGGTGGGGACCTGCAGACCAGCCTGAGCTGATGCAGAGCCCCATTCTCACAGTTCAAAAAGATGAAAACTTTCATCAAGCTCAGCAGACTCAGGAGGACAGTCAAAATACGGATGTTTACGGACAAACCTCACATGCTTCTGACGCAAACACTCTCAAGGGAGACCAAGAAGCTGCATCTGTACCAGAACAAGAAGGAAGTGATTTATGGAAAAAAGATCAGATAAAGACTGAGGGTGCTGAAGTGGACAATAAGAACCACGGCTCTGAGAGTCCTAATAAAGCTGGTGGAGATGTTTCTCCTTCAGACCTTCAGAGGTCTGTCCCCATTGCTGAAGTTAAGGTTGGAGAGCTGGTTTCAGCCTCCCATGGTGTCCATGGCCATTCATCTGATGCTCATATAAAGGTTGGGCAGTATGTCTCTGAGGTAACTGCTCAGATTCCATCCCCCAACATTCACGGCCATGCTTCAGATTCACACATCAAGATCGGAGAAAACCTGTCCGACGTCACAGCTCCTACACCCTTCTCCAGTTCCCATGGCCACTCCTCTGATGCACACATCAAAATTGGGGAATATATTTCTGAGATTGTCTCTTCTCTTCCTGTCCCTAATGTCCATGGACATTCCTCAGACTCCCACATCAAGGTTGGAGAACTTGTTTCTGACGTTGAAGCGATCTTACCATCACCAAACATTTACGGCCACAGCTCTGACTCTCATATAAAAGTTGGAGAAAATGTTTCAGACATTGCTGCAGCGAAGCATGCTCCCAGTGTTCATGGGCACGCCTCTGATGCTAATATAAAAATAGGCGAGTTTGTGTCCAACGTGTCTGAAGGGAGACCTCGTTGGAGTAAGCATGGGCATGCCTCCGATTGTGTCCTTCAGTTGGGCTGTGTGGTCTCTGGATCAGATCCCAGAACAGCTGCTCTGCCAGGGAGCTTTTACGGTCACTCCTCAGACTCAACCTTAGGTGTTGGATGTGTGGTCCAAGGAGATGAGCCCAAACTGCGATCATTACCTGGCAGCGCTCACGGCCATTCTTCAGACTCTGCTTTAGGCGGTGGATGTCTCGTCTCAAAAGCCGACCCGCTTCCATCGCCTCTGCCAGGCAGTGCTTATGGTCACTCCTCTGATTCGGCACTGGGAGTCGGCTGCATGGTGCTGGGGTCAAATCTGCCAACTGCTGCACTCCCAGGCAGCTCTTACGGTCACTCATCAGATTCTTCGCTAGGGGTTGGATGTGTGGTCAAAGAAAAAGAAGATGGAAACCAGCCAAAGACGTCAGAAAAGGACAATAAAGGTACCGAATCACAGAGGGGCCATTATTTTGCCCCATACAAGCTAAGGGCAGCTGTTGTTATGGTTACAAAAATGCTAAATCAATTTTTCCTAAAATAGTTTGTATGCTTTAGATTTGTTTTAATAGTAACCAGGTCCTCCCGCCCCACTTGTTGCTGCACACAGCCACCAGCTGGCTAAATTAAGTCTTTCGCATGTGTAAAAATTAGGCAAATTCGGCTGTTTAGCACGTTTTTTTAATCCTTTACTATCTTTGCATCTAAATGAACCTCCTAATATCCACCTAATTTCTGGGAATTTCCCCTGTTTTGAATACCCAAATGGAAAAGAAAATAACTGAGGAACTGTAAGCCCAAATTACATGTGTGATACGTTATTCAAACACCTTCTAGTTTCTGAATATATACATGCAAATTGGTTGAGTAAAACACCCAAGCAGCATCAAGCCCAAGCTGCATCAGTTCAAACTAGAGACTGAAATTTTTCCGGGACTCCCACGGGTCACAGGATTCCCGTGGGATACCCGTGGGATGGGAGTCAGTATTAGTAACGATCACATGATTAGGACGGTACAGGATTAAACATTAATGGGAGCAGACGGGAGCGGGAGCAAACCAATAGTAACTAAAAAAAACTAGGATCGATGCCAAAAAAATAGAATAAAATGGAAAGAAAAAAAATCCAGTGCTGACGCCGCCATTTTGTAGTTTTTTTCCTTGAAGCCTACACTATAAAACAAGTCAAAAAAACTACACGACCCAAAAACCAACAGTGCTTCCGCTCTGAGTTTTTCACCCGCGCTCAAAAACAACAATGGAGGGACCAACAGTTACTACAGTTAGAAACAGGAACTTCACTGACCCTTCATAGAAATTCGGATTCAATGTATTGGCATAAATCTTATTGAAGACAACAAGAATGGGAGTGGTGCAGGAGCGGGAGTCATTCTGAATGGGAGCGGGATGGGAGTGGGAGTAATTTCACCAGGAGTGGGGCGGGACAGGATTTAGATTTCTATTCTGGCCCGGGATTGGGACGGGACACAATTTTTTTCTGTTGGAGTGGGACGGGACAGGAGTGAAAATCCACTCCCGTGTCAGTCTCTAGTTCAAACATGACTCAAAAGTTTTTTTTTGTTTCCAAAAATAATAAGTCTTTTTTGAACAGTAGTAATAAAGACATGCTTGCTTGTTGTGGCTGCTTTGTCATACTACATTTCCACATACTGCTATAATTGGTGCTTTGGTGCTCGATCTGTCCATAAAATGAACTAGGTGGTTGAATTGTGGGGAATCTTAGCTTTCCAACAATGTCTAACATGTCTATATTGGTAAACATTTCACCAGTGTTATTTTCATGCATTCTGAGTTATTATATTTAAACAGTTTAAAAAGGGGTCGCTGGCGACCCGATGGGTTTTGAGAGTTTAAAATAATGAAATAGACAATTATTATAATCAGCTAAGATTATAGTGGGGAGTAGCAGCCTAGTGGTCAGGGCATAGAGCTTGGATTCCTGAGGTTCTGAGTTTGAGCCCCACTCCAACAGACTGCCATTCTGGGTCTCTGAGCAAGACCCTTAACCCCACACTGCTCTTCTGGCGCCGCAAAATGGCAGCACACTTTTACCAAAGGGGATGGGTTAAATGCAGAGGTAAATGTCTCCAATGTGAGATATTCAATTCAATTCAGTTTATTTATATAGCTCCAAATTCACAACACACGTCATCTCAAGGCACTTTACAGTTCAACCAGATCATATAGTCAAATTGATTCAAAGTGTACCATCTAATGAAAACCAGTTGATTGCATCGACTCATTGACTCAAATACAATCCCTCACACTAAGCATGCTTGTAGCGACAGTGGAGAGGAAAAACTCTCTTTTAACATGAAGAAACCTCCAACCTCCAGAGATTAATAAAGTTAAATTATTATTTATTTATCATATTTATTTTGACCCTTTTTTTAATTTTACCTCCTTTAAATACATCTCATATGTTCCTGTCTCAGGCTCTGAAATGATTTCAGAGAGGACTAATTGATCAAACTGATGGTAATCCTTGCACAGCTTTTTTTCTCTTATAAAAAAATAATTTTTATTGCCCTTTAATTGACAATGTATTTTTCTTCTCATGTATCGAGTGAGATCTCTTGATTTAGATGGAACCCCCCCTCAAATCATGGTATTTAAAAGTCGTCTTTGCTGTATTGGCCTGTTTAAATACATAAATTAGTTTTGTCATAAGTAAATAATTGTTTGGATTAAATAAAATTGGAATATTCAGTCTACCACTATTACACACCCCTTATTCTAATCCCATGTCTGTTTTTGCCTTGTTCTCTTAGGACGACTGAAACACCTATTTTTTTTCACTGTCAAAAATAGCTAAAAGTGTATATTTGTCTTTATTTTCACATTCAGGGAGCCCCACTGAGCCCTGCGCTGACTGGATGGGGTCTTGGACATCTGGTTTGTGGCTGTCTCCTGGAGAGAAGTCTCAGCAGGAATACCTCATGGGTTTATCTGCCCAGTACCAGGTGGAACACTATGAGGACTGCTATAATTTACTAGGTTAGTGCAAAACATGCAGCAAGTGGGGAAATAAAAGCTTTCTATGGCCTGATATACAATACTCCTCAAAAGAATCCATGCTTCTAAAAGCTGCATACTTCTGCCTCTTGACTGACAGAAAGTGGTGCATAAATGAAGTAAGGGATGCATTTTTAGCAATTATCTAATCAAAATCATCTTGTTAATAATTTAATCTGTTAAAATGCAGCTGCTCTGTGATACTTAGAGTTCTGACTTCCACCAGAACAAAGATTCTGAACATTCAGGCTCACAAATATTTTCAATAGTTTAGTTCATGTCCAATCATGCACAGGTGTTTGCCACATTGTGTTGATATAATTTGCTTCCAATGAAATGCACAGCAGTTTGCCTATGGAATGTTGCAAAACAAGAAGTTGTTCAACTGTATGAATGCTTTTGGCTCAGCAGTTTAAATTTGGTGAAAAGTAAAATGTTTGTGTTTGATATTCAGCTTGATGTCAGAGATTGAATAAACAGGAAAAAGCTTCACCTTTTTCATTTGAGCCGTTTCAGGTCTGCTGGTAGGTTAGGGGGCCTGTGTCCTTCAAACATTTGCGTTGCAAAAAAAATGAGATGAAAGCAAATATTACCTTTAGATTATTATCCTAGATGGATAAATGGGTGCTTGTTCACATAAAAAATGATTAAAACCTAAAAAAAACGCACAGGTCAGCTCTGTGTTTGGATTTGCACGTCTTCTTTTAGGCAAACATCTACTTGACTTGCGTAAATGTTAGTAATTTCATAAAAACAGGTAGATGTTTAGCTGTGGAGGATCATAGCTTGTTAAAGTCCTATCCTCTCGTTTTCACTCTCAATTTGTTGTTTATTCATGCTGCAAGCATTCATGCCTAAATCAATCAGCGTCTTCTCCAGCGAATTCCTCTTCCACATCGCTGATCAAGACCAGCAGCCATAATTATTTAGGCTGGGTTTCCTTAAATACGGGGATCGGATTGACTAAGCAAGCGAAGCAACCTGCTTCTGGGTGATTACTGCTGTAATCAGTCTGAAACTTATCTAACTAGAGCCTAAATTATACGCACACAAAAAAAGGATTCAGACTCGGTTATGTAACCTGCAGCTGTGAGAGAGACACTCCTTCACCACCATCCTCATCATCTACTTCTCACAGCTTCGTCTCCTGAGTCCCAGCTGCTGAAGCAGGTAACACGGGGGCCCTGGGGCCTTCCCATGGACCCAACGCTTCACAGAGCCACAGACACCACAGCTGTCCAGCTCAGTGAGATGGTTTCCCTGCCAGTGCTGATAAAGCACTCCGTCACCGCCCCGCTCATCACGCAGTAAGTTCCCAGCTGGAAGAGCACAGCATGAGGGTTAGGCAGAAAGAAATTACATATTTTAAAGCAGAATTATGGTTTAGATTCTAGGTTTAGAAGAAAATGGTGCAAAAATAAAAAAGATAGGTGGTATCAGCCTCTCTCTGTGATCTCAAGTATTTCTCCCCTTTTTTCATCGGTGCTCCTCTTTGCCCTCTCTTCCCAGTGTGTCCTTGGTGAATAAGGCTGTAGTGGACTACTTCTTCATAGAGCTGGGGGTGGAAAAACACTTTGAGGAGCTGCGTCACTTCCTGCTGATGGAGGATGGCGAGTTTGCACAGTCGCTCAGTGATCTAATCTTTGAAAAGGTGATGCTTTTTGGCCTATTTCTGTGTTTTCTTTGCAGATTTTTTGGTGAGATTTGAAATAGTGTTTTTTTTGTTTTTTTGTCATTGAGCGATTTTCCTCTCTTTGATACGTCTGCTTTTAGCCTGCTTAGGGAACGTAGATTTGTAGGATCACATAGCCATTAAAAAGCATTTTGTCCCATATGCTCATCTGTGGAAAACTTTGCAGTGGTTTAGATTTTATTTAATTTTCTTGTGCATAAATAATTTCATGTAGTTAACCCAATTACATAGACTGCGGTATTACTGTTAACCCTTAATATTTAACATAGATGTAGTTAATCAGATAGACTAGGAATTAACCTGGTGTGCGTTTTATTTGAAAGGTTCTCCTTCCCGCTATCATCGCAAACCCCACCCTCTTACAGGGGATCAGGGGGACCTCGCCTGTTCAACCAAGCCAACAATTCCCTCTAACGACCCCCCCTTTAGAGACATAGACGGTTATCAGTGATTACAGGCTAACAAAGAACCCAAGTGACTCCCCATTCCTAAGGGGCGGACCCATTCTTCCGGTTCAATTTGCATGTTTTCTTAGCCAAAACAAGGCTTTGTTTATGGTCAACTCTATTAAGTCTCAAACTCAATGGTATTTCTGACATTTTGGATTGAAATATCTTCCTGGATGGGAAGAGAAACTTCTTCAAACTTGGAAACAAAGATTTTTTTTTTTTTTTTTTACTTTTTTTTAAAGGTTCTTGCATTTCAGTTTCACTGTTTTCCAGGTCCAGGTTCCTTATGTTATTTAACCTGACCTTCCTTATTTGTCTCTTTTTTTTTTTTTTGCAAGGTTTCTTATTTAAATTCTGACCTGTAGAAATGCCAGCCAAATACTCAGAGTGAATGCAGTATTTTAAACTGAGTGTAATGACTGGGAAGTCTAGACATTTCTCCATGAACATCATGTAAAACCCTGTGCATCTAATTGTGCTGCCAGCTTTAAGCTTCCTGCCATGAATAACAAGTCGCTCACACCTCATTGCTGTTCTGCAGGAACATTCATGTGCATCTGTCTCCCCGGGCCCATCAGACTGAAGGTGTTGTTTATTCAGTCAAAGCTCTAATTCTGCTGATTGGCACTCCTACATCCACACAGGAAGCTGAGCTTTCACCACTCTTTTGTTAAACTTAAGTCTTATAGAATGAGCCTATTTAAGTCAATAAATGTGATTTGTGCTGTGCTCAATCTCCATTTCCACCTTCCAGATGGCCAGTGGCCAGACTCCAGGCGAGCTTCTGACCCCCCTGGTCCTGAACTCCATTCTCAGTAAGGCCCTGCAGTACAGCCTACATGGAGACACCCCCTTAGCTTCCAACTTCACCTTCGCCCTGCGCTTCCTGCCAGAGACCTTCCACCCTCACGCCCCAGACTCCCTCAACTGTTTGGAGCTGCGTTACAAGGTGAGGCGTTTTGATGGAGCGAGCGTGGCGATGAGGACGCTGACATGGGCGTGTTTGTCCCAGCGTGAATGTGACAGCCTGACATGTTTTGACAAACTGCTGTGCATGTAGAAAATGAGCTTATCTCCCTGAAATGGTTGAGCATCACAGATTTATTAGATCCACGCCGTGCTCAGAAACGAATGTTGCACATATTGGCCTTAGCACTCCTCTCTCATGTTTCCTGAAGCAGCTGAGTCTCCATCCTGCCCCCCTCCCCCACCGCTTGCTTATCTTTACCTCTTGCTTCACATGTTCTGCCTCTTTATCTCACCATATTTCTTCATCCTGTTCCTCTCACCCTTTCACAATCCTCTCACCTACTTTATCACCGTCTGCATATTCACACCTCTCTCCGCTCATCCTGCGTCATCCATCACTCTGCCTTTACCTGTTTTTATTTATTTTATTTTTTTTCCCCTCTCAACTCTCATTCCACCTTTCTGTAATTTCCTTCCCACTCTCAGCCTCTCTAAGCTTCACTCTGACAGAGATTTTTTATTTTTTTCCTTTCCTCTCTCCTTCCCCCCAGGTTGACTGGCCGTTGAACATCATCATCACCGACAGCTGCATGAGCAAGTACAACCGCTTGTTTTCGTTCCTGCTGCAGCTCAAACACATGGTGTGGAGCCTCAGGGATGTCTGGTTTCACCTCAAGAGGACAGGTGAGGGAAAGGTAGCTGCTGATGCAGCTTTAGCTCGGACTCCAGCTAACCTCAAAGGAAGGAGGTATAGGGTTCTTCCTGTAGTGCTTTATAGTCGACTCTACATTATTTATAAAAAGGAATGCAAAAGTTATTTTATGATTTATTCATACTAAGCACAGGTCAAGGCCAGTGGGAACGTTGTCTAGCTGTTTTCTTCTTGGAGTTTGATGATATTGATCTGCAACTCTTCACAGAGCTCAGAAATTGATATACTGAGAGAAACAGAAGATGGAAACAAACAGTAAAACAAACTTTAGTAATATTAGCATGATGCTACAAAATGTCCATACAGCACATCAAACCTACTTTATCCCCAAAAATGAGAATAAAATACTCAAATAATAACAATAATTAAATATTTAATTAATTAATAATAAATAATTAAGTTCTAGAACATTTTCTTGCATTCAACTCACAAAATTCAATGTATTTAATGGATTAATTCTACCGTTTCTCAGGCCATTTTCTCAATATGTGTTCTTGTGCTTTCTCATGTGCTCGTGTACTCGTGAAAAGTCATCAGCATCAGCCCCAGTACTGTTCCAATTCACAAGAACAACAGACCAAGAACAGACAAAGTCCACCGATATTGTTCTTCCCCCTCCCTCTTTACCCAGCATGCATCAGAGCAGACTTATCAATTCTTGAGATTGACGGCTGTCCCAGCATGCACTGCGGCAGCAGCAGCTTAGAATGGAGCGCTCACAGACCTCAGAGTATTAAGTTAAAAGTTCTATTTCCTGTTGCTGTTGTTCAATAAAAGTAAGTTTTAAGATCATTTGAGGCGAGAATATTATACTTTATATATGGTCCATTTACAGATTTAATGCGTCATTTAAAAAAAAAAATTCTGAAGTTGAGGACAGCGGGAACCAGCGGAGCTCCTAGGCTAACTGCAGCCCGTCTATAGCAGCCCTCTTTCTGCATAGCCATGTGTGAAGGACCGCTGGCAATGATGCCGACTTTTTTTTGTTGTTTTATTTGGCAAAATGTGATTTGTGACACCAAATGAAAAAAGTCAGAATTTGTTTATATCTAGAGACTATTAATAACAGGACGTAAAATGCAGCTCAAAAATGCGATCAAGTAAAATGATACGACTGGCATAAATCAAATACAAACAGCATAAAAATAAAACAAGCCGGTCCATCTAGGCGTAATCGGAGACAACGACACACAAAGTGTGCTCCTGATGTCCAGTCTGCTCCGTAGCTTTGTTTTGGTCGCTGTAACCGCAGAAAATCCCGCTTCACAAAGAGGATGTTAGAGATAGGATGAGTCTTGAACTGAATTAAGCTGTGTCAAGAGCCACAGATGCACCGACTGATGTAATTGGGAGAGAATACCGCAATTTTTAAAATATTTTTCAAAATAAAACATCACTCAGACTCTGATAGTCCATATATATATACTTTTTTCTGTGCGGCCCGGTACCAAATGACCGACGGACCGGTATTGGTCCGCGGCCCGGTGGTTGGGGACCGCTGCAGTAAAAGGTTCATGCATTGGTGTGTTCTGTAAAATCCTACCTAGGTTTTAACTCCTCCACATCTTCATCCTTGACTTGTCTACTGTTTCTTGGTCAGCATGATGTACTTTGTTCAGTAATATTCTGAGACGAACCTCTGAGGCCTTCACAGAACCTGCTGGGTTTTTACTAAGATTTATTTCTTACATGTCCAGGCCACACGTATGATTTCCTCTGTGTAATATTTTGGCAGGTTTTCTAGCCTGTAATCAGCATGTTTGTCCTCCCCTTCAGATCCTCACCTGCTTCCTTGCTCATGTCTTGCAGCTCTGGTGAAAGGCGCAGGTCGATCGGTACAGTTCCATCAGCTGCAGCTCTACAGGCATGAAATGCAGCATTTTGTTAAAGTCATACAGGGTTACATCGCCAACCAGATCCTACAGGTGTCCTGGACCGAGTTCACGGCCAAGCTGGCCACCGCTAGTGACCTGGACGCCATCCACCGCACACACGCCGACTACCTCAACAGAGCCATCTTCAGGTGAGAACTGGAACTGTAAATGTATGATCTATAACCTCACAGCATGCTGACTGGAACAAACTGCTATTGTGATATTTGATTTGTTTTTCAAGAAGTCAGGAAGTGACAGCTTGTGTTTTAGCATAAGTTATTCAGTCAGTATTTATAGTTTTTTCAGCCTTATATTAGATGCTCTCATAGCCATAGACAGGTAAAGGCTTAATATCTCAGTTTCAATCTATTTATTTCCCTCATAAAACACTCATCCACATTCTAGTTGAATGTGCTGAGGCTAAATTGTGAGCATGATGAATGATTTAATCTGCGGATAAATAATTCAGAAGAGGTTGTTAGTATCACACTGAGGTGTTTCACAGCTTAGTCTTGTCTGGAAGGTCATTAAAAAGTTGACTTTAATCTTTCTGTGACGTCTCTCTCTCCCCTCAACCTCTCCAGGGGTCTGCTGACAGAGAAAGCAGCTCCAGTCATGAACATCATCCACAGCATTTTCAGCCTCATTCTCAAATTTCGTGCCCAGCTCATCGCGCAACCCTGGGACAGCCAGCAGGGGGAGGCAGTGCACCCAAGCTTCATTGCCATGCAGCAGTCGTACAACACTTTTAAGTATTACTCTCACTTCCTTTTCAAAGGTAAGACCAGAGCCTATTGTTTCACCTCTGGCTGAATGACAGTCTGGTCTCTTTGGTTTCAGCTGCATACAGAACAGGAAAGATTCACCGCTTTTAAAAAGAAAAAAAGAAAGACTCTTAATTCCATCATTAGGCCGTTTAGAAATCACAGAAAAGCCGACTGTAATAGTCTGTAATCTTCCTAATAGATTTTAAGCAGTGTTGCTGCCAGTTCACTGTGTAAAAAGCACTAAACTTAATGTGCTAATTAGTACCTTCATTACAAAGTGGTGCCAATACATTTATACAAGAGAGGTGAAGTCGTTTTAAATTATAATCCTAAATGACCCCTAAAAAATCCACTTGGTGCTTTGGCATCTTGGTCTCCACATTTAATAAAAGTGAGTAAGTCAACACTAAAATACAAATAAACTGCCTCATGTTATTTGAAGGCAGACATTTTTGGCCTATTTTTGTAAATTGTAATATTTTCCCATCAAAGATCACACTAAAGCGTTTCTTATGCATAAAAACTCAACAGTTCAAACCCAATATTTCATGCAGCTCTATTGCATAAATATGAATGCATTACAACTTGGAGAGGAATCACAGGCTTTGCAGGAATTTCTGGATGTTAAACCGTTCTCCCAATCAGAATTAGGAGAGCTAATGTAATTTAGTTGGGTTCAAGACAGAATCCCATTTTGAGAACTTTTTTTTTATAGAGTTGAGGTTTCAGCATTAGAGAAGTCATTGGGAAAAATTTGTTTGCATGTTTTGTAGCATTTTATGTTTTGAGCACCAAATTGGGCCTTTGTTCCAATATTCTGATCCAGATTGCTTTTCTCAGATGAAAAGAAACAGGTTCTATTAATCAATAGCCATTAAGTGCATCACAAATTGGAAGGTGCTTGAACTTTAGTGTCATTTTTCACAGTGAAGGCAGATTTATGGTCACTGGCTGCAAATACGCTGACCAAAGACGAAGCCCATCTGTGTATATTCTAAGTCAAATTTAGTCCTTCCAGTGTTACATGGATTGTAGTGCAGCTGCCCATCATCAGTGGGCAACAGGAGGGTTTAGTCAGGATGCAGTCACCAGCTATCACCAAGAAACATAGATATAAACACCACAAACAGCCGTGCACATTCATTTCAACTTTCTTTCCACTCAAAGAGGTCAGTAAACCCAGCATGTATTGGCCGTAGTCGTCCAGAAAACATTATGTGCTCCTGGTTAGTACACACAGGCTTTATCCGAAAATATCTGAGCACATGACAGTTCTGCAGCCAAAGAAGAAACAAGTGGTGCAACAAGGACACCTTAAAAAGAACTGCAGCTGCCCATGCAAGCAAACCACAAAACTTTATTTGTTTAGCTTCCTGTGAGGATTGAAATGTTTGGGAGTTTCACGGTGTAGCTTCATAAACCTAAGGACATTGTACCAACAAAACCTGCCTCCATCTATATAAATAATATTAAGCTTCTGAAACCCTCCTGGCCTCAACATTGTGGACTTCACCTTAATTGAGTCCATGCCATGAGACCAAGCAGGTAAAATGATCTTTAGCAAACCTGTAAAATAAAAACCAGATGTCCAGATAAACCTTATAAAAAAACTCGTTGGGTTTTCCAACCATTATGGAGTTTTATGCATATATATACGAGCCTGTGTGTATAATTCTGAACCCATGTGGAATATTGAAAACATGCTTAAAATAAAACTTGTACTTTACATGAGCTGAAGTTGCACTTTGTAGCATTAAACCACCAAAAATAAAAAAGTGTTTAAATATTAACATAATTTTTTCAGATAAGTACCGGTATGTAAACTTCTGACTTCTTTCTCCTTTTCACAGTGGTGACTAAGCTGGTGAACCGAGGCTATCAGCCTCATTTAGAAGATTTCCTGCTTCGCATCAACTTCAACAACTACTACAAGGACTCTTAAGGTGCATGCTGGGCTGCTTTTAAACTCCATGTCTTTAGCCATAAACCTCCCTGTGTTATAATTGTGTTTAAAGTCCTTGAAATCCCACCTCTGCTGCACTCAATTTAGGAAGCAAAAAGTAATTAATGTTTTGTCCTTAATCATTTCTGCGCTCTTCAGTAATCAACACACTGCCAGCATGGTTTAACTGAAGCTGATGTCTGTCGTTATAAATTAGATGTACGTTTGAAACTAATATAAATGAACTTTTCATATGTAAATACATTTTTTTCCAAATAAAAAACTATTTGAATTGTTTGATTCATGTTTCTAAAGTAATAAATAAATAAAAAACAACCAATTCATCTGTTAAGAAATCACATATTTATTAAAGACTGATAACAGTGGTTTTAAGAAAACCAGGTTGAATTAAGTGCAAAGCATTTCAGGTATTAAACTTAGCAGTTAAAAAAAAACACAGAAAAAGGAAATGCATTTTTGCTATATTATAGTTATGTACCTCCTAAACAATGAGTACCGAGATTCTTCCTAATGATAAATTACTCACAAAGATGAGAGGAATAGAGCAGCAGCAGGTCACATACAGAAGGAAGATTCCGTTTCCAGACGGGATATTAAGGTTAAAATTAATTTCTTCAATTTGAAAGAGAACACAAACAGCAGCTTGATCTCTAAGGAAATTTGTTTTCATTACTCTGATGAGCAAAGTTTGCCTCAGCGTGAGACACACTGCAAATAAACCCTTCTGTCAGGCAACAGAACAGAGGATTGGAGGATGTTTAACAAGTCGTTTCTGGTGTGAAATCCAAGAAACCAGTCATTAAAAAAAAAAAAGCTGTGTTCATAGAGTTTGCATCTCATCTCAGCCCGGAGGAGTCCAAGTTTTATCCTTTAGTTGTCATATCCGACTTATAGGTTGTATTTTAAAATGTAATATAATTCATGTAGCGCAGGTCTTTTCGCTGCGAGACGCTTTAGATTTGAGACTAGCAAGGATCCTGTCATGTCCGCCTGACAGCACAACAGATTCAACCTGTTGTGCTGTCAAAGGTAGCATATAAAGGCTTTTTCAGCTAAGTAATTCAGATTTATTTGCGGTAGAACAAAGTAAATCTTTTAGGATAAGCCTAAGGGGCCCATTTCACAACTTCCTGCATTACCTCCATTATCTACAAGGGCAACACATTAAAGACCACTGACCACATTATCCCTGGTGTGCAACTTAAAGGCGATTGCTGCAAGTTTAACTCCTCCCAGCGAGTAATTGGCGCACTCTCCCACTCTTTTCCTGTAATGTTTAGCAACCGCTTGCCTGTTCGGTCCATTAATGCTGATATTTAACGCACCTGTCTAGAAGGAAATTGCTTCTAAGCCCCAATAGGCATCAATATAAACCTGTTTTTTGGCTTAAATCTGATGTATCAAAGAAGAAGTCATTTCTCAGCTCTATCGCAAAGCAACTAGGATTGGACAATGACTCAGCCCCGTATCACATGGCTTCAACCTACTATTGGCTCAGAATCCTTTTGTGTCAACATCGGCATTTTAACCACATGGAAATGTTTAGATATTTTGGACCCCTCAAAATTCATTAAGCAATCATTTAAATACAATTTTTTTCTCTTAGAATTATTAAATTGTATTCTGCTCCACTCTAGATGTTGAGGATTAATTAAATTTGATATATTAATTTTGACATGATGATGAGATATTAGACATTTAGATAAGCTAGATCCAGTTTAGAAAAGACCAACAAACTTTGTAGATGATGTTTTGAAAATAAATTTGTACTTAAAAAGACAGACATGAGGCTTAAAACCTACATGCATTCAAAGTAGACATGTTAGATCAATCATGGACCTTTAAGTAGAGGTTTAGCTCAAAGGTGGAATAACGGTTAATATAAAAAGAAATCCCTAAAGGATCAAACCTACAAAAAAAAAGGAGTAAAATATAATCCCCCTCACCTTTGTGGTAAGAATATATTTAAACCCTTCCCTTCAATTTATCATCATATGAAAAACCTTCAGCCATGATATTCACAAACAAGGAACCACTTGGGAACCATGTCCAAGATGTTTTAGAGCAGGGATGTCAAACTGGTTCCAGAAAGGGCCGTGTGTCTGCAGTTTTTCTTTCCAACCAAGCAGTAGCAGACCAGACTCCAGTCATCTCATCAAGTGAGTCCAATCTGAACATGATGACTTGATGAGATGACTGGAGTCTGGTCTGCTACTGCTTGGTTGGAAAGAAAACCTGCAGCCACACGGCCCTTTCTGGAACCAGTTTGACACCCCTGTTTTAGAGCTTGAATTGAAATTTGCAGCTTCTAGCAGGACAGGCTAAAGTGTTGAGGTGAGACAAAGAGCCGAGCTGTTCAAGTTTTTAAAGGTATACTATGCAACCGGTGTTGATTTTCCAGCGAGGCTCCCCCCAGAGGGCGAAAGTAAAAGTGTGCTGTCGTAAATATGCTCAGCTGTTCTCCTGGTTTCTCCGTCAAGCCAGGCGAGGTTGTTTTGAGCTTAGCAGACAGGCGAACGCAACGAATCACCATGTCTACTGCAGGGACTATTTTGTTCCAATTTTCGAGTTTGAAAATTTAGCATGTTTTCATACATTATTTGTTATGCATGTGTCTAAATAAAGATTGTAGTTAGCCAAGTTCTCGCCGTAAAGCAAGACCGACTCTCGCGATGCACAAGACTTCTGAGCCTGTGGGTGCGGGCCGAGGGCTCCTGCAATTGCAAGTACGGTATTTCCCCTACAGACCACCAGGGCGGCCGAGAAAACCTTTGTTCGACCTAAAATGACTCATTTAATCATCCAAAACCTTATGGAACACATTAATTAACAGAGAAATGTTGCATAGCATGCCTTTAACATCTGTTGTCAAAGTATGACCCCTCCACCCAGAGAAGAACAGCTCCTTACATCTTTCATGTAAGGCCAAAGGTTCCTGACCTTCATGATTCTATCGACTCTTCACTGGAAATGTCCTAAATGAAATAGCCCCTTGTATTTTGTTAGGTTCTGCCTCTAAACCCTTTTACTATAAGACGACAAGCAAAATCCTGTATTGTAACATTCAAGGTCATGAAAATATTCAGAATTTACAGATTAAATGGTAAATTGGGTTCAAACAGAGCAGAAACGCACAATGAAAAATTCCCACCGATAACTCAACTTTCAGCTCCTCTGCTTCGATTATCATTAATAAACATGCGAAAACAGGCGTTTTTTTTCCCCCCCCACCCAAGATCGCAATACTTGGCTGAGTCTCGTTTCATGCATTACTGGAGAAAATTAGAGTTGAGTTTCCTCTTGTATTACAGCTCGGTACTTGGAAGAGAGGCTTTAATCTTCTACAAATGGAGCAGGAGCGAACGGTGTCATTTAATCATGCACCGCAGCAGGCCCTCTACACACACACACACACACACATATACACCCCACACACATACAGATTCAATGGCAAATAGACACTAACAAATCATATTTACACAAGATTCAAAAGAAATGGAGCATAGAGTTGTTTTTGGGAAAGATTCTCACTAAGGATGTCGCAGGCAGATTAGCCTCTGTTCTGTTTTCTGCAGGTAGTGGGAAACTCTTTCAAGCAGGATGTCAGTTCAGGTTAGTGTTGAAGATTTAAAGTCTGCAGAGATGAATTAAATGTCTTCCTCCTACCCCACAATTTCTAGGTAGTTATAATAAACTATAGTCACTATGAGCAAAAGCAAACATTGTCTAAACTTACTTCTTTCAACAGTTTTAGCTTCTTTAGCTGTATTAATGAGTGCTTTACCTTAAAAGTGCAATATTTTTTTTATATGAAGCTTCAGGAAATAAAATGCAAAAAACAGAATAATTACATATAAGTTTACAAGGTTTTCACAGGAAGAAAAGCTGAAATAACTGTAAACCAGACATGAAGAGATGGGCACCTCCAGTACCAACCAGGGGAGGACCTTAGGATGTGCATGCCTTGTAAAGTGGTGCACAAAGAAGGAAATGACTTCCATACTAATATTAAAAATGGAATGTGGTGATATTTAACAGCAAAAAGATGATTTATCTGATGCTTTTGGTTGAACCGACGTCCTTCTAGCACAGCAGTGGTATGGAGATGCAGCTGCACAGGTTCTGTAAAAACAAAGCCGTCCCTCTTGGGACAGTGTTACAGTACTAGACTTGGGATGAAGGTCATAATAAAACCTGGACTTTGATGTTTTGTTCTTTGGGGTGGGGGGGGGGAGACGTCTCAGGCCTCAGACTCAAGATCCTCTTGGCCTGCTCCACTGTTTGTTGTCGTCTCGGGCTCGAGAAGCAGAAACTTGCCGTCATTGGTCAGAGGCATGTTCTTCATCAGCTCGGCCAGAGCTTCTGGATCCTTTGGCAGAAAAAAAAAACACCCACAGTGAAAATTCACTGACCTCACTTTGTGTTAAAGCTGCTAAAAGTATTAACATCCCATTAACCTTTATACATCTATAAAACAAACACAGATGTTTGTTTAATTTAGTGTGATTGTATATGATATGCTAACACAAGTACATAATGGTAAAGGGAATGGGATGCTTTTATTTTGTTAACTTTGATACCCCCAAATAAAATCTAGTGCAGCAAACAGTCATAAATCTTAATTAGATTTTATTTGTGTGTAATTAAAAATCATACAAATCTAATGTTTCTGTGAATGCCTCAGAGGTTTGTTGGAAAGCAACGAACAAAGAGCAAGAGGAGGCATGCAGACCAACAAACTAGATCTACCAAGACGAGATTAAACCTCGGTTAGGTTATAAAAAAATGCTCTAGTTCTTTCACGAATCACAAACTTTGGTTAGATGATCAGAAAATAAAGAATAGGTAGATCCATCATCATACTAATGCAAACTAAACTAACAGGAAGAGCTTTAATAACAAGAAGCAGCCTAGTGTAGCTTTGGAGGAGCTGTAGAAATCCATAGCTCAGGTGGGAAAATGTGACATATGGCCCTTCACAAATATGTTTTATTTATTTATTTTATAAATAAAGTGAGCAGAAAATTGTAAGAAGGAAATTAGGCAGAAACTTAAGTCTTAAATGGAAGAGACACCCCAAAGATTTGGCTAGAGTTGCAGCATTAGGTGATTCTTTTGTCTCACATCACCAGTTCATACCGCTCTATGGCATCATATCTAAAGCTATCCTAATGAATCATAAGCGGATTCCTCAAACATTGAAAGCATAACAAATATATTCAAGTTCAAATTCATTGTATTCTCATTCCAGACCATGGGTGCCCTCTAGTGGAGGAGTT